TAGAGGAACCCGGAGTGGTATATTGGAAACCCGAAGCGTTTTTCTGGGCGTTATTCACCGTATCCTTAACCTTGAGAAAATCACATGAACTCGTATCCCTGGCGGTATAAAGTGGAGGGATGCGTGTGTGCAGGTGGGGGCAAGTGGAAGCAAAAATGCACTTTTTTTTAAATGAACCCTTCATTCTTAAAAGAACAATTTGGCCTCAGCTTACCATCGCGGACTACGTGGTCTTTAACTTGTTGCCACTGCTTCAAGTTCTCAGATTTTGGTGAGAATAAAAATAGAAAATCCGCTGAATAAATTTAAACTGTGTGCAGACGCAAGGGCGACATAAAATGCACTGGGTATTAAACCTCTTCATTATCTGCGGAACTCAGGAAGAACTGACGTAGAAAGCACAAAATAAGCATATGGCATTGTTTTCTTGGATACCAGCACACAGTTTGAGGTCTACGAAATCGGTTAATTTGTGCTCTCTATCCTTATTCGTTACATTTTAAGGAAAGGCAGCAAGGAAATGGGGCCCACTCATGCAGACTTTGTGATGATAAGGTCCCTATCCATTTTTTTTTTTTTTTATCTTTTTTGCCCCGCGGGCCTTGTTTGGTGCCACTGTTAATAACACTATTTCCATTGAGTGCCAGTTCAAAACTTACAGAAGTCTCAATGGTCTCAGTTTCCTCGTAAGAAAGGTTCTTGGTCTCCGGAAGCTTTGTGGGCAGCTCCCCTATTTTCTGCATGTCAAGATTAACCCGGCAGTTGCGACAAATACCTGTTGAGTGAATCGATGGAAAATACAGGTTTTTGCTGATACGATATAATCACTATTCTGAACAACTACGGTCTTAATTTACACAAGTAAGGGAACCTGTTTTAAAAAACTTAAATGATAGATTTTCCTGCCCTTTCATATACTTCAACTCTTCAATTCCCTACCCTTTGATATACCTGAAGCCTGATAAAGGTACCCTTTAGGGGCTGAGTCTCCCTGTAACTATCTATAGGCCATCGGGGAATCTGCTTTAAAAAGCTGTAATTTTAGGAGTCCGGTGAAGGCTTCTAAATTTACCTTTTTGCTGCTACAATCACTAATATAAAATGTTAGAATAATGAAAGGAAAAGAAACACGTAAATAAACAAAGGCTATTGAATTTGCGACCGTCACGGCTACTTAATTATTGAAAAAGTCAAAATAAAAAAAAAAGAAAAGTGCTTACAAAGTGCTTTAATTGAAGTGTCACATTGGACCGCCATTTTAGAGCTGTCGTGTTTGGTTGAAAAAGATAAAAATGATGTATACATACCTGAACCAACTGGCATAAAAATTCTCAGTTTCTTCCATATCAAATAACAAGCACTTTTGCCAAGTCCTCTTTCTGCCTTTGCGTTTTTTTGGGCTTGTCCGCCGTGCTTCGAGATTGGCGGAGGAACTCGGCACAGATTCGATCCTCGACGCCACCCAATACCGAGGGATGAGCAGTGCCGGGAACAAATTGTTAATTCCGAAAGGTCTAACTCCGAAGAAAAGGATGTAGATACTCTTCCCAAAATAAGTTCGATTTCGGTTTCTACGTCAGTTATTGACAAGGAAGACTTATGACCTGCGATGTCTCTTTTGCAGTTCAGAAATGGAATAAGCTCAGTTGATCTGCTCCTATCTCTGGGGTCATAAGAGCAAGAACCGCCGACTAAGGAGCTAAAAGAGTACTTAACGTCCATGATGACACAAAACTGGCAAAATAAATTCACTCCAACTTCGCTAATTAAATTTTCCCTCTTTGCATTTAATTGACTAATTCAATTTACCACGGCTAGTAAACTGCTTCGAGCTTTAGCCAACTCTGTCATTTCTTCAACAAATAATAAAAATGAATCCTCACAATTGAAGAAAATATCAATTTAAAAAGCATCTATGATTTTTTTCTTTCTGTTCCGATTCTTCTGAAACCAAAGGAAGCGAAAAAAACAAGTATAAAAGTTAAACAGGTTAGCCGAGAGCTAATCAAATTACATCCTGATATTTATCAGGGAAAACATCTTACACTGAAAAGGAAAACTTTCACCTTAACAATGATAAAAAAATAACCCCTCTTCGGCCGATTGCCTTTTTTTCAATAAAAAAGGACGAAAAGCTCACACCAGAATCGTTTTCAGTACGCTTTCGTGTATATTCCGGCCTGCTGTGTAAAAACTCCGCTTGACGTTACGGTCACGCAACAAGAATTGTTTACTCAGTCGTTGTAAAAAATTTGAATGAATTACTGTCATTTCAAAACCTTCGCGTGAGGCGCTGTAAAGGAAACCCGTGCTGATTCTAACATATTATAGAGGACAACCTTAAATCCCTCTAATGACATAGTTAAAAGGAAAATCTGAATTATACCACATAGTGAAAAAAAACATTTGAATTAAGGAGGTATTTGCGGATTTTTCACGTTTGAAAATATAGCACTTTCCTGCGCGTTGTTTGCTATTTATGAACAACAATAAAGATAAGTCATATAGTTTCTGGAAAAGTACGGCACTCATTCTATCAAAATTCGGCGTCATGATCCTTTGAATCGTTTTTTCCTTGAAGACCAAAAGTCAGTTTAAAATATCAATTTCACACTTGCTTGCTGGACCTTTCGGGATCGTCGCGGGTCAAATTCGTTTTTCTCAGTTTTCTCAGAATTAAAGCGCTCCGGAAGAAAAAGAAATACATTAAATTTCTTCTATTCTTAGTAGCTTTTTATAGTCATAAAATAAGCGAAATTCATTTTTCAACTCTTGCCACTCAATGGTCGATATTTCCTGACCGTCGCTCTTAAATAAAGGTTCTTGTCTTATCCTATCTGTTATCCTGTTTCGTTTTACGAAAGCCTTCCTTGTAAAACGCGGGAAATAGCATTTCTTAGCCCGGAAAATAAAACTTACCTTGTGTATGAGGCTCCTGAGTGGGAACGAGCGTAGGAGCAGGAGTGTCAAAAACGGCGTGAGCCAAGCCAAGAAATATGCAGCAAAACCACCGTTTCCGTTCACCTACTTTCTGTTTGATTTTACCTCCCACACTCGACCAGGCACACAGAGTGATGTCATGTGCGCGGCGGCGAAATAGAAATATATGCGAACTCAAGCTATCACAATTTGCATTTTCTACTACTTACTCGATTAACTACCCTTTCCAATGTTTGCTCAAGAAAAAAAAATACGTTACGCCGCTGTAATTCGTTGAAAACCCCCCTTATCTTGGAGGTGTTGTTTTCACTATTGACTATATCAGGCCTAGTCGAGAAATCAGGGTAGCATTCGATTACATTCCGCCGCAGGAGACGAAAGAACTGCGAGTCTTAAGTTAATTTGTTAATAACGTTCATGCCTCTCAAATTTCAGTTTCATGTCAGTTGGAATACCCAAATAAATACCCTAAACCGTGCAGAAAGTCAAAACATTTGGCATCATTACCCTTACATTAAATGTGTTACCTTCAATTTGGTTTAATAAAAAAGACATAGAGCCATAGCACTCCTTCGTATAAAAAAACAACCCCTTATTGGAGATTACCCCTTCAACCGATACGATTTTCTTTCCTTGCAAATAATTATTGTTAAGAATGTCCCACCACTGAACTTTAGTCTCTCTGTGTCAATGGAGTTCGGTTAGAACGTTTCAGTAAATGAAACCGCATCAAACCACTCCAAACTGTTAGGACATTGGAGATTAACACTGGAAGGTTCGGAGCGTAAGTGAGAAATTATGAGTGGTTTGATGGCACATGACAGAAATGCAACATCAACTCAGTCTTAATGATGAACTAGGGTGCAAAATTGTTTTGAAACTGTCAGTAACTTATTAATATGTTTTTACAACCCTTCTACCCTCCCCCTTTATCTCCCTCCCCACCTCCCTCAAGCTTTACGCAGGCTGGGTTCGAACATTCAGTTTATGTGCATTTACGATGAACCCGAATAGTGGCTTGTCATAGAGAGACACGTATGAATCTTTTGTTTGTTCATTTACTGATAGTATCAGGTATTTAGTGGTAAGCATAAGTTATTGATAGAAGCCCTTTTGTTGACTATTTGTTTATGCACAAAGGGACGCTTCCTTTGATTTTTTTTCTAACATTATCAAATGGTCAAATTATGCTCATTGTGGTTTGTCTCCGGTACATCTATGCAATGAAAAATGGAAAATAAATATATCAATCTCACCACACTTTGTCAAAGAAATTTTTGCGTGATTGCTTCCTTTCCATCAGCTACATGTTTTGTTTTATAAATTCAGTCCAGTTTTCTTGCACGGTAAGTTATAAGTGTATTTTTTACGTTTTGGTGTGTGTTGTCGCGCACATGACATGAAATTAATTAAATCTAGCGCTGCAAAAGTGATGGAATAAATATTCTAGCCTTAACACTGACTGAGTGTGAAAAAAAAAAGATTAGGCCCAGTTAATGAGCTCCGGGATACTTTAGATGCTAGAACACCTACAAACTTTAACGGCTTTACCTTATTCCACCACCGAAATTATTCCCCCGGTTGATCTCCCAATTGAATTTCTGCAAATTTTCGAGTAAATGTTTGTGAATCGGTTAGACTCGATTGGCCAAACCCAGCAAAAAGATCTCTCGTATGGTTTTAATACAAGTAATACAGGATGATTACATAGTTGTCTAGTTTTCAAATCTCTGATACTTTTTAGCAAGCAATGTAGGAAACAATTTTCTTATCTAGATATATAGATTCTTTTTTTCTCATACTCCTCTTTCAACTGTTTATACTCTCAGCTATTACATCAAAACATAGAAATTAGAAATATCTCGTTTATTTGACTATTGCGATAGACAAATGTTATTTTTAAACATATGTCGCTCAAAAATAGCGTAACCTTTCAAAAGTGATGAAAACTTCCGAGAGGTCTTTCCGGAGTGACGTCACACTTAGCCCGTGGAGTCAGTCCTGCGCGGCTTTGAGGTCAGCAAGTGTGACGTTATCTCTAATTTTGCATGTTTTGTTATACCATCCAGTGAAGCTGTCTTTGATGGGAAATTTTTTCTTCGTAGTGTGACATTAGCACTTCAATATTTCCTGACAAAAAGCTCTTCCAACATCAAAATTATCGATGAGAAGTTGTTTTGCTGTGTAAGACTAGTCTACAGAGTGGAACTATTCGGGTTTACGAATAGTAACATGGAGAGCCGCGTTGTTCTAGCGTGCATGATATATTTTGTCCTGCCTCAGTCCGCGTGTGGGTCGGACATAGGGCTCGGAAGGGAAAGATCTCCAGGATCGCTTGAAGACGTACCCAGTAAGTAGTCTAACTTTCACTTAGGAAAATTTTTAAAGTTTGACATGCACAGTGGTTTGAATTTTGGGGCTTGACCGAAAATCTTTTTTGTAAACAAGTCTGCGTCGTTTGCATATGTCAGCACGTACAACTTTATCAGCCGTCTGGAAGGCCTAACCTTGTACAATTTGCTTTTGTTAATTTTCAAATACCGCCAATAAAGTTCCTTTTTATCTAGTAAATAAAAAACCTCTCAGTTTTTATCTACATCTGACCTACAACGTTTAATTTTTTTGCAATATTCTTGATTGTTTACGCGTCGGACAATGTAGTTGATCCAATCATACATTTTCATCTGTGTGTTTCCCAAAGCTGCAAAATCGTGTTTGTCATCGATCTTTTCGTCTGCATGTTTGCATAGAAGTTAACTCACCTTTCGTGTGCGACATCGGAAGACTAGGAAGTTATTAATTTTTGACTTAAAGAATTGCAAAGTTGAGTCTCGTTTTGATTTGTGCTGAATCTCAATTCTGTTTTATTTATTCTAATTTGGTCGTAATGATTTGCCCTAATGTGGCTGGGTCGTTATAAATTCCTTTGTTAACTATGATTAGCCTTCGCAGATTATCCGTATAACCACTACGCATAGTTTGCCATGCTTGGCGTTAATCACTCCAATTAAAATTTAAGATTGTGTAAGAACCGGAAATTAATTTATCGCGTGCGAGATAATCTGTCTCCAAGACTTTCGTTGTGGTTTCCTTTTACATTTATCACCTCACGTGCTCATGTGATCTGAAGCAATTATTAAAACGTGCTTTGGTTTTTGTAAACAAATGTTTTGGCCTTAGAAGTATTTTACAATTACTTTTGAACAAAACACTGTATTAAATGTCTGTGATTGATGTTACACATTTTGTGTTGATGCTGTTGAATTCAAATTAAGAAACATGGAGTAACAGACTCGGAAACTGTAAACAATAACAACTGTAATTAAGATTTAAGAGGGTAAAAAAGGAGCCCCAGTAGAGCTCTGCCTATTGAAGCTGCAAACGGAAATGAAAACTGGCACTAAAACGCTTTATTTTATGAATTTCTCAGTTTTCAAGATGCTGGTTATTCATGTGTGGGGGTAATTTGCCAACTCCCTTTAAAATCCACTGGTGCAGGTAATTTGCCATTTGGGTAACTGAAAGGTGCAAATATTAAAGGAAAAAGGCTTATAGTTCAGAGCAAAAAGTTAGAGCTAACCAAGTTGGAGTCAGTGAGATTCTGTTGCACAACAAGGAACCATCAAGATTTGATTACTTATTTCATCAACTATTTTAAGTTTAATTTGTGTGTGTATTTGACAAGGAGCACCTTAATGTTACATCATATGTGATAAATTGATCACATGTTAAATTTTGCAGTGATAAATATTTTCACCAAAAAATTGTGCATATTATTTTTATGTAATGTTTAATGTACTGTTGAAAACTTCGACAATGAATGAGTGGCCAGTAATCAGATCCTTGTATTTGTGTAAAGATTTCTGGGATCACCACAGGGCAAACATTGCAAGTTGTTTGAAGGAAATATATGGCAAAAGGTTGTTTGGAGCCAATTATCAATGCTGGTTGGTTCTTATTGATCACAACACAGAGGCAATATAGGTGTTTCATCACCTAATGTATCTCAATAATATTTAATTGTCAAGCATACCATTTCAATCTATTGCTGCCTTGTGGTAGCTGTTGTATCATTTTTTTTTTTTGTATTACCAAGTGAAGAATTAAAAAGCTGGAAGTGGACTTAAAACAAGTAAATAAAGCTGAAAGGGCTTCATTGAGTTATTTCTTGGTGATTTATCACTAATCATTCTTAAGTAGGAGACATTATGCAATGTCAATTTCAGTATAACCCTTGCACATAGAGAAAGGGTAATTGCTAGATTTTGCTATATATTTCATGGTTGTTCAAACAAAACCTTGGGACACCCTTCTATTAATATTACCCCCACCCATTTCTGATAAAATAGAGGCAAAAAAGGGATGATCTCAAACCAAAATCTTTTTTTTTTTTTTTTTTTTTTCAGACATTAAAACAATGTTTTGCCTCACATTTCTCTCTAGCAAGTTGTATATCGACTATCCCAGAAAATATTTGTGCAAACACAAGGATCTGATTACTGGCAACTCATTCATTGGTTACATCAGCCCGATTTGAGCACAAATAGGACAGTGTGCACATTATGCTCGTACGAATGGTACATGTCATGTGTGTGCACTATTGTCGGAATGGAATTCATGTCATGTGTGCGAAAAAAAATTAGTTTATTCTCTAATGCTGCTATAGTTTTGATTTTGCAAGAGTTCACCGTTGGTCTTATGAAAATAAATAGTGGACAATTAGTTTGTCTCGCTAATGCTGCTATAGTTTTGATTAGTTGGTAACAAGACTTCACATAATCCAATTCTGTCTGTAATCACAATTGTGGTTCACAAATCGGACTCCCTCTTCATGGTCATTGGATTCTGTTAATCATCTGTATGATCACAGACCAAATTGGAATCCACTCAGTCCTAATCAGAGATTACTTAACCAATTATGAAGTTCATATTATGAAGTTCGTGTTGCGACCTGGTAGCTAAACTTTATTTTTCTTATTTGTCTACTTCTGATTCCATGAAATATTATTGCTCATACTTAGAAGCTTTGGTATTCACTTAAGTTAGCCATGTTTTATAAGCATATAGAAGATATTTGAGTATGTAACTTTGTTACTGAAACAGAAAGCTGATCAAAGAACCAAATAATACACATGCATGTTTGTTTTCATTATTTATGTTCCCCCTCCCCTTTTTCTTTACAGGTACAAATGTGGTGAAACCTGAGTTTATCACAGAACCAGAAGACAGATTTGTCTTGTCAAAGTCACTATGGGCCAATTTGTTGTGCGAGGCCAGATTTGTGTCAAACTTAAATTTTCATTGTACTGGTGGATTACCTCAGAGAGAAATTCATTACAATCAAACTGGGAATCCAGTGAAGTTGCTGATTGTGGAAATAACCTTAAAAAACAATGCTACTGATGCTGTCTGCACTTGTGTGGCCACTGGTTATAAGGGCCAAGTTATAAAAAGTCGACCTGCAGCCATAAGGAAAGCTTGTAAGTGGATCTATGTTATCAGCAATGTCCTGTTTTGTGTTTTTCTTTTATTTTGTAAGAATTAAAGGTCCTATAGTGTCATGTACATGTAGGACATATGAAAAAAATTTGACAGTTTGGTGCATTACAAGTGAGGTTTGCTCAAGTCTGATGTCTAATTCTCATTGGTTTTATAAAGCTCAGGACAAAATTGTCCTTTTAATTTTTTTGTTTTTGCTTTTGTTTTGTTTTGTTTTTTGCTGGTTTGCAGTTCATTTTTAAGAGTTTTTCTGGCATAAGTTGCTTGTCTTGAAAACTGAATGCAAATTAGAGAAAAAGTACTGATCTTTCTTTGCCCAATAAAAAAAATTAAATGCTTAAAAGCCTAGCATAATTATATTATTAGAGCAGCCATGTGCACGGTAAAGGTAATGAGTCTTGTTGACTAATAACTTTAACTGGCCTCCGTAGTGTGATGGGGTCTGCTGATAGGGAAAACAGCTTGCTAAAAGAGATGGAAAAGTAATTGTTTTCCAATGTTCTTCAATTCTCTTGACAGATCTGGACAAAAATGTAGTGATTTCACCATCTGCTAACACAAGAGTACCAAAAAACACTATGGTCACTTTGAAATGCAAGCCTCCAGCAGGAGTTCCAAGACCAACGGTCTCCTGGTGGAAAGATGGTCGTCTCTTGGATTCAAGCAGCAGAGGAGTTCTGTTTGGAACTGATCCTAACTTCCTTGAGGTCATCATAAGGAAAGCAAAAATCTTACATGGAGGGTATTACACCTGTGAGGTGTCAAACCTTGCTGGAAGCCAAAAGAGCTCTGCTATCAAGTTGACTGTTTATGGTATGACCTTTAAGCATGTATTGTGTTCATGACCACTGTATTTTTGTCTATTAACTGAATTTACCTGTGATGGCAATAGTTTTGTAGAACATGTGTCTCTCATGATTAACAATTTGCTTGCTTTTAAAGGTCTGTTTCCTCTGTTACAAGTTAAAAAAATAACTGTGTACAATCAAACAAATACAATGTAACTAAATGTTTTGTTAAGCAATCACAAACAATGGAAATCAATCAAAACAAAATTTGATCAAATGTTATTTTAAGTGATTGAGCAGCAAAAGAAGTCAAAGCTTAAGGCTTAACAGTTTTTTACAGTATTACCCATCTTTTGCATTGTTTTTACCTGAAACCTAATTTGTCTGAGCCAATCAGCTTGACAAATATTTAGATGTATATTCTACTAGATATTGATAACCTAGCCACTGTACCTGACTAATTATTTACTTGAAAAGACTCCACAAACCTATGAACCAATTTCACCTGGGAGTGGTATAATTATATTGATCAGAAAAGTTCCAAAAACATATTGAACCTCATACTGAGAGACAGGGCAAAATGGTAATTGTCACTTATATGCACTATATGCTTGTTCTATATATTTACCTTTTCATAATAGTTGACTAGGAAACTGATTATGATGGTGGCTTATGTACAGTTATGTAGCATGTGAATTGAATTATTTGGTTGACATATTATACTTATTTACAGTTGATGGTGGTTGGTCTGAGTGGCGGGAGTTTTCACCTTGTAATGCACCCAAATGTGGAACTGGGAGGAAGATGTTAAAACGGTGGTGTTCAAATCCTCCACCTCAAAAAGGTGGCAACCTCTGTGAAGGTTCCAATATCAAATATGAGCCATGTCAAGACTTCTCTCCAGGTACTTTGTGTCATGGTCATTTTGGTGTAGCTATGAAGTAGATACATGTAGGTCACTCTTGCAGTGTCTCCTTCCACCTACATTTGTGAGTGGGACAAACTGTCAGCCAAACCTGACAAATTTCTGAGATTTCAAATGCATGCCATCCAGGAACCAAAGGTAGTTCCTAGTCAATTTACAACACAGAAACTGTGATAAGCTTCTGGAATGAATGTCACTCAGCTTGAGAGCATATATTAACTTTTAGATGTATTTGACTTATTTGCAATGTAAGTGTCTCATCTATCTAGCCTTTTTGTCAACCTCTAGCATGCATGTTCTTTTGAGGATGAATTGAATGCATTTTGTGTAGTTGTAAAAGTGAATGGGGAGTCCATGGGCTGAGAGAATGGAGTTTGGTGGAGGTTGGAAACTACAGCACTGTACTACTGAAACATATTTTTCCTTTTGTCTTTAATTCAGGAATGGGTAATTATATTCTGTTATTGTGGTAATAGAGACAAGCAATGTGTAACTGACATCTGACTTAAAAGTGAACCCTCAGGTGCTGATTGCTGGATACAAAATCACACCAAAATAAAGATGTTTAAAACCGAACAGAAACTGTTCTATTTAAAATTTAGAATGATGGAACAACAACAAATTCGGATTTTTTTCCTCTTTTATAGATATAAATATAACTTGTCCTGATCACATCAACATATTTGTCAACCAATCAGATGTGAGATTGTTGAATGTCTCTTGGAATAAGCCTGTTATTCACAGTGCAGGGAATGATACAAAGTTCTCAGTAAAAGTTATTCCTGATTGGGCCCAGCCACCTGCTTTGTTTGAAGCAAAAAGTTCGGTGTATGTCATCAAGTATTTAACACAGGATAAGTGCGGATACACAGCCAGTTGTTCCTTCAACATCACAGTGTATAATTATTCTGGTAAGTCTTAGCACTTTTTGTTTTAGATATCATTAGCGATATTCTCAGATATCACAGAGACTTAAGACACAAGATATTAGCTCTTAACAGGGTGGGTGTTAAGGCTTTTGATGTATACATTTTAATACAGTACTGATGGAGAGTCGGTGAATGCTTCCATTTGTTTCCTACGAGTACATTCATTAATATTCTTTATAGTGTCAAGACTGAGAGATATTCAATAAGTGATATTGCATACAGAAATTTCAACTAAGTAGTAAACCAGAACATGTATGTAGGTCTTAGAAAATGTGTGAGACTATCTGTGAACCTTGTTTGTTCAAAACGCTATCGTGTGATTTACCAATAGCTATTTTAGGCGTATGCCTATCGAAGAGTCCTCATTCAGCTCAAGAATGACTTTTCTTATGTCTATTTTCCTCCAGCCTCTGCGTGTGCAACCCCGAACTGCAAGAGAAACACTTTGGCTTCAAAAGCACCACCAGTCTTTATTTCAACGGTTAAAGCGACGAAAATTTCATTTGGTAAGATCCTTTGGAACTCTCCAACGATAGCTCCCAGTGATATGATAACTATGATAATAGCAATATCAAAATACACGCAATTATGATAGACCTGTTTAACCTTAACAAATGAACGAAATTTTTATTTCTGTAATATTGTAATTTATAATTCGTCGAATTGTTACTTAATTTAAAGACATGCGTTTTCCGTCAATCGTCGAAATCGGCCCGGATTTGTCATTTTCACTAATTACACTATTTTTGCACTGCTTAAGCCAACCTGAACACAACACCAAGGAGAAAAAAAGCCCATTTCTGATATATTGTTTTTTTTGTTTTTTTGTTTAAGTTGCCTACAGTTTATTTTCAATTGTCCTTGCTGTATTACTGCTGGTATTCATAGTCATCTTTGTAAACTGGTTCAGAAAAAAGCGATTTGGCTTTTTTGTCGCGAGGCAAAATGAAGGTACATGGATACATGCTCACGAGCGTACATTCTGCTTTGGTGAAGGAGGTACGTATGTCACTTACAATGTACAATCCTCACTTTTTTCATATTTACGCGCGATAATTGTTGCATTTGAAGCGAAAAAGTTCATAAAAGACTCATGGTTTACTCATAAAGTGATGCTCTTTGGTTGTTTTATGCAATACAAAGTTTGATTGAATGTCGTTGTATACTAATATTGCATTAAAGAGAAACGCCTTCATCAGTGCTAGGGTTTATCTTAGGGTATGGACCAGTGGCCCAAACTCGGTTCCTGTTGTTCATTCTCGTCCTTAATCTTAGGATCTATCTTATTGTTCTCCGGTTTCCCTTGCCTCACACAAACCAGCAAGTCAAATTCAAATTGAACCTTGCTATACGTAAGCTTGCAAACGACTCCTTAAAATCTCAGCGTTATGTGGATGAGGAAATTACAATTTACCTTTTATAACCAACTAACTTTGCGTACGATGCATTTTTCTACATTCCATTTTACATTTATCTTTAAGTAGTGACATTTTTTCTTCTTGGACTACTACACAGGTTCAAAGGATATCACAGACGGAAAAGGGACTGTTGTATCTCGGTGTGCATCCTATGCAGAGATTCCGCCACTTAATAGAAAGTTGACTGCTGCATCTCCAACGGGCTCGGAAGCTTTTGACTTCCAAGGAGCAAGCGAATATCGAGCAGCATCAGCATTGCTCAAGGGGCCAGGAAAGACAATGCAGGTTGAACCTCACGTCAGCGGTGAAGAAAGGGAAGATAGTTCTCGAAACTTCAAGAGGACATATTCGTGTGTTAGTAACAAATCAACAGCGTCCGAAATCTCACGAATGATGTGGAACATCTCCAACATTCCGGAAAACGCTGATCCAAAAATGGTCGCTTGTGGACTTGTGGATCACAACGGAGGGAAATTCACAATAGGGAATACTGGTGTGAGCCTAACCGTACCAACAGGAGCCATCCCAGAGGGTCACACTGAAGGAATTTACATCGCTATTGTAAACAGAGAAAAAGAACACCCGCAAATCACTGGCAAACAGTCACTGCTGAGTCCAGTGGTTAAATGTGGTCCCACTGGTCTCAAATTTCAGCGACCAGTGATATTAAGTATACCACACTGCGCGCTTCTTGATAGAGGAGCATGGAAACTCAAAGGTAAAAATGGAATCAAATTGAGTAGGTCCCTCCCTTGTAAATACCGTTTAATTATCTAAGGCTGGGTATGCAGTTTTCTGATCTTGGGTTTTACGGCTTCTCTTTTCAACGAGGTCATGAAAACATTTTCAACCAGTCCTTAGGTAGCTTTTATTTATTTTGTTACGTTCATTTAATACTTGCAATATTGAGATAAGTACTGATCTGTCGAGCACAACGTCTTGCAAGCACTTCCAATTCGAGTCTATTAACTTGTCAAACAGAATAACAGGGAACTCCTTATGAATGCATTATTTTCTAAATTTTTGGGTGCTTTTCTTCACTGCAACTTGTACAGGAAAGGTTAATGCCAACGCAGGCTATCTTAACCTGTTAGGCTTGGGACAACATTGGAGCCTAAAAATGCTTTCAGGAGTGTTGTTGACGTTGTTGATGCTGTTGGTCGTTTTTTTTTTCTTCTTTAACGACTTCTTTTCTCTACCCGACAGTGCAGTATAATGAAAGTGAACCCAGCACAATTGCGGATTGGAAGCAGCTGATTGATGTCAGCACTCAGGATGGAACTGAGGACTCCCATGTTTTAGTTGGACCCAATACGGTCCATTTGATGGTGGATCATTTTACCCTCTTTGCTGTGATTGGAGAGTCAACAGCCGATCAGAAAGCAGAGCGAGATTTGCAGGTTTTAGCTTACGTTACACCTCCAGAAGCCAACTCCGACTGTGTTGTGAGAGTTTATTGCGTTGAAGGCACTCCAGCAGCAATTGAGGTTTGTGAAGTGACTCGCGAAGTAAGCTTGCTTTAGTTAGAATAGATGAACCCATATCTTTCGAATTCGTAACAAGGGTACAGCGTGAGTATCAATAATCAAGGATTCTTTACTACACAGCTATATACGAGAAAACGATTATTAAAATGATTATTTCCCACCATACAAGCAATTGGATGAGTTGATATATAATTTAGATTTTGATATAGTACGAATACGGTAGATCTTTGTCCATTTTTCTGTAAAACAGGCCTTAAATCAGATTTTTTCCAAAGGTGGCGAAATATTTCTGCAAAGTAAAGTGGCAGAATCATCTTTATTAGTGTTACACATTTTCTTTGCTTGTTCTTAGCTATTATACCTGTTTCTTATTCCAGGATGTACACAATCATGAAATAAAGAAGTATCGAGGTGAAACGATTGAATCTCCTCAACAACTTCGCTTCAAGGACGGCGGGGGAGATCTTTTAGTCGAACTTACGGATTGTCAAACGGGCTGGCAGCCCAGACTGAAAACAAAGGTAGACTCATCTTATCGTGGTATGATATACGTTTTGCAGGTCTATTACGTGAAGGCCAATGTTTGCGCCTTAAAAGAGAGTGAGTGCAATGTCTTTTACGTTGAAAGTAGTTCCTATTTTCGTAGAAATGGAACCTCCGACCCCATCTTGAAAGTGGCGGGTTTTTTTTTATTCTACGAGATGGCTTATTTATCACATGTATGTTATAAACCATGGATTGCATTTTCTAGCAAAACTGAAAATGCAAATGAATGGTATTTTATGACGAGAGAGTGATTACCGGCGTCAATTTAGCTTTTACTTTTTTTTTTTTTTTTTTTAACTCAGAAAATTCGTTTCCGAGACATTTGGGAAGGCATCCACCGCTTACCGAGTGCTACGTTTGTGTTCTCCTTGCGTGACACAACTGTGTCTGGATTTAGTGCTCAATTTGACGTGAGACAGGATTGTGAAAATGGTGACGAAAGAGAAGTCAATGTTGTGACAACGGTCAAACGAGGACATGAGGTGAGTTTGTTGAAATCACATTTACAACTGATCGTCTTAGAAAGGAAACCCTTAGTGCTGGAACAATTTGTCTTTATATTAGATCGTTTCAGATCGTGTGACGGTTCACGGACGTAGGAAACCCTTGCAAACGTGATTTTGAAATGTCTATATTGCTTTTTGTTTCGTCTTTTTGGACATTTTGGCTCTTATTCCTAGATTTTCTTAGAAATCTTTATGTAACATCTGTTTGACGGCAACTTGGTCCAACAGGCTTCCCTTCAGAAATTATGCATACATACAATGACCTGATTTGATCACACATCCAGTGAAAGACTGACGTTGCTTGCCCTCAGTTTTCTTCTAACATTGAAAGGAATCGAGATGTCTTGCGCCGTTCAACCCAATAACATATGGATAGGTCGCCTGTGGCTGGCTGGCACAGGCATCCTAATTACTGGCTAGTTTTCTGACTGACTAGCCCGCAGGCTGACAGAAACTCTAAAAGATAAAGAAAACCTGTAAGAGTATTGGTAATTACTAATCGGTAGATCTACATTGGTCAGTTACACTGCGGTGAAGTTGCCTTTCTTTATATTTTTAGGAAAGTACGGGACCAAGGAACGATCAAAGGCAATCAAACACCAGCCTCGCTGCAAGGTGCGAAGATTCGGCAAACTTTCCTACAGGGGCAAGTTTTGCATGCCTGATGGATCATTCCACGGCATTGTTGAATGCAGGATCAATCGGTAATCCTTGGCATTATCGACAGTCAGAAGTCGCTGGAGCATATGGGGGTATCCCTTCCTCGTCTCCCATGTCTGCAAGGCAGATGTCGTCTGGATACTTTTCTGTTGGTTTCGAGTCACTGCAAACTGTGGGTTTGCTGAGTCGCGAATTGCGGAGTAAACTTGCTCTCATACTTGACCCCCCACTAGAGTCCGACTGGAAAGTTTTGGCAGATAAGTTTGGCCTCACTCATGAACACATTAAGTGGATTGATAGTAGGAAAAATCATTCTCCTACAGAAATCCTCTTTAACTATTTGGAGACGATTGATGTACCACAATATCGATTTTCTCTGCCAAAATTATCAGAAATACTGCAGCAGATTGGTCGGGACGATGCCTTTGAGATTGTTACCGCTGAAATGTCAAAGAAGAAAGAAACAGAAGTTTGATTCCCAGCTTTAGTAGAGATGCCATGGGAAGCAACATTTTACACTAACAGATCTTCAGGAGAAAAGCCCTTTAAGGCGTTTAAAAGTCTTTACGTTACAACCTTTTCTCGAAGTTAAGATTCTTGGCAAAGGATCTTAACAATGCAGACGGCTAATGTTCTCTAATATGAACTGAATTTATGTTCATTCCTCTAAAGAATGATCGTTTTCGCTTCTTTAGCACTGAACATTGGAAATAAGTTCCCATTGTTCCGCATATTACCTAGATACATAATGGGAGATGTTGAGTAGTCATTTGATGGCTTAAATGTCATTTTATTGTTTGCAAAACAATTTCTCAGACCAGAAATCGTTCTTACGCTATTTTCTCAGATTTATCGGGCTTTTTGAAACGAGTGTTTAACCTTCCGGACAAGAGCGTATGAAAAGGCTCGCCAGCATGGCTTATGTTTTCATTTTCGGGTACAATGACATGATCAACCACCTCTCCGGTCATCATCAATGCTTGGCGAGGTAAATATGAGAAAAGACAGGTACTTTGGGATCTAGGTTTGTCACTATCGTACCCATTCAAATGCTGTAGTTTTAGCTTTCGCCAGGGGACCTAGTTTTGATGATTTTCACAGCTTTGGTAACGCTACATTTACCCTATACCAAAGAGATCGATGAATTATTTTAGTACTATCTATAATTTATTTTGTTGTTTTTGGACATTCTATTATTTTTTAATTTAAAATATTTTCTAATCTGATCTCTGTGAAAATAAATAAACTTAGAAATAAAAACCCTGTACCCTTACGTAATCTTCAAGAATTTATTGAACACGCTAACCCATTCGTCGCCTGAGGTACATTTACGTTCAGTAGTGTAAATATTGAGAGCAATTTTAAGGGAATCTAGGCTATGACTGTTTTAATGGAAGAGACGATAACAACGAAGAATTTTGAAACGAGTGTTATCTTTAGTTTATTTCATCGTAGACTTATAGGAGACGACAGCGGCTAGGATTTTATTTTTCCAAACCTATTCAGGCGCTGACTTGTTTCTGTTTGCGCACTAGACCCCTCTTTGCACCAATTTGATCATCAGACTAGAAAATAGTTGTACTGATTTGCATGGTGTATGGTCACAGCAGGTCAGGGAAAGTTGGGGAAAAAATTCAAACATGTGACCCTCCACGAGGTTTCAGGAAATAAAGTGAACGCACGCACACGGCACGTTTTAACACGCTCGCACGCTAATGGCATGACACGCTTGCCATGCAGATATACACATAAAAGCAGTTGATTTTCGAAAGCTTGTAGCCATTGTTCATGTCTGACCAACACGATAGAGCATTGTTTCTATAACACGCTTGATTTTTTTTAACACGCTATGGTCCCTATGTTTCTTAACATGCTAGCTTATCTTATGCAGTCCAGCTTACTTCGCTACTAAATTATTTTCCGGCTCCATGTCTCCTGCACGATCGCTGTTCGTCACTCAATGCAAACCGGCATTTTTAAAATAAATAACCGCCAGTTAGCCGGCGCAAGGCGAAACTTTCCGAGCGAAGCCGGCGTGTTATAAAACTGGCACGGTCACCGTGTTATATCGTGCAAAGTTACGAGTAAAATCTTAACACGTTCCTTTGTTTCTACCGTGCGAAGCAAGACAATGGCTGCCAAGTTAATGAGGCAGGTAACTTGCACGCAGCTAACATGTTAAAAGCTCGTTCTTTTGTTTTAGCGTGCTAGTGTACCGCGTGCGTGCGTTCACCCTATTCCCTGAAATCCCGTGGAGGGTTACATATTATTCTGCAATGAGCTTCTGCATCTGGTTTTTCAAGTTTCATTGCACTTGGTCTCCTCTCTAGTCACACATTGCTGACTGGCAGTGTCACTGAAACCTCAGCAACCCAAAGCAGCATTCCAAACATTAGCGGGTAATTCACTTTACTTTTCATAAGCTGGTAGAGGAACCATGTAAGGATGTTGCTTGTCTTACTATTCCTCACTTCTTCTGGTATTGCTGCCTTGATGTTCTCACCAATCTCGTACTTCATTTGGTTCCATTACGATTGTAATCTGCCAATTGCTCCTTCGTCTGCATGGAAGAAGTGGAAAGCCAACACTTTCATCTCGTCTTTTCCATGCACTTTAAAACCGGATTCATCGGTTCCAGGCACTTAAACTGGATCAAATATGGTAAAAGCGAACAAGACATCATGACATTACAAAAATGCAAATGCTCTTCAACGTCCTTTATCATGCTGCTGATTTTCATCTCCTGAATGCTTACAAGTGCCTTACCATCCTTTCTGGACTTCTTCGCTTCTATACCAAAAAATCCAATGCCATCGAAATCTTTTTAAGGGTTTCCTACGCAGTGTTTTCTGATTTGATTGTTTCAAGCTGCGCTTTTGTGTGTGCAATTGCAGGAAGTATTAATCAATTGTCCTTAGGCATATTTAATGTCTTCTAGGAACATTTGCCTCACAGCTTTTCCCAAGCAAGAATTGATCCTCTCCGCCTTAAGTTTAGAAAACAACAAAAAAATGGTATCTCCATCATTTTGAGTTAGGGGTAGAAACTTAGGATTAGGGACAGAGCGTTTCTTTGACACATCCTCCTCAAATTCTTTCTGAAGAGAGGACACCCTCTGAAGTCCATGACTTTCAATGCTTCGAGCGTAAATTCCGGACTGCTTTTGGTTATTAAGGGCAGCTAGATTGCATCTCAGTTCACTTTAGTTCAGGTAGGCTTCTGTCGTTACCGACAATGCCGCGTGAGATCATCTATTTCGCCCGTCGAAGATGACAGCTCTTGAGTTTCTTCAGGTTCATCAGTTCATGTATTTTTGTTCCTCTGTAAATACTGACTCGCCACTGATCACGGTGTTTTGAGGTCTCTGTCCAGCACACTAGATTCATATCACGAGTCCACGTTTAAGAATGTCTTTGAATCGGAGCTTAGGCCGCCCTACAGATCTGGTCCCTTCTCTGAAGACGCTGTGCAGTATAGTGTGTGGAATGTGATGTTTTGGCATCCTGTTGACATGTCCTGCTCAGCGGACTCAGTTTTGAAGAGAGTAACCAAAGTTTGCGATTCGGAACAGTTCTTCATTTGTCATCTTATCCTCCCATGTGATTCCAAGGAGAGATCTGAGGCATCTGAGGTATCTGTATGTGGTCCAGCATTTAGCACCAAATAGTAAGATACTCGAATTGCAGGCTTCATACCTTACTTTGGTCTTAGTGGTAAGATGCGTATTCTTCCATACACGATCAGTTGTAGAAGCTTTCCCAAGTCTTATGAATATCTCGTCCTCTTGAGACACGTTTGAGTGCATCGTTGATCCCAGATAGGAAAACTTGTTTGAGATTACCTGGTGGTGTGTTGTCAACTTTAAAAGTGTGTGGCTGTGCAGATTGCGACATAACGACGGTTTTCTTCAGACTGATGGTAAGACCAAAAAACTTTGCATGACTAGGAGAAACAGTCCAGAAATTCTTGAAGCTACTCCGCAAATGAGGCACAAAGAACAGCATCATCATCAAAGAGAAGCCTCCTGATGACCACTTCTCGAACTTTTGTCTTTGCCTTGAAGCGGGGCAGACGAAAGAAATTACCATCATCACCAATTAGCACACACCAACTAATTTGTCCGGTTGTTGGTAGGCTTGTCTGAAGAAGTGTGAAAAGTACAGGCCAAAGAGAGTGGGAGCCAGTATACGTCACTGCTTTACCCCTCTCTTGTGTGTCAGAGACATCGCCGTTGTTTGCCTCTTGGGTCTGTCATGTGGATCGTGCTTTCAAATTGAGTAGTGCGTCTTGTTTACTGGCGAGACAGAGCAAGTCTACAGAACTGGTAATTAAAGGCAAGAGTCATCACTTTATCGGAGAACAGAATTCTCTTCCTTACACGTATGATAACTCCAATCGTACGATAGATAAAACTCCAACAGTTTTAAATGCGTTTTTTAATGCTCAATACAACTAAGTGACGACAACTAGCAGCAAATTTCGAAGAATTTGAGACAATAATTCACAAGAACTTGATTGAAATACTGATTTACAACATTCATTTCTCGTGTCTACACCACTTTCTGTCCTACCTTTGGCACGACCTACAGGCTTCTGTTTCCGCCCACCCCTTGAAGCTGAACTGCTGGATACGAAGCCCAATAAGGGTCCAGCGTGAAAATAAACTTAAAAGAATCATCATAGTCGTGATCACTGAACTGGTTACTTTGAGTAAATCAACTCAACATTTGCCATCTTGTAAGCGATGTTTAATAGGTAAGTCATTATCAGTTATAGGTAAGTCAGAATCAGGTCTGATTATCACGCTCAAATAGTAATATGGTCGCTCGACATGATCATTATCAAACAGTGTGATGTTACACTGTTATAATAACTAAATCTTTGCTGTGTCGTGCAACCGTAAGAAAGAAAAATATATTTCAAGAAAGCACTGCATAAACACTTCGGTTTAAAAATGCTTTGATCAAAGAAATCATGGGAAGTGGAAATATTTATTTGATTGACAACAAGAACGATGTGAAGGCACAGCCATTTTCATAGGCAATCTAAACAGACCTGACCGTCCGAATACATAATTACAACAAAACTTTTAGGAAGGAAATCTTACGTTTATGGTCAGATATAAGCTGAAAGAAGGCATGAAAGGCCCGAGAAAAAAGGCGCAGATCTAGCAAATGGCAACGTAGAGCTCAAAAAACCAAATGTTAATTAAGGGAAAAGAGGTCATGAACTTGTAACAGGGATGACAAAAGATGCAGGAAAGGAGGCAATTCTCATCATATCTACGTTTTCTCCAACGAGACCCGCAGCGATTGAATAGACTGTTTTGAAAATCGTCTGCAGGGAACTTTCCTTTAAGTTCGGTTTGTCGCTTTTTTGTTGTTTGGAAAGTATGTTGCGTTGACGTCCAACGACAATAGGTAAAGACAGTCGAGCGTGGAATAGAATTTGAATTTTGTTAAGTTTCAATTAGTGCCCTAAAGTATCGCTCTAATTATTCGTTCTTTAAGTACTTATTGAAAGATTCGTTTCGGAATTCAATTCAATAATTTGCCACACTCAGTTAATTAGACCTTCCTCCTTCCTACGTTAATGTTATTTTGTAGTAAGAGCAGTTACTGCCTTCTTTCAGCGTTAACAAATAAAAACTTAACAAATAAAAGCTCGTTGGTAACTAATTACATTAGATATAAGATTTAGACAACAAATCAGCCATCCTGCGTGGCCAAAATTTATCCCGACACAAACTTGTCTGCAAATTTTTGAGACTCCCAACATAATTATTCTCTTCGAAAGGGACGGGAAAAAGTTATTCTTTAGGATGCGAGTTGAATGTGTTAATACAACCATGTAAGGCGGTTCAGGAGCAGTACGTTCGCGCAAAAGCAGCCAAATTTAGATTATGGTTCAACAAACACAATGAGCGCCTCAGAGCACGCCCAACTCTCTTTGTAAATGTGAGAGAGAGAGAGAGAGAGAGAGAGAGAGAGAGAGAGAGAGAGAGAGAGAGAGAGAGAGAGAGAGAGAGAGAGAGAAAGGGAGACTAATGATCTTGTTTACATAATTTTACTGATCTCAAAGTCTTAGTGAGGGCAAATACCTTTTTAAGTTAGATTGGAGTTGACTGCATTCGTGTGCGCTGAGTTTTAGTTTGTATTTCGTCTATATTCTGAGTATTGTAGCAGGCGTACTTTATATACTCGAGTCGTTTTAATGGTATACCTTGTTAGAGAGCGGGTGTATTCGGTATTATATTCAGCCTGATTTTATGATATAGAACAACATACACTTACAATTTACGATGGTCAGCATGTGCAAAACATCAAGATCTGATACCTCGTTTTCTCCAAAACATGCAGCATAAAACCTTTAGCCATGACAACGTCGTACAGTCTTCTTTTCGATCTCACCAACACGAGAATTTTCGCCTTCACTTTACCTGCCTTCCGATAAATTACGTGAAAGCTTGACATTGAACGTTTTTCTGATGGTATTTTGTGTACGTCCATTAGGGCTTCAAGCTCATCTTTCGTCAGATCATTAGCATCGTGACGTGAGAAAGTGAATTTAGACGTGTAAAGTCGGAGAGAGCTGAGACTTGGTCCACTCCACCAGTTACCCATTTTCTACGCAAATGGAGAGATGAAGTGTTTGTAAGGTACGAAGCTGGACAATTTTATTTACTTTTCTGGAAAATGCCGCTGGATCTGAATAATAATAATTATAATAAAATGAAATTAGCAGCAGGTTGATCGAAGGAGTAATTGTTACTTACAGAGAAAGTAACCAACTATGGATCAAGCTTGGTAATGTTCAGAAAACTAACACTAAGGAAAAGTTACGTTCGCTTAGGAAGGCATCGTTCCTGTAGCGAGGAAGAGCTCTAGCGTTGTAAACAGCTGTCAATATCAGACTGGTAATAATAAAAACAGTAGTAATAAAAATAATCTAACAAACAGAAATATCGAATCCGATTTGATATTTCTGTTCGTTGATTTCGTTGGATGTTTTTTTTTCCGGATCCTGCCTTTCAAAGTTTTTTTTGCGCATGCGGAAACCGCTATTAGTGCTCTTTTAATCTCTGTTTCTTCGGGGATAATATCGCAGCATGGGAACCGTATCCTCGTTAGATCGATTATTGTTGGTTGGGAAATTATAGTTTCCTCTAAAGTTATTTTTCGTCATAAAGAACGTTCGTCATATTATCTAAGCTAAAAGCATAATGAGAAAATATAATGATTTATTCGTGAGAGAAACAAGGTCCCAACTTAAAACAATATTTAGTTGTTATCAACCGTGCGGGAGGTCTGTTTGAGAGAATCTTGACTGGAGACACATTATACACTGAACGGGGTGAGGCTTTTTACCAGCTATTTGCAAGAAATCATAAGGCCGAGACTTGAGTAATTCTCGTTTTCCTCATATGCAGCCTCAATCCTTTAGCTGGTTTACTTCCGTCACTAATTTCCAGTCCAAACAGGACAGAAAGAACTTTTGTATCAATGAATTAAACAAATAGCAGTTCTTCCAGAAAGCTTCGATGAATTTGATAAACGCTTGTCACAAAATATAATTAATTTCAATGCCTGTCTGTGACTTGATATCTCAGAGATCAGTTCTCATTCAGCCTTGCAACTTTCGACTAATAATTTCAGAAAACGTTGGTAATGCATGTATAGCTTTCAACAAGCTTGTCAATATGTGTTTCGGCAAAAATGGTTTGCGGCTGGAATTATTGCACTGTATAGATATTCGTCAGAGTTAAAGTGGAATCGCACACTTCCCTTTTCATGCAAAGGTTTTAGAATCATTGCCAGAGTCGCTTAATGTTCACAGTTTATGCCCGGCACCATCTTAGAGATGAGAAATTTTGTACAAAGAAGATCGAACTCATTTCCTTAGGGAAACTTGTTAAGAGTTACAGTTAATCTAATTCTTAAGAATACGGGTGATTCCTCGACGAAACGTTGAAGGCCTGAAACTCGCTTAAGTTACAGTAACTCGAATTTATAAGAATATGGGTGATTACTCGACGAAACGTTTAATGCCTGAAACTCGAATAGAGTTATAAATACTCGAATTCTCAAGAACGTAACGAAACGAAACGTTGAATGCTCACACGAAAAGCCTAAAAGAATTCAGGGGACCTCTTTCCGAAGTTGTATGGTAATCATTATAAAATCATGGAATATCGAGCTGTAGCCAGTCGAGTGAATGTTATGAATGACATGCATTTGTTCAGAAAACCAATCAGCAAGTTACCTTTCGATAAATGTTCCGATGGCTCATTGTAGTTGGCTTTGCAAGAAGAAGGAAAGTGTGGTGTTACTTCCTTTTACGATAACTTAATTTCCGATAAACACTCTATTCCTGTCTTGAATATGGAAAGTTATTAAGGTAGCCAATTTGAATAATAAAGGATTTCAAACACAAAGAAAAATTTTACATAAGGTTTCAACGCAGGAAGACCCTCATTTCCGAGAAATCTTGGGATGCTTGATAACACGACACGGAGGGGGGGGGAGGTGGGAGAGGAGGTGGAGAGGGAGGTGGACGGACTCGGCTTAAACAACGGACTGCATCCTACCAACCGGGTGTAAAATGCGTACCCGGTTAAAAAATTTGGACTGAAAATCATTAGCGTTGATCTGTCAGGTTTTTTCATTATATTTTCCCCTTCTTTCCTTTTCAGGTAATTAATTAGTGATCTCTTTTTTTCTATTTTGAAAAATGAAGAAAGTAGCACCTTCACTTATGATAAGTTTTTTGGTAACTCCGTGATGTTACTTTCTTACAAAGGCGGCAAATTATTATGCCATTTAACGTTGCTATACATCAGTCGTTTAATTGAAGTACATCGGCGGCTACATTGATGTGAATATGTTTGGCTTGCCGGAACGCCGTTTGTAAAACTCAGGCATTCAGACTTTAACGAAAAGGCTCAAAACAGGAAGATAATTGTTTACGTGATACCTTTATTTGTTTAACTTGCTAAGAGTTACAGTACATTTTTAAGAATATGGGTGATTTCTCGACGAAACGTTGAATTTCCGGGTTTTCTTTTGAAAAAAGAAAATATCCACGCAAATGTTAACCTTATTCGTGTCGTAAGCTGTATGTGGCGTCAGATATTTGGGAAACAGTGTTTCCAATCCTTGGGCTCTCATAGATCGATACCTTCACATGGAAAAAAAACAGCCAAAAGAACAAAAACGACAAATGAACAAATGACGCTTTCAGCCAACAATGAAAATACAATCAAATTAATTACACGCGTTCAAAATTAGTGATTACTTTTTGTTCTTTATTTGAAGGGGAAGCAGCTAATGCAACATGATGAATGATCAGTGCTAGGATCATCATCTAGGAGAGTATGATGTCTACCATGCACAAATGCAAGTTTGCCATGTTTTTTCACGACCAAATCTTGAGTTTCAATCAGCTGCATAGCCATGAAACGGTTAATGACATCTTCGTTTGGGCCGGTAATTATGTTATTCCCAATTCTAAGTAAACCTAGAACTCCAACCGTAATCCCCAGAATAGAACCAATCGCATAGTAAACAGCCCCAGTTATGATACTTGAGATGCCTGCAGCCAATCCAGTCCTGCCGAGAAAAGACCAGGTAAATAATTTTTAAAAAAAGTAGAAGAGAACGAGAGCGTCTTTATATAGGTGAGTGCCTGTTGTATTTTGTTGCAACGAAAAATAGCGATAAACAATGGAAGACGAACATGCCAAAATAAAAGCGAAGAGCAATACCTTTCCCAGTCCACATTGATCGACATCTTCCCTTCAGCCACAACAACATCATACCGATGTTTTTTTGATCGGGCAAATATTAGAATGGTCTTTCGTATGGGACCTGATTCTTGGTGATCAATGACAAGCGACCGGGCCCTCGATCCGTAACGTTGCGCTTCTGATATTTGGTAGTAGTCCATCATTTTTCCAAACTCATCCTCAGTCAGACCTTTCGCATCGTCGCGCCGAAAGGTAAAGTTATAGTTGTAAAGATCCATCCTTCCGAGACTTTTTGCGTAGTCTCGGAAGGCTGTGGTGAGATCACCCACCATGCCAAAGTCTTGTTTGATGACCGAGTTGTCCATAATCTGAAGACAGAGGAATGTAGTACGTACATAAAGTTACGATTGGGAAGAGTGACTTTGTTACAAATGCAGGTGAATTTTTAAAGAGCTACGTCATTTTAAATGTATGTTCCGCACTCTTAATTCCCCTAATCGCATCTAACAAATTCTTATCACAAGATTAATATTATTACGATTCTTTCAAGGACAATCGAGGTTCTTGCAACGAGACTGAGTAGAAAAGAATTCTTTTGGCAAGAATGTATTACATCGGAGTATCTTGAGAAGAATCTCTATTTCAGAAACTCTTGCTACAAGAATCGGGAATTCTTTTCTCAAGAACGTGAATTCCTTTTGGCAAGCAATGAAGTAGAGAGTTCTTCTGGAAAGACTGTTTAATTGCAAATCTTAGAGAAAGAATCACAATTTCAGAAACTAAATTTGAGGAATTCTTTTTCTCGAGAACGAGAATTCTTTTTGGCAGGCAATTAAGAAGAAAGTTTTTCTGGAAAAAATGTTTATTTGCAAATCTTGAAAAGAATCGCTATTTCAGAAGTCATAAGATAAGAGGCAGAATCTTTGTTAAAAGGATATGAATTCTTACAGTCAAAATTTTATTAAGTAAACCTTTTTTGTCAGTAACTTTGGTGATTATACACATTCATATCTGATGTAGCTGTGCTTCATGACAGCGGTGGAGTAGCTACTTAAACGTTTCCCTGGGAAAACGAAAAATGATGTCGTAACCACCATAAGTTACATTAAATTTTGGTGTAAAAACTCTTGATCAATATCAGTATCTGGGCAACTACCCACCTACCCCTCCCCTAACCCAACATTAACCTTATCTTGTTGTCCATTGACTGTTGTTGAGTTAGGGAGGGGTAGGTGGGCTGTTGCCCAGATACTGATATTGATCCAAAATTCTAAACACCAAAATTAAAAATTTTGGAGGCGAAAGACCTACCGGGAGTTCCAAAATAATTCTTCAATTTCGTTCGAATCTGTTTTGTTAGCTCTCCGCGGTCGATGTTTCAAAAGCGCTTGGTAACAGCCCTGTATCCGAATCGGTTGCACGGGCTCAGCGTTTCTAATCTTTCCGAAAAGGTGCGCCGAATTAAGTTGTTGCTGCCTTCCATTCAATCTGGGAATGAAGATGATGACGTAATATGTGACTAACACAGACAATAGACTGTACCATTTTACGCCACCATCTGCGTCGTCACATATTAAATAAATTATTATATATATATATATATATATATAAAGTATATTAACGGCGTAAAATTTTGCATCATATATATTACCGACTGGAGGAAATTACGCTGTTAGTTAACGAGTAAAATCGTACGGTATATATAGTACCAACCAGAGGAAATTACGCCGTTACTTGACAATAGATATTACCGACTGAAAAAAATTACGCCGTTAACGTCGTAAAAATATCTTACATATACTGTGAAGTTTTACGCCGCTAACTAACGGCGTTATTTCTACCAGTATCTGATGTTTATACGGTAAGATTTTACGCCGTTGGTTAACGGCTTATGCATATCGAAACAGATAGTGGCGTATAATCGTACAATGTATAGACTGTGTTAGTCACATATTACGCCGTTATCTTTTTACCGCTTCGATCTCATATGAGGAATGATATTTCAGCGGCCAATACCACCTTCCGCTCTAAAGTTAACTTCTACGTTAGGAGGGCATTCAAATCTGTGTTCATATTGAGTGATGCATAGGTATACTCGCAGTGCCAGATGGGTTCTATTAATTTATTGACGTGTAACAACTGCTTTGTTGCAGATTGTAACAGTCAGTGGTATGGGATATGATCAAGGAGTGATATATCTAAGTAATATACAAAGAATGAGATATGTAGATAAAAAATGAAAGTTGTCAATACAGTGAATGTTCATATAGTTGTTCATTGATAATTTGATGTATACAATATGTTGTTATGAATATGTATGTGAATTGTATGTTAAAAGATAAAACCAAATAAAATGGGGTATGATTTAAAAGTGACGTATCTTTTAACTTAGATACAAAGTATGAGATATGTAGATACATAATGGTAATTGAATTGAGTGGAGTGCAGTTTGGGCTGAAATTATACGTGTGATTTCAAAATCGAACAAGTGCGCAGCGCGAGTTCGATTTGAAATCACAAGTATGATTTCAGACCAAAATTGCGCGACACGAGGTTCAATTACCACTTTATTACATGCATTTTGAAATCACCCAGATACAGGACTTGGTCAGTTCAAGTATTTCATTGATGCAGTACTGAGCCGGTTTGAAATTAAATCATCCATATTTTTGGGATTTCAAAATCGAACAAGTGTGCAGCGCGAGTTCAATTTGAAATCACAAGTATGATTTCAGACCAAAATTGCGCGACTCGAGGTTCAATTACCACTTTATTACATCCATTTTGAAATCGCCCAAATACAGGACTTGATCAGTTCAAATATTGTGTTGATGCAGTACTGAGCCGGTTTGAAATTAAATTCATCCATTTTGGGGAGGGAAAAATAAGAGTTCTGGAAACAAAGGTTGCAAAACTTGCCACATGATACTCTTTGCCTTTCATTTTCCTGCAATTTGATCGGTTACTTTAAAAAAGCCTTAAAATTTGATTGGTTATTTTTTTTTTGGTCATAAAAGGTCGCCTTATACACGAGAAAATACGGTGGTTGTTCATTGATAACTTGATGCATACATTATGAATATACAAGTTAATTTTAAGTTATGCTGATTGTACGTTAGACATAAAACTAAATAAATCAAAATTATTTTCAATGTAATTTCATGTGTTAGACGAAAATCAATCCTTTCAATAATTCGACAAAACCCAGTAAAGGCATGAGATTTTTCTCAATTGAATATTCAGACCTCAAAAGAGCACAAAAACTTTATCAGCAAGAATACTTTTGAATGTTATTCTTCACACAAGCAAATTTAAATCTCTGGAGAAGTTCTATTGATTTAAAAGCGAATATTCATTCTTGGGTGAAGGACAAAAATTCTTATGAGAAGTCTCAGAAACTAACATTCTTCTCAAACAGATATTGGGTCTGTGAAGAGCAGTAATTCTTCTGATAAGCCTCCTTGAAATATGAGATTCTGCTCAAATGGAAATCGTCTTGGGAGGGGTTATTTACTTGTTGTTGGCAAAATATTTTTGTTCTTGTGGGAAAAAACTAGCATTCTAACTAGAATCAGACATAAATGAGATTCTTCTCATAAGAATTCGTAACCTTGGGAGAAGACACACAGATCTTTCCTTAAATGGATATCATCTTGGGAGGAGAGCAGTGTTTCCTCTCGGAAGAGTATCTCATAAACCGGCTCTTGGCAAAAGAATTTTCCTCTTGTGGGAAAAAAACTACTTTTCTTCTTACAAGAATCAGACATACTTGAGATTCGTCTCATAAGAATTCTTAACCTTAGGAGAAGACCCACAGTTTTGTTCCTCAAGAACCCGATTCCCTATCTTGAGAATTATAATTCTCCTCTAAGGATGAAGAATCTGAAATAATCAATTCTCCTCTGAAGAAACATGAATCTTTCAGAAAGAATTCAATTTCCTTTTGAAAGAATTGGACTTAAGAGTGGGCTTTCAAGCTGTAGAATATGCCTTTGTTTACAAATAAAATTGGGTTAAATACTCTCAGATTCACAAATCTTAATTCAGCTCCTTTGAATTAAAGGTAGATGGAAAAATGAGATTAGCAACGGGCATTCTGTTGGAGTCTATGAGAATGACCGTGGTAAGCGGTCAGAAAAAGTGACAAGAAAAAAAAAAGGCAGCTAGTGACTACGTCGAGTGGATTTCACAAGAGAGAATGAGGATCATGAAGGGAAAGGAACTATAGCTCTAAGAAATGCTAGCTTAAGTCTCTTGGTTATCTTTGGAGAAGACAAACTGCTCTGGTTTTCAGAGAATTGGATAGGCTTATTCACTGGGTAAATCCTATCCCTCGGATAAGAGAAATCTTAAAAAGCCTTGTTTGTTTATCACAGCAGCAATGCTGAGCGGATTGAAAGAAATGTTCAATCGGATTTTGTAATTCATAATTTTTTTTCCTAGTAGTAGCATTGAGTGTGTAAAGGAAATTAAAGGCTTACTTACCGAGTGAAAAGTTTGTGAATCAACATAACAAACAACTTAAACTACCCTCCAACTCTCGAAGATAATTAATCACATTATAAAATTAACAGAAAGCATGAGTAAAGGCATACTGATGTAACAAGGAAAAGAATACATTTTGGAGTTTTATTCCAGATTTTAAACACGTCTGGAAAATGAATAACAAGAGAATAAGTCACTACGTCTACCTGCAATGCATAACAGGAGATTGCAAATAACCGTAAGCCAATCAATCGACCTTCGAAAAACATCGTTGTGTCCTTTTTACTCTAGATTTTCCCAAAAAGCGTTGGGATAAAGAGAAATCATCCGAGTCCTAATGAAGAGTGACTTTGTCACAAAACATCCCATCTGCGTTGAATTAGTTTTCATTGCAATATCTTATTCACCAACTTTTTCTCGAAAATAAAAATAGAAGAGTTTCAAGACTTTCTTTCGTCGTTGGCAAAGAGCATTTGTGTCTATTTTGGGTCTACTTGCGGACATTTACAGTTATATTCGATAAATGAATGCACGATCAAGTCGAATGGAAACTTCTTTCCGAATTCGAGAGCACTGGCTTTTCCATGAAGGAGAAATAAGTTGATACATATAAGAAATATGAAATATCGAGCCGTAGCCAGTTGAGTGAATGTTATGGATGAGACGAAGAGTTTAGATGTCTTTTCTTAGCTCATGCGGATTGATATTCTAAAAAAAAACAGGAAACCAAGACGCTTACATCAGCATAAACGTCATAAAATTTTTGTAGAATTTGCATAGGTGGTTTCGTTTCTTTTTCACGGTTTGACAAGCAAACCAAACAGTAATTTAACTTTCGACAAGCGACATACTCCTCATATCGAGTGCTTATGCCTAAGAAACAAGCGGCCTCAAAACGCTAACGAAGCACAACGACATACGAAATTTTGTGGAATTGCATATGAATTTCGTTTCTTTCTAACGGTTTTGGTTACATGACATGCATTTGTTCAGAAAAACAAACAGCATTTTACCTTTCGGTACGTTTTCCGTCGGCACAAGACCGGAAAGTGCGGCGTTTCTTCGTTTTACGATAACTTGGTCTTCTGTATTTACTTCATCACTACCTTGAAAAGGTGAAGACCTAATTTGAATAACATGCAAACAACTATTCAAAAAAGTCCCAAAACAGTAAGATGATTGTTTCCGAGAAACAGGTGGTCACCTGAAAGCAAGACGGGAAGAGAGGGAGAGGGGATGGTCGGAAAAATCAAATGTCAGCTCAAAATGGCATTGAGGATTTTTAATACGTTTTCTAGTAACTCTGTGATGTCACCTTTAAAGGTGCAGTCTCTCTAAAGCCGTCCGATGCATTTCGGTTCAAAATATCGATTTCTTTCAAACTTTGCCCATTAATCTTTCTTTCTTAGTCTAAAAATTGCAAAATGAATTTTTTCTGAGCGAGAATCGCTTCAGCAAATGTATGTACTGAATTAAACTAGATGAGTAATGGATGAAATATATATATATATATATATTACAGAACCCCTCACCTCTTTCCGTCCTCCCTTTGGCAGGACACATAGACTTCTGTTTCAGTCCGTTACAGCTGTACTGCTACATGCAAAGTTCAATACTGAGCGCGTATGCAACTAACTGTTTAAAATCATAATAGCAATGATCAGTAAACTGGTAACTTTGAGTTAATTATCATACTGTAGTATATCAACAAATGTCAACTTTTTCGATTTGTTTGATTGGTAAGTCATTTGTTTCGGCTTTGATTTTCACTCTCAGACCGTGATAAATGTTATAGTGATAGATATTACAATCTGTGATGTGTAGTCAAACCTTCAGAATCCGATCGGGAACAAGTGAAGCTCAATGAGTTGTTAAGTATTTTACAATTCAGCGACAAAGATACAGACTAGACTTATTGGCCCTTGAGTGACAGTTGTGGAAGCCGGAAGTTTGCGATTTTCTGCAACACCTTGGATCAAGATAATCGGCTCTCCTTATGTATATTTTGGTTGGTACATTTTTGTTTCCACGCAAATTGTGAATTAACCCATCTACTTGCTAACAATGGATATTTTAGCTCCGACCAGTTGGTTACGCAATCAGTAGCTTGCCTAATTTGCGGCATTTTGTGAGCTTTGGGTGCCGGAGCTGCGAAACAAACGCTTAGGGATATGCTTGTCCCCCTATTTAGGCTATACGGGTATGTTTGGAATCGATGCACAGCTGAGTTGTACCGGAGAAAAAAAATTGTTCTTTGAAGGCTGAAAAAAGAAATCAGATTTTGTCAAAATTGCTAGCTTTAAAAATGGAAAACCAGTATTGGTTAGTGCTCGAAAGCTAGATGCGATAGCTATCCAAAATCTTACAAAAGTTACGCTAGACATAGTGTCCTGTTCTTGGAGTAGCACTTCGGAATTTCCTTCGCTGGTGACACCAACAATATTCTCGGGAATAACTATTAAGGAAGAAAAGTTATAACTTTATAAAATAACTGATTTCTCTGACCCACATGTACTATAACTCCAACTCATTTGTGTTTCTATTTATTTATCACTAACAACATTATACAATGGCTGGGTTGCCTGTAAAGAAAACCACAATGCTTATAACATCTGGGCTAACCATTTACCATCACCAGAAAATACAAATTAATGTAAATAAAAGATTACAAGTGGACAGGATTTTTTAAGATCTAGATAATAGACTACTAAAGGTTGAAACTATGGTGAAATAATATAATTTATGTATACAGAAAAAATCCAAATGAGGAGTTCATTATATAGAGTAGTGGTTAAATAATCAGAAAAAGTAATCATGACACCAACTAGAAGATAAAATTAAAGGAAGCAGCCAAGATACAATAAACTTAGAAAGAATATATTTTGAAAATTCTCAGAAGCATCATGTTGTTGTAAGAAATCATAACTAAGCCTCGTGTAACATCTAAATACTGCCTATATTGAATGGATTATAATTATAAAATAGCGGAGGACTACAGGCATCAAAACAAGAGTTGGATATTAAAACTATATTCAGTTTCTGTGACAAATTATATGTTTCAGAGTACATTGGTGAGGAGAGCCCCAATTTTTAGTTCCACATTGTGGAGTAGGATAAACAAGAGCAAAATATCGATTAAGTGACAAAGCCATTCATCGTAGCTTTGGTTATAATGCCTATGGATTTTGAAACCTTAAATTTCTGTCAACACGAATACCAAAGAATTTAGGGCATGTTTTCTTGGTCAATGATTTTATGGTATACTTTTATTTTAAAAGGCACAGGAGATAATTGTCTCTGACCCACTCAAAAAACAATGTAAATTGTATTTATTTCACATTTACATTAAATTTATTTGCTAATGAGATACATGAAAAAATTACTCAGTTGCGATTAGTTAAGATATACTCAGTTTTCAGGTAATTTAATGCAGAAGAAGGTTAATTCTGTGCAAAGAAGTAACAAACTAGACTGAACAATTCCTGTTTAGCCGGATTTTGAACTTTTTTGCGCTTAAAAGATGTGAAAATATCATTGTATATGGTTTTTTTTGATGATAAAAATGTTGAAACGGAACCTCAAAAAACTTGAAATTTTTTATTCGATGCAAAAACATCTGTAAGGACTTAGATTGTTTTATGGCTTGTGGCAAATAATTATTGAATAAGGTCGATCCAGAATATCTAAATGTTCTCTTACCCAGGCTTAGCTTTGGTCTGGGAGAATGAATACCGTTCTTCCTTTTCGTATTATATGAGTGGAACCTAATTCTTGATTAACTAGTCACTAACATATTCTGACTTTAGGTTATTTAAATATTTAAAAACTATTTGCATTAATTAACCTCGTGATGGCCTTGCTTACTAAAGAGTCTTTGTGGCTCAGTGGTAGAGCGGCATCAGAGGGCGGAATCCGAAGGTCTGAGGTTCGATTCCTCATAGGGCTCGTAACACGACGAAAAACCACCTTTCTCTACAATGCATTGCAAAATGCAAAGTTAGACCAGCCTAACGCCTCGATAGCCTTGCTCACTGGAGCTATTACTTCTGATAGTGATACCTACAGCTCCGTTTTGTAGTTGCCGTAACTTACTGCTGCGCGCAACCGATAGCTCCCCCAAACGGTGTCTTTGTAGCAAATAACTGGCAGAATAAGGGAATTGTACACACATTGATCGGCTTTGTAAGAATCAGGCGTGACTGAAAGCCGTCGAGCGAGCTTAGGCGTGTGTTAACCTCAGTGAGCACTTTGTTTAGAGATGTTCACCCATCACTGCCGCTACGCAGCAAAATTTGGCAACCCTTTCAATTTCCATGCGGTGCGTTTGGATGTTAAAGTTAGTCGAGCCTGCAAGCCTCTGTTCTCTCCAAATAGAATACATTTTGTCTTGCACAGGTTTTGTAGTAGCTTGCTGTTGCTCATCCATTGCTCCACCCTGTCACGATTTCCTTAAATCGTCATTTGGATATTATCGGAACCTGAACCAGCGGCGTATATAACTTTGTCATCTACATACATGCTGAATTTGAGACTGGAACAAGAACCTAGGGAGATCGCTGATGCATAAAACGAACAGAAAAGGTATTCGTAGAAAACCTTGAGGTGCGCCACATTCAAGTGTAAGACTGGATAAGTTGCACTTGTGCTTTACTCTTTGACTGCGAGAAGTGAGATGGTTCTTGAACAAGTCATGACTAGGACCCCGGACTCCGTGGTGCTTTAATTTGAGGCACTTGTTATTCACGGGGTCAAACACCTAAGGTTATTCCCTTGCTTTGCACTGCGCGACCTTTTCTGCGCATAACATTAATTGTGACATCCAGGATGGCGGCCGTTCTTCCCGCTAGAACAGACAAGGGCCGCTCTTGTAGAGCGAAAGCTTTTATTTTGCAGAGCGAAAGCTTTTATTCGTAATATGCCGCAAATCGGCTGACAGCTTCCTGGTCTGCTCTCAAAAAATAAGGAAATGAAAAAATGTGCGTGATCCGGATGTCTGCAGTGGATTTACACTTCGCGGCCGAAAAAGGGAAAAAGCCCACAACAGCCTGACAAATTCTACACCTGAAAGAATTGAAAAGGGCGCATTTAGATATTCATTTTCATAGAAAGCTGCTATGTTTTTTTTTTCAATTTGACCACAGAAAGTACAGAATCATTCAACATATGACAACACTTTCAAGAGGAGGCAAATATGGGTGCTACCCAGGACCTTTACCCATAATGTCTTTTATAAAGGTGTGCAACATGTGAAACTGCCAGCAGACAGTCAAAAAAGCCTCGCATACACGACTGCAGACTCAACTGGGAAGGCTCGTCAAAAGCTATGGAAGCTGATGTTTGTGTTTATCTAGTCAAAAGGTAATTAGTAACCAGGTATGCTATAATAAAATAAAAAATAAAATAATAATTATAACAATAGTTATTAAAATGTTAAATTCGCAGTTTTATTGCTCCAAAGAGAGACTTGTGGAATCTTTTCTTATGATATCAATGTTACAGTAATGACACTTGAACTATGAACAGTGGAAAGTCTTACGGTACCTAACACCCTTGGTAATAATGATTGAAAATTTGACAAGAAAGCCAACATAAAAATGCACCTATATTTTTGAATATGGGTATGTTAAAAATGCAAAAAAGAAAATACTTTAAGATAATGCCTAGGTGTAGTTTGAATGCCCTCACTTTTTATAGCACAAAATGTTATTTTTGTGGTTTCACACTGCTTAACAGTTGTGAAGAAAAAAATGCAGTTGTATCTGTTCTTGTTGGGGATGATGATTCATCCACCATTAGCAAAGTGAGGAAAAATGTCAAACACGAGGTTGAAAAATGGTCAGATGTAGTCCATGCTAAAAGATCCTTTGGTAGTTCACTGTACAGCATCAAAACCCAAAACAGAAGCCTGACAGATATGGTGGTATGGTATTTCCAGTGATGCTTTGGTTACACACTAAAGCAGAATAAGGATGATGAAGAAGGTGTGCAAAATGGTCTGAAGTCTATTGTACCCCATGCTTATGGTGACCATTCTTCCTGTGGCAACTGGTGTGGCTACTTAAAAAATCCTGCATCCTACAAACACACAGGCCTTCCCTGTGGCAAGGATCTGACAGACAAAAGCTTGAGGCAGTCCCTGGGAAAGATCATAGAAGTAAGTACAGTGTACATGCATGGTGGCACAGCTCACTCCTCACAAATTCCCAATTCCCAACATTTTACATGTAGTAGAGGAACACAAATCTATGAAAATAGTGTTAGTGCTTATGAATGTATTCTAAATAATAACTTCAAGGGATAAAGCTATAAGTGTTAGGGGACTATCAACCTCTTTCTTAGTTTCACAAGCTTTATGAGATACCAAATTTTAGTGAAAAAACTGTTTGCTTCTTCAATTTAGGTTTATGCTTCAAATGCCAAGAAGCTAGCTCCCCTTGGGTCAAGCCAGGCAAATGAAGCACTCCACAACACTAAAGGAAGCAAAGCTCCAAAGATCAGACACTACAGATCTAGCAAAAACAATGACTTCTGTGTTGCATGTGCTGTTGGCCAAAAGAACTTAGGCCATTCTTATGTTTCTCAGCTGAGCAGATATAATATTATGAGCATTTTGTACACTTCCCAATTTGTGAGATCCATTGAACATTAAACATTAACCAATGTGTCCAGTGTTATACTACCAGTACCTATTGCATATTATGAGTCACAAAAAAAAACAAATAATAAAACACTATATTATAACTTAGAATATTGTTTTCCCTAAGACTAGTGAATTTCTTTTAGGCTTTTATGAAGACACAACTATCTCCAGGTTCCAATTCTTTAAAGTTAGCAAAGAAAATGGACAAGAGAATTCTAAGTTTGAAAGAGAAACAGAAAACAAGAGAGTACAAGAAGAAAAGAATTGAGAAGAAAGAGAAGTGGTTGAAAAAGACAAAACAGCTTGAGATCAGAGAAGGACAACAGTATAGTTCTGGAATGGGCTTCGATGGACACAATGCCGCTCAGGAAATTCCAGCACCACCTGCAGCCTCAAAGATTGAGAAAGTATCATTAACCAAAGACTACCATCAAATCATATTTGATTTAGAAACATCCAGAAGGGGGTAATTAGCTTTGCAGGGTGGAGTTCAGCAAAAAAGTAACAAAGTGAATATAACCATGTTTGTCTTAGCAGGGTATTTCTGAATTACACATTAGAGAATAATTATATTTAATCACGGAATTGTTGTTCTATTTTGCTAAATTGCTGAAGACTTATCCTGCTACTTTGCATCACATAGATTCCTTTGTTTTATCATGCCTTGTTCTTAAAGAAAATAGGCGAGATGTGAATTAGAAGGAGAGGTATTCAGTAATTGCTCCTTCTATTCTTATTTTATATATAACCTGCATAGATGCACTTAGCTTTTTTATTACATTTTTCCTTGTAATATCTTTGTAAAGTAATAATTGGATTACAATATCTTAAAAAATTTGTTTATCTTTGTTTTGTTATCAGGTAATGATGCCAAAATCCTACAAATTACAGCAACAGATGGTAAAGATGAGTTCTTTATTTATGTCAAGCCTTATCATATAATATCACCAGAAGCATCTGATGTGAACAAACTCACCTTCCAAAGAGGAATGCTGTTTCATGATGGGAAGCCAATTACTGATGCCATTGCAATTGATGTGACCCTGCAGAACTTCATTGAGTGGCTGAAATCAAGAATGCCTTGCATTTTAGTTGCGTACAATTGCAAGTCCTTTGATGCCAGGTTCTTGGTACAAGCAGCAGAGAAAAATGGAGTCATGGATGACTTAGCTAAAACTGTTTCTGGCTTTACAGACTCTATTCCAGCATTCAGGGAATTGCCTCCTGAAAGGAAATCCCATAGCCAGGAAAACCTTGTACAAGATCTCCTGTGTAAATCCTATGAAGCTCACAATGCTCTTGCAAATGTGCAAATACTCTACCAGCTGGTGAACAAGTTTCTAAATGTCAAACTGCTACAAAAGCAGAGTTTCAAAGTTTCATGGGTGACATCCTATCAAAAGCTCCTAAAAGAAAAGAAACTTCTGGTTAATACCCCACAGCCATTAGTCAGAGATAAGTACATTTCAGCCTCAATGGCCATTAAGTGTGCAAGCTCAGGTTTGGGTCTCCATCACCTACAAGCGGTGTAACAAAGAGGCAAGGAAAAAGGGGTGAAGCAAGTTCTATGGAGAGATTTGACAACAAACCCAGAGTCTCCTCAAACAAGCGGGTGCTGGCAAAAATATGTCAGTACTTTATAAATAATGCAAATTAAGATTGCAATTTGTGAAATTAATGTTTTGTAAAACAATTATTTACTCTGTTGGTTTGGTTGCAAACAAGAATGCAAACAGTAATTCTGAAAGGGTCTTAATATTACATTCAATTCGATTCTGTGGAACCAACGACCAAGAGGATCAACTTAATTTAGTGACATGTTGAAGCATGAAAGTCGTACAAAATGTAAAAAGTTTGAAAATCATTTTTTGCACGGAAAATGTAGTAGTCACAATGAGGACCAGTGAGACATTGAAGTGTGGTTCTGAAGTATAAAAAGCAAATTTTAAAGTAAAGTTTGTATTTTTCAGAGTATACTACATTGTACTGTATATGTCACTCCTGTTTAAGTGATGGGCGAAGAATTCACATTTTGCTTTGTATAGAAACCAAACAAGAAAACATACAAACAATGGGAATCAACAGTCTTTTCTTCAAGTTTCTTTGTCAAGCCTTTATTGCCCCAAAGCAAACAAAATCGAACCCTAGCTCACTGGAATTAACAAAACGCCAGCGCTACAAAATAGTTTCAACTAAAGGTTCATAACTTCAAAATCTCATCAAATCTTGACTTACCTCATTCTTTGTTATTTTTGTTGTGTATTCCGAATAAAAGGCCAGGAACACAGTAACTAGATCAAGATGGCGGAAGAACTATTTTTAATCTGAACAGAAAACCTCGTGTACAATACCAAATATGGAAAACAGGTCTCGTGACACTAACTTCTACGTAGAACAGGGAAACCAAAATTAGGAAAAATCTAACAATTTCCTCCCTTTTAAGACTCAATAGTACACTAATGAAAAGAAAGAATAAAACAAAATCCAAGAAACAAATTTCAAAGTATCTTAGATAACATGTTGGTACTGTGACCACAGAAAGAAACACCACAGTTCCCTCTAGCCGCAAACATAGTCCTTCAACTTAGGGAGGTGGTTTAACCAAACGACCGGCACGGGTGGTAATCGATTCAGGTTTCGGATCTAGTTGATGACCTTGTGGTTCTGGAGGAAAACTCCCCAATAGGCGTCACAGCCAAAGGTGGTGCATCCTTCCACTCAGTCTCCGTAGCTACAGGCGGTGTGTCATGTTCGACCTCCTCCGGAACAGCACAATCATCCATCGTTTCCGCTTCAGGTGGGCAAAGGTTGCTATCCCGTAGCTGCTCGACATGACGTTTCCAGGTTTGGTCGTTTACCTTGACTTTGTACAGGACTGGACCCGTTTGTTCAATGACGGTGCCACGCACCCATTTTGGACCTCTGCGGTAGTTGCGGACCCATACGTTCTGGTTTTGGTCAAAAGACTTTAAAGTGCGGTCATTGGGCTGGAGCAACTTCTTGTTAACTTTTCTTGAAACATCCGGCTTAATCAGATCCAACCTTGTCTTAACATTCCGACCCAGGAGAAGCTGTGCAGGGCTAAGCTCAGTAGTGGCGTGTGGCGCTGATCGATAAGCTAACAGGAACCTATCAAGCTTGTGTTGCAGGGTTCTACTGGACTTGTCAGCCTTAACTCCTTTCTTGAAACTCTGTACTAATCTTTCCGCCTGACCATTGGTTGATGGATGGTAAGGTGCACCAGTGACATGCTTTATACCGTTCGCAGTTGTAAATTTCCTAAAGGTTTCGGACGTGAACTGTGGACCATTATCTGACACCATCTGGTCAGGGAGTCCCATGCGGGCAAACAGAGAGCGCAGCGTGCTAACGGTTTCATCAGCAGTGGTGATCTCCATCACGAAAATCTCCGGCCACTTGCTGTGGGCATCGATCACTACCATGAGCATCTTTCCCTCGACTGGTCCGGCAAAGTCAATATGCAGTCTTTGCCAGGGAAGGGAAGGGTACTCCCATCGATGCAGGGGTGCACGGGCTGGATTATTTGCCAACTCTTGACATCCCTCACAGTTTCGGACGGCCCCTTCTATGTCCTTGTCAATGTTTGGCCACCAAACAAAACCCGGGACAAACCCTTCATCTTGACCATACCAATGTGACCCTCGTGAAGCGTTTCTAAAACTCTCTCTCTCAGTTTGGCTGGGACGACTACTCTACTACCCCACATTAGAACTCCATGATGAATCGTGATTTCGTTACCGCGATGGGCATAGGGGATGAGCTCTGGGTGAAGTTCGGTCCCTTGCCATCCTGACTGCACAAGCTCCAGAACACGGGAAAGTACTGGATCCCTACGGGTCTGCATTCTCAAGTCGTGCTCTGTAACGGGAGGGCCTCGACAACGGTGGTATGGAATATTTCAACTTCATCGGGCTTGTCAGCGGGCGCTGATGGTTGAGGTAGGCGAGATAAACCATCACAATTGGCATGTTGCTTGGTACCTCGGAACTCGATATTGTATGAAAAAGCTCCTAGGAAGAGACACCAACGTTGAATCCTCGCTGCTGCTGTGACTGGCACAGCCTTCCCGGGGTCCATTATGTACTTCAAAGGCTGATGGTCGGTGACCAAGGTGAAGTGGCGACCCTCCAGGTACATTTGGAACTTCTTCACACCCCAGACCAAAGATAATGCTTCTTTCTCGATTTGTGAGAACTTCTTCTCTGTTTCGGACAGGGACCGGGACGCATAAGCGATAGGACGCTCTACTCCCTCAGCAGTACGGTGTGACAAGACCGCTCCGAGACCATACGAGGAGCTGTCTGTGGCAAGAACTAGTGGTGAGTCAGGGTCATAGCGCATCAGAACCCTATCCTGTAGCAACATTTCTTTCACCACAAGAAAACTAGTTTGTTCCGCAGCTCCCCACAACCACGTCACATCTTTCTGTAACAGCCGATGAAGTGGAGCAAGATGAGTGGCCAGATCGGGCAAGAATTTGGCGTAATACTGGACCATGCCAAGAAAAGCACGCAGTTGAGTAACATCCTGAGGTTTCGGCATCTCAGTGATAGCCTTTACTTTCTTTGGGGATTGGTGCAGTCCCTCTGCAGAGATGACGTGTCCTAGGTACTCCACAAAACTTCTAAGGAATTTACACTTTTCTCGGTTGGCTTTCAAACCATACTCTTCCAACCTCTTCAATACTGCGACTAACCGCTCCAGGTGTTCCTCTATGGTATGGCCGGTTATAATGATATCATCCAGGTAACAGAAGACCCCTGGTAGTCCTTGCAGGATCTGATCCATAGCTCGCTGCCAGATGGCTGGCGCCGAAGCTACACCATAAGGAAGGCGCTGGTACTGGAACAAACCACGGGTTGTGTTAATGGTGAGGAAAGGCCTGGAGTGCTCCTCAACCTCCATTTGTAAGTAAGCCTGACGAAGGTCAATGACGCTGAACAACGTTCCCCCACCTAGGCTGGCGTAAATATCATCAATGCGGGGAAGTGGGTACTCGTCTACCTCCAGCTGTGAATTGATGGTCACTTTGAAGTCACCACACACTCTTACACTGCCATCCTTCTTCACAGGTGTCACAATTGGAGCAGCCCACTCACTAGTAGCTACCTTCTTTATAACTCCTTCAGCTTCCAGCTCTCTCAATGCTTCGTCCACTGCTGGTTTACGAGCCAGCGCTACTGGGCGGGCTTTCCAGAATCGAGGCCGGGCATCCTCTTTAACTTGGATCCGTGCTTGGATATTCTTCATTTTGCCCAAACCTTCAGAGAAAACATCTCCATGCTTACTCAGGACATCTTCCAGGGCTGGAATGGTGTCGGATGTTTCAGACGAAGTAAGGGCCAGTCCAGATGGATAGATTCCAGCCATTCTCTGCCAAAAGGGTGGGTCCCTCATTCTTCACTACATATATGGGAAGTTTCTTTGACTGTCCCTGATACTGCACAGTCACATGGCAAAACCCCATAGGCTTCACTGACTCTCCGGTGTATGTGCGCAACTTCAAGGAGGTGTCCTTTAAAGGAATGTGGCGGAGGTAATCCAAATACACCCTCTCACTCATGACTGACACCACTGAACCTGTATCCAGCTCCATAGTCACTGGGCGGCCTTCAAGGTAGATCTTGAGTGAAATGGGCTTTGTGTTTTTAATGTCTGAGACATGGTACAGGTTCCCAAATTCTCCATCACTTTCTTCGGAATCATCACCCTCCATGACATTGATTCCAGCCTCAGTCATCTGTGAGGTGGCCTGTCTCTTCCTACATGCTCTCTGTGTATGTCCAATGATGCCACAATGAAAACAGCGTTCTTTCATGAAGGGACACTTTTGTGAGTTATGTGACCCTGAACAGCGGTAACAAGGTTTAGACTTCTTACTGTCCTTACCTCGGGGACCCTCGGCCCTAGGTGGTGGCTTGGATATGGCTTGTTCTTCCCCAGTTTTGACAGTGTCAAGTTTATTGATTGGGGTGCCTGGCCCTTGTTCTCCCTGAAGCACCTGAACATCTTTATTAGCCTGCTCAATGGCCAAACACTTTTGAACCGCGAGATCAAATGAAAGGTCGGCGAGTTTTACTTTCAACAATTCCGTAATCATCTTCGAGTCGCGGATACCTGAAACTAATCGGTCACGAAGGCGCTCGGTTCGCATGGCCTCTCCAAACTTACGTTCTGTGGCCAAGTGCTTCAGCGTGGCTACATAATGACTAACTGACTCACCGGAATTCCTGGCTCGGTTGTCGAACTCATACCTCGCAACCAGCGCTGATCTTTCAGGCTTCAGTTGTTCCCGCATTCGCTCCACGATGATCTCATAGGTAATGGCGTCATCTTTCAGTTGCGTGGGGGCCACTAAATCCTTCGCCAATTGGTAAGTCTCCACCGGAAGGTTCGTCAAAAGTACGGCCTTCATTGTTTTAGGTTCCTTGATCCCATTTGCAAGAAAGTAAAAATCCAGTTGTTCGGTGTAGGACTCCCAATCCGCTCCCACCACAAACTTTGTCACTTTGCCGATGGCTTGACTCGTGTTAGCGCTCGGTGCTTCGTCCGGCATAATTTTATTTTCGTCGTCTCTGTCCCTTTTTGAACGTGATTTGTACGACCCACTCCTGTTAACCGCTTGTGCTTGATCAAAGGGATCCCATCCTCGTCGCCAGTTGTTGTGTATTCCGAATAAAAGGCCAGGAACACAGTAACTAGATCAAGATGGCGGAAGAACTATTTTTAATCTGAACAGAAAACCTCGTGTACAATACCAAATATGGAAAACAGGTCTCGTGACACTAACTTCTACGTAGAACAGGGAAACCAAAATTAGGAAAAATCTAACAATTTTTGCACTCTTTTCAAGTATGAATTCCTGTGTTGGCAATATCAAACACAGAAAAACAACCGAAAACAAGCTTGATGTCGAGTGCAACCTTCGAACACACTTGCAGCTAAATACAAGAATTGCACCGATCTGTGATTGGAAATTAAAAATAGCATTAGTCACGCTGTTGAGCTCAAGAGACCTGTGGATCAAGGGGTAAATTTATGACGTGGATTTGCTACCTAACGTTTAAATATTTGACTTTGGTGTCGGTTACATGACGTAACTATGAGATACCGCTGTTTAGAGGCCTTATACATTCACTCAAATTAAGAGCAGGAAACACAGAGGTAAGACAAATATTGGAATGTCCTTGTCCTTTTTCGGTGCAATTCCTGTATTTAATTATGGGAAGCGTTAAAGGCAGGAAAAGCACCGGCTCGAAAGCGCGTTCAGAACGGGAGCTGTGGGCGAAATAACTTCGCTAGTGAAGATCAAAGGCTTTGGACTGAAGGAAGAAAGATCATCGCGTTCGGCTTTTTCCTTTTTCACCGCTGGAAGTTGACCAATCGGGCCGGTGCAATTCCTGTATTTAAGACTTGCGTTACAGAAAGGAATTGCACCAAGAGCGAAACGTTTGCAAATAGAACATATTACACAGCGAGTCAATTAACGAACGAAAACTGCTCGATACTGAAGCAAAAACAAATATTATTGCTGTTTCAGTGGTGAATTTTCGACGATGATTAAAAAACGGTAGGTAGCAAATCCACGCCATAAATTTACCCCTTTACCGAAGTAGATTTGACCCGAAAATTTATCTTCCAGCGATGATATCAAAGCTTGTGTTTATTTGATTTGAAAAAAGGAAAGATTTTTAATGCTAACATAATTTTCGTCCACAAATGCCAACGTGATCAGCAACTCTCTTGAGCTCAACAGCGTGACTAATGCTATTTTTAACTTCAATCACAGGTCGGTGAAATTCCTGTATTTAGTTGCAAATTTCGAACACGATGGGCACCATTTTGTGTCTCGTCCCAGTCCCCACCGCGCAAATTCTCCATCCTGGCTGCGATCTCAAAATCATGTCCACCTTTCGCGGCAGTTTGTGAGGAAACAAGCACGGTGACACCCGATTTTTTTTTCAGGTATTTGCTAAGAACAGCCTAATAAAGAACATGTTTGAAGAAGAAAAAAGTTTGACAGTAGAACATGACTTTTTTGGAAAATAGTTCCGTACTTGGTGTATTTTGACCAAGGCGAGGACTTTACGCTAACCACGGAACTGTCCGAAAAAGTGCAAAATCCCCACAACCGACAATCAGAAACCGCTAACATGAAGCAATACCATTTATTTTAATAAAAGAAGCTTTAATTTCAAAAATCAAATTTCTTTCAAGTTACTAAGGCTAAATTCTGTACGAAGGAGATTCGAATTTTTAACGCGCAACCAGTAAAAATACCCCATTTTAAGAGCCTGCTGTTGCGTAAACAAGCACGGTGACCCCATTTTTTAATTGCATTTTTTTAATGTTTTATCATGAATGTTAATTATACCAAGTTTCAAAAAGAGTTTGATTGTAGAACAATTTCAAGGGAATTACCTTTAGTCGATAAAGACAGTTCTTGTCATTAATTGTTTGCCCTTGCGCTCTGAGATGTCTAAGATTGTGAGATACACAATAGCAGATTTAGTGTTTCATTTTCAGATTTCGTAATTTCTTACGTCTTCCAGCACATCAATATCTGCCGTTGGTTAAAACCAGTATCATCAACAAATAAAATGAACTGGAGTAAACTAGGTAAGTACTGCATGTGATTTATATGTAGGAAACCCCTTCGGCCTTTGCGTCGTACCTTTGGCAAGGCACAGACTCCTGGAGCTGAACTGCTAATACCGCGTGAGTATGCAAATATAGAGTCCAGGTTCATCATAGTCATGATCAGTGAACTGGTAACTTGCAGTTCATTATCATTCTGTAGTACCTCAACAAAAGCCAATTTATCCGTAATGTTTGATAGGTGAGTTATTTGTATCGACTTTGATTGTCACTCTCAGATCATGATAAAAGTTTTGATGTTAGTTATGTCAATCTCTGTGGCCGCTTGTTCAAAGGTTGGATAACGCTATCCTTTGGAAAATCACTATCCAGTGGATAGCGCAATACGTTTTCTTAATAGTTATCCGCTGGATAGTGATTTATCCGTTGGATAGCATCATCCACTCTTCGAACAACTGCGCCCTGACGTGTAGTCCAATCTTCAGAACTCATGAACAATCAAAGCACAGTGAACAGTTCAGTGTTGTACTCTTTGAAGGGGAACGATTTTAGATGAGAGCATCTGCTAGAAATAATATCGACAGGAAATTCCGGAACTAATGCAAGTTATTTGGGATACAGAGATTTTTTTAGTGTACAGTAGTTGTATCGTTGGTCATTTCATCAGGTTATTCAACGCATCTGTTTCACATGCATAAATTAGACTCTGCATTGCCTTGCAAATTTAGAGGTTAATGGAAATTGTTTGGGATACAGAGGTTCTTTGTTTAGTGTAAAGTAGTTTTATCTCTTTTCATTTCATCAGGTTATTCAACGGATCTGTTTCACATGCATAAATTACACTCTGCGTTGGCTTGCAAATTCAGAGATTAGCTGAAACACATTTTACGTAGTCGAGAAAGGCAGGTTTAGAGGTGAGGATTGCAGCTGCACAAAATATCTGCGATTTCTTCGAGCCGCTTCAGGTATGGATATTTGGATATGTTTATTAAGACCTCTTGCAGTAAAAATAACTGAATTACAAGTCTGCCCAGCAAACAATAATAATCCAATAACACAAAATAAATAGCTAAGAAAAAATTGATTGTATTAGCAACCAAAAAGCATATAATGGCAAAATAATGGCGAAACTAATCATGTGCAAAGCATAAAGTGTATTTGTTTGAGGTAAAGTTCTTAAACCTGTTGGTCGAAGATCCTCGGATATTTGAATTTCTTTCTCTAGGTCTTAATGCGTAATTATACTGAGTATCTACTATGCCACCATTGATCATTATGGGGAAATAGAGTGACGAATTGTTTAGCATAAATTGAAATAACGGAATATTTCTTCTATACCTACTGACAAAGATACAGACCAGATTGACTGGCCTTCAAATCACATTTTTTAAAACCGAAAGAGTGCGATATACATTCCAGAACTTTGATCAAGATAATCGGCTTTGCTGAAGCATATTCTAGTAAGTAACTTGTTGTTTATTTGTACATGGTCGATTAACCCAAGTAATTCATAAGGATGGACATTTCACCTCTTTATATGATTAGTTGGTTACGCAATCGACAGCTCCTGTAAGGTGCTGTATTGTTGGAGCTTTGGGTACCGAGGCTGCGAAATGAGCTCCTGGGAGGGAGTGAGGGAGGTTTGTTTCTCTTAAATCTACAAGGGTAATTACTATTCAAAATGATTAGTTATAGAGCCATTGTGCATGAGGTGTATTTGTATTTGACATTAAAAATATTACAACAGATTGAAAAGGAGCCAAAATGTCATCGACTAAGCTAAATTTTCGGAAGAATTTAACCTATGATTGACTTCGGAATCGATGTGAAGCTTTGCTACGCTAAGATATAGCCAGAGGAAACATTTGTAACCACATGGCTCGTTTTGCTGGATGATTGATTTTCTTAATATGTTTGGGAGCGACTCCGTTACAGAAATGGAAGATTCCATATTTGCTGTGAAAAAATAAATTACCATTTGAATTACGATAACGATAGGCTTACCTTGTGAGTTCTAATATACATATATTATTTTCAAGATTTTTTTTTTCCTTTTGAATTTTTTTTTCGTTCCCCATAGACATTTCAATAAGAAAATATGGTTGCTTCTTTTGGTTTGATACCTACTATTGTCCATGTTAAGTTATTCATGTTTTTATGCAACGCAATAAGGAGCTTCCGTTACGCAAGGTAACGTCAGTAACAGTTGGAAACAGAAGGACCGCCTCTCTTCCACTTGCCGATCTGGTTAAATCTTTGGTTTTATCGAGAATTTTGCAGATATTTTTTGTCGTTAAGAAAATTTAATGCACTCGAGACTTAAAACACAGCTAAACCTATTCTCGTTCCAATTGTGCCTCCATAGTAATTTACCTCTTGCGTGCGTGTTTTTTTTTCAGAGCGCGCTGTACAAAGAGATCTTCAAGGTAAGATAACTAAACTAGTGATCACTTTAAGAATTTCTGAAAGTATTTTATAAATGTGGTGAGGTGCCCATAATAATTTGGTGACACCAGTTTTATAGAAGACGGTTGAGGACATCTTTTATAAAACAAAAACTTGACAATCCTTTGTATGCCACGGATTTACAACGATTGGTTTTTTTCTTTTCGCAGGAGGAATAAGCATAGGAACAGCTGCCATGGAAGATATTTCTGGTACAAATCCTATAGAAAAGGCGGGTTTTTTCTCTCTGATAACTTTCTCTTGGCTGAATGATGTTCTCAAGCTTGGTAATAAACAGCCCTTAGACGAAAGCCTTTTATTCCGGGTGGATACTTCGAATCGAACAGAAAGACTAGTTACTGAACTGGAACGAGAATGGGTCGCAGAGAAAAGAGCAACTGCACACCAACGAACAAAGCCTCGCTTATGGAGGGCCATGATGAGAACGATTTCCCGCCGAGATTATATCATTATGGCATTACTAAGGCTATGTTACTCACTGACATTGCATGCGCTACTTCTGTTGATATGGTACTTCTTGAGAAGTATTTCTACAGGCACAGGTATCAGTTACAAGACATCTCTGCCCTTTGTAATTGGTATTTTTCTGGTCACCATGATGAGAACTGTCGTGCAATCCAAAGCCATGTTTAAGGCGCACGTATTAGCCATAAGACTGAAAGTTGCCGTGGTGGGACTCATTTATAAGAAGGTGGGCAGAAAAGATATAGTGATTTTGATAGTTGTGGCTGATAATCGCGATTAATTTTATTCAGTTATATCAGCATTTTTGTTTTCCATGAAATCTTTGTTGCACGGAGGATTCACAACAACTTTTATGCACTTAGTATTACAGATGGCCGCATTTGCTTTGTCACAACGTTTGATATCGACTATTATAATAGAGAGCTTTAGTATCGACCAGGGCGGTGGAGTAATGTTGGTCTTTCGGAGCGAAAAAACGTTATGCAAAAGCTCGGGTCAAAGAAAGCGAAGAAAATTTCGTTGTGGCATGGCATCGTGTGGAAATATTCGAACTCCGCTTCCTCTCTTTTGCAAACGCGATTGGATCGATGATGAAGAGTTCTTTTTGCTCTAAGAGCCGTTTTCCGGGCCCCTCAGTTTAAAATTGAACGGTTCTGAGACTAGAACTTTCGGGTATATGATAACCTCATGGTCAAAGGTCCACTGAAGACATTTGTTCCTCTGAAATCACAGAAAAGTTGAATTTTTGAGGTAATTTTATGACAACTTAAAAAAAACAGCAATATAATGTACAAGAACAGGCTGATGGCCAAATACAGAGCAATGGCACATTTATAGCCATGATACTCATGCATATTTTAATCGTGGTGTCGAATTCCCCAGAAAATACATAAAATCAATTATTCATTCATAAGGTGATAAAATATGTGGTTATTGTTCATCATGGTGTGAGATAAGAGATGAACTTTACTGGTTTGTCTCACGATGGTGTCACTTTGGATGTTGATCGCGACGTTTCGACTGCAATACTGCTAGTCTTCATCAGGAGGTTATGTCGATTCTTTACGTGTCGCTATTTGTAGCACGTTGATTCGCTGCTGTTGGTGTATTTCGATCCTCATTATTATTCCAGGTAATTTAGTGTTAACAACTGGGTTGAAAACGTAAATTAGCCACCGTAAAGGGTAAAAAAGCTGACGTTTCGAGCGTTAGCCCTTCGTCCATTGCTCTGACGAAGGGCTAACGCTCGAAACGTCAGCTTTTTTACCCTTTACGGTGGCTAATTTACGTTTTCAACCCAATTGTTAACACTAAATTACCTGCTATACTCTCCCACCGACGCAGCACCACAGTTTCTTTAGAAACTTACCCCTTTATTCATTTCTCATTATTATTCCGGTTGTTAGATGGTGTTCCCTCATAGGTCCGAGCTGATCGGCTGTTCTGTTGTTTGATCGTGGATATTCAAGCTTCAGGAATTTCGATTCCACTGATGTGGTTGGGATGAAGTCTTTTTGGATAGCCTCTTTGACTCTACGTGTGGATCACAATCAATGAACTTAACCTCGCCCCAAATAGGAATATGCCCCGTTTCGTTAGCGTGCTCCGAAACCGCAGGGGTCTAAGTACGAGCAAACCGTATGTCTCTGTCATGTTCTTTTATCCTTTTTCGCATTGATCTCCCTGTTTCACCGATATACACTTTGCCGCAGTCGCATGGGATCTTGTAAACGACACCGTTTTGTTTTGTTGGTTCTAAGGCATCTTTAGCTAGGTCGCACTCAGTGAGACCTAAGCGGTATGTCAGATTTGAAAACGGTCCTTATGCTTGATGTTGCAGGCAGCGGCGAAGAATCTCTGATACACCCCTTATGTAAGGTGTAAACCAAGAAAATAAAAGTTTCGTTTAAAAGATCCCATGCAAAGCTTGGATACCCGAGACGAATAAAGTTCATCTCCATTTACAAAGTGTTAGAATACAAGGTTTGAATGTCTATAAGGAATGAAATCCGTGAAAGTAAACTAAATTTAAAATCCTGTAAACTTCCGGTTTTTGCAACTTAACACAGGTGAAAATTACTCGCCTTCTCGTTTAAATGCGTTAGCACTAAAAATTTTGTCCACAACGACTATAGAACGACAGCCCGCTAAAAAAGCACATGTGCCGTAACTTGACAGTGTCACGATAGGACTTCCAGCCGTCCTCGTCGTCTCTTTCGTCCCCGATGCTAAAGCTCTTTACTAAAAACGCATTGTAATGCAAGTGTATGCTCTGCCAAAAGTTAGTGTGTATGAAATTATGAACTCATTACGACTTCAACATGGACAAAATGTTTAATTCATTAAGAATTCCCGTTTTAATCGACACATGCGCAATGAGGCGCTAGAATTACCGAGGGACACCGGATACTACTTGGTACCCTGGCAGGCAGTGTTTGAGATTCCTACAACCGACACAATCTTTTAGACTTGTCTTTCTTGTACTCTATAGTCAAGTACGGTCCCCGCCATGTCAAATAATCTTGCGTAGCGTCCTTGTAGATTTCTCATGTTTCCCTTCTTTTATTTTTCTCCTTTCCTTCTTTTCCTTCATGATTGGTTTGCAAATTAGGAGATACGCCAGAAGGCATCCAACATCCAAAATTCATTTCTGCGTCATATAGAGGGACAAGGGTCTTTTCGGTTGTGAACCACGAGTTGCTGCATTACGTTCACAGATAGTTTATTCGAACTGGCGGCGTCAATTGTCGAGTTTTTTTCAGCACGCTCAAAGAGAAATCTCGAAACGGTTGGTTTACTGTTTGAAACCTCAAACATGTAAATAGTACATTTACAGATATACATTTCAATCGTAAAGATAAAGATAACATCCTTTTAAGAGGATACTTCCCCTGCACAGAAATGATTCTGTGTACGTGAAGAAAAGGCACTTTTACCGTTTTTTAAAATAACAATATCTTTCTTGTTTCCCCTTTTTCTTTGTCAGATTCTAAACAGTCAGAGATGCACCTTAGAAGACTCGCTTTCGGAGAACACTATCAACCTTGTTTCCAACGATGCTCAAACTATTGAGGAGCTGGGTTATGTCTTGTATTCATTTTCATTCGCCTTTGTAGACCTCATTGCCTCTTTGGCTCTTGTATGGTACTTAGTGGCCTGGCAAGCGTTGTTAGGAATTTCCTTTTTTCTTGTCGTCGTTGCTTACGGATCCTTCATAGCTCGTGAAACTGGGAAAATACGCCACCGGGCTGCTGCAGTAACCGACGAGAGGCTGAAGATAATGAATGAGATCATCTCTGGTATCCGCATGGTAAAAATGTACGCTTGGGAATGGAAATTTAGGGATCTGGTTGCACAAATAAGAAGGTTAGAGGATTGTTGTGTTTTCCAGAAAATATCATAATTTTACCAACAGATCGACTTTAACTCTTCAACCCCTAAGGAATCATGAATCACATATATTGTTTTCTTAAATCTGAAATTTTCGACCGTCCCCTCAGTCCAATTGGTACGTGCTTATATGTAAAGATTACAAGATTTCATAGTGATAGCCCTTGATTAATCAATCGATGAAATTTAAATTTACATCTGTCTCTGTACATGCGTTTTGTGTGAAAACGTAATTTTAGACTTTCATCCACCGATTAATCATGGAGATGGGCCCTCCATACCAGGAAAAAACTATCAGAGTGTTAAATAACGCCACATGCACGAATTACATTCCTTCAAAATGTTTTCCACAGGAAAGAGATCTCTCTGATTCGTATACGAGGATTCTTCATCTCCAGTATCTACGCACTGTTCTTCACCAGCTCCACGATTGCAGGTTTTATTTCAGTCGTAACGCTGCTCCTTACAGGGAATCTGCTGATCTCATTTATGGCTTTTACATTGCTTTTGGTGTTGAGTAACACTAAAATGGTGGTGACAATATTCCTTGTTCATGGATTGCGCTACATTGCCGACGCAAGGACGGCTTGTTGCAGAATGCAGAGGATACTAGAAAATAATTCCTTGTCAAAGATGCAAATAGATCACGGCGATACAATATTGCCCTTTACAGACCGAAGAAAGCGATCGAATTTTGTCAGAATTGATAGTTTTAAAAATGGAAAACCGGTATTAGTTGGTGCTCGAAAGCTGGAACCGCTAATCGACAACCATCCACCGAAGGTTACGCTCGACAAAGTTTCGTGTGCTTGGAGTAAAACGTCGGAGATTCCTGCGCTACAAAACGTTTCGTTAGATGTTGCTGATGGGCAGCTTGTGGGTTTAACAGGCCCAGTTGGAAGCGGAAAAACAACTTTACTACTTAGTATTCTGGGAGAACTTCCCGTATGTTCTGGTCGAATTTCTTGTATAGGAAAAATGGCTTTCGTATCCCAAATTCCTTGGGTCTATTCAGGCACAGTGCGAGAAAATATTGTGTTTGGCAGACAGTTTGTCGCCGAAAAATACAATAAAGTTATCATGGTTTGTGACCTTGAGAAAGATATTAAATGTTTTCCTAAAGGCGATCTAACTGAAATTGGTCAACGCGGAGTCATCTTGAGCGGTGGTCAGCGTGCTCGAGTAAGTCTAGCACGCGCAATATACACTGATGCTGACATTTACTTATTGGACGACCCACTCAGTGCAGTGGATGCCAAAGTCGGCAAAAATCTATTCGAGAGGTGTATCAAGGAGTTTCTGGGCGGAAGAATACGCATTCTGGCTACTCATCAGCTGCAGTTTCTAAAAAAGACTGACAGCGTTGTGGTGCTTGAGAATGGTTCCGTTGTAGGTCAAGGGACATATAGTCAAGTACTTCAACTCAGCATGGGCTTTCGCTTTTTTCAGCGTGAAGCGAAAGGAGCCCCCAGTTTGGAGAAAGATGATCTTGAAATGGCTACAGTTGTGTGCAAAGACAAATCAATGACTGTCCCTCAAATAGATGGTGAAAGAGTGGATCTCACAGATGATGCGGAGGATAGAATGATTGGAAGTGTGAAGTGGTTGTTGTACTGGAAATATTTCAGAACTGCACTGCCAACTATCATGATAGCAAGCCTTTCCGTTTTCTTGACTTTTGTACTAGGTAAGTGACAATCGCTTGGAGTGTTTTTTTCATGACCCATGCCGCTAAACTGTCTGGAAATTTTAATAACTATGCGAGGACCCTCGCCAGCTTGGATCATCCTATGCATTGTCTAAAATTCCCTCGAATAAAAAATGACAGTCTTGGTCGAAATAATTTGTACTCGTTAATCGCGTGATAGCTTTGAAAAGGAGTGTTAATCCATCGCCTATAAGTACGAGTTCATCAAGCCATTCTAAATTGCAAGAAGCTATGAAAAAATCTGAACATTTGCCTCATCATGACGACAGAGAACATCATGAAACTCGTCTTCTTCAGCAAATAAAGTTAGCCGTGGCGATACTTTTAGGTACATTATTACCGACCGTATACCCTTAACACCATTAATCACAGTCTTTTTAATTTTTCAAGGCACTTATACATACCATTGAATTTTTTGTCTCTCCTAAGTATTGTGGATAGCACCCTTCTGGTGGGTCTCAAGAATGACAGAAATGCCATTTGAAAAGCAAAAAAATTTCATCACTCTTTTGGTGTACGGATCAATTGCTATTGCTTCCTTGCTTTTTACAATCGTATCCTCTTTCTGTTTCTATGTCACTGCTTTGAGAGCATCAGGAAACCTTCATGACCAGATGACAAACGCTGTTCTCAAAGCACCAGTTTTATTCTTTGATACTAATCCAGTTGGTCGCATCTTGAACCGTTTCTCCAAAGATGTCGGTTGCATGGATGACCTGCTTCCAGGAAAGTTTCTGTTTGCCGTTCAATTATGTCTTCACTTTCTTGGTGCTACCATTCTTTCAGCGGTATCCAATGTTTGGCTCTTCATTACTTGCACTCCATTAACAGTACTTTTTATCTACCTGACTAAATATTATTTGAAATCCGCTCGAGAGCTCAGGCGACTTGAAGCTATAACCTGCAGTCCGGTGTATTCCCTTATTGCTGATACAATGGCTGGATTAGAGGTGATAAGATCATCTGGGATGGAGGATAATTTTCTGCAAAAGTTTTATCGGTGAGTGCCCTATGAAAATACAATGTCATTGTTACGAATATTAAATATCCTGAATTATACCGTCCCCAAGTCTATAGAACTAACATTAAACAATTCACAATTTAATATCAAGGAAAAAATTGTTGAACTGTACTTCATTTGATAATTGAACCTAACAATGTAGGATACTTCAACCGGTTAATTACATCCTATTTAATCAATTTGCAAAATACCCAATGAATTTTATAGCAAGGTTATTAATATTAAGTAATTAAATTTTCTTAGTACTTTACACTTTTTAAATTACGTTCTATATCCTAGTTTAACTTCAACTCTAATTTATAGGTTGGAAGGCTTATAGGTGAGGGAGCCTCACCTATAGGCCTTTCCGGCTTTTTGAGACTTCTTCGCCTTTCCTTTTTCTATTTTCTATTTCCCATGAATTATCTGTAGAAATTAGCTTTGTTCCTTTTTTAATATGCATATAAAGGCATATTATAAATAAATAAGTGAATAAAAAATAAATAAAATTAAAATCTGTCCACCTGCATTGAATAAAACATTGGACTGTATGGTGGATACCATTACTTTAAACAATTGTCATAGACATGGAAAGAGAAAACGTTAGCAGTCGTAAGCCATTTATTTTGGACGGAATATTTAGTTGAGATATTGAATGGCAGAAAAGATAAAAATCAAAATGATCGAAACTGCAAGCAATTAGGGTTTTTGAAAACAGCTGAGCCGCTATCAATCTTTACGACCTTTGTACAGACCCCATTTCTGATGGGCAGGAGCTGTTTAAACATAATTTCTACTCCATCAATTTCATAGATATTACATATCTTTAACTTAAGGCTAAAGCTATTCTTTGGTACACTTAGCATATTCTTTAGTTAGTACGTACGTTACGATTGGTAATTTTGGCGGGCCGTATTTCACTGTACACCCCGACTGATTACAAAGTTAGTTTTACTTTAAACCTTCCCCTCTATTAGAATACAGAGATATATTAAATATCTAAACGAACCTTGTTTGTTGGTTTGTTCTGTAACTTACAGATCTCGTTATTTCTGCTCATATTTATGTTCTACGCTTGGGTCATAAAACCGAGCAGAAAAAAGCTCCGTTGGTAAGTTACAGTACGGACCTCGAACTCGGATAGTAAGAAGTATTTACTGAAAATTATTTGTGTTACTAAGTTTCTGTTTTTTGGCTCAAGATGGCGCTCAGTCTTATTTTTATATTTTTATTAATTCATTAATACTATTATTATTTTTCTTTTTTTGGAGGGGGAGTGAGCAGAGTTTGAAATTTATTTTTGTTGTTGAAAGATTTCAATGGTAACGTTAAAATTCTCTTTACTTCATTTTCATTAAAGGTGAGATCATGACATCAATTTCGCATGAATCGATTGGCTCAATGTAATACGATGTACTTAATTGGGACACCGGTCTCTAACTAAGAAGAACTCATTAGTGTATTGGTCTTTTTTTAAGATATCAAGACAAGAACACGTCAGCCCTGTTTTTGCTGAAGGCCTCAACACGATGGCTTGCTTTCCGAGGAAATTGTTTGAGTAATTTTCTTGTCACTTCTGTGTCGGCTGGAGCTTTGTTTGCAACACAAAACCCAGGTATATATTCTTAAAGTTTCTAGTGCTACTGAATCGTCCATTCTTTTCGCTTGTGTGGTCACTTTATCGATTAACATTCTTCGCCTGGCGAGCTCTTTCTTATAGGAGCCTATTCCTGCCTCTCAGAAAGTTTCCTTTCTCTCCGCGCTGTTAATAAATCCTATTTACTTATCAAAATATCCACTTGACAAGAGCAATTTGAATTACGCTTTTAGTACATCATCAAAGAGCATAACCTTCTCTTCATATTCCTTTTCACCGACTTTTGTAGAAGTATGATCAAAGATAATTAGTAAACCGCTCTTATTTTCAGCTTTGGCGGGAATGTCCCTTACTTTCGCAGTCGACACGTTGGAAGCAGCCCAGTACGGTATCCAGGTAGCCTCAGAAACAGAAAACTACATGACATCAGTCGAAAGGGTGTTTACCTACACTCAAATCGAATCTGAACCTGGATACAACTTAGACAGCCTACCTCCTGAGTCGTGGCCAACAAAAGGCACTTTAACATTGCGAAACTTATCTTTATCATACTTGAAGGGAGCACCACCAACTTTGAACAGAATAAATTTATGTATCTCTGATAAGGAGAAGGTTGGTGTGGCGGGTCGTACGGGAGCTGGAAAATCATCATTAGTGACGGCTTTGTTTAGAACACCAGAACCAGAAGGCGAGGTGAGAACATGCAGAGTGTTACCGTTAGGCACACTTTGAGATCTCGTTTCTTCATCTCCTTCCTGTTACGCGAAATGTAAGTTTTCTTAAAACTTGATTTAAGAAATCGTTAGTGAGTTTTAATGACACAAATGACTGTGATGGTGAAAAATTGATAATTATGATGATCAAAAAGATAAAATAACGTATTATTTCTTAGAGGACATTTGTTTTGCTCTTCATTAGTTTCCGTTTTACATGCACGCCTTAGAAATATCATTATTCGACATCATTTTGATCCACTTCCTCATTTCATTTCAATAGATTATCATAGATGGCATAGATATCACGCATCTCAATATACAGGCAGCTCGCAGATCTATGGCTGTCATTACTCAGGATCCTGTCCTCTTTAGCGGAAGCCTTAGGAAGAACTTAGATCCCTTCTCCTTATACAAAGATCATGATCTGTGGAGAGCTTTGGAAGATGTACAGTTAAGTTGCCTGGTTCAACAATTGCCTGAAAAGCTGGAGTACAAATTGAAAGAGTCTGGGAGAAACTTCAGTGTCGGCGAGCGCCAGTTGATCTGTTTAGCGCGTGCACTGTTACAGAAAAGTAAGATAATCATCCTAGATGAAGCCACAGCTAATGTCGACTTCAAGACAGACAGACTGATTCAAGACGTTATTCGCAACAGATTTAAAGACTCCACAGTGATAACCATCGCCCATCGCTTGAACACCATCATAGATTATGATAAAATGGTGGTTATGGATGAGGGACGAGTGTTAGAGTTTGACAAACCTGAAGTGCTGCTACAAAATGAGGATGCAATCTTTGCTCGTCTTGTGCATACCCAAAATGTAACAGCGGCACATTGAGCTCGGCTTTAATCGACGATGGAATCACACTCACTTTTGCATTACGACATATATTGGTACCAGTCTCCCTTTCCGCCTTAGTATATTTTTAATTCGTGTTAACCGAGGATAGTTTTGCAGTTTTCCTTGTAAGGAATAATTCCCATTTGAAAGGAGTTCGTCAGTTAAATTCTATGAGAAAGGAGAACGCTCCTTCATCTCATCGCAGTAAGTTAAGCTTCTCCCTTAGTTTGAAGATAGCTCATCTAATTTTCAACGTTTTCACATCGTCTTTTTTGTTTTTACACTTTGGGAACCTCTTAGAAGAATCGGTTTCTCAGATGAGTTTGTAACGTCTCATAATAGGTATGAATATTGGGCTATTCGTTTATTTTATTGGCATAAGTAGAAAGATGTTATAGTGTAGTACTGAGGCATATCAACAACCCACTGACCGTTTTAAATTTTTTTTAAGTTCATGATAGCAGGTAAAATTAATTCATTATCTTATAAGGATATTGAGATACCCCGTTCCGACAAACTGGACTTAAGGGTACTCAAATTCGAGGTCCTGTCGTCTTGTAAAACATGTAGAGTACGGCGTGGTACTGACTGAACCTTTAGTAACAGAAAGCATGATCTACTTTGTTTATTTACACAATAAATTTTCTTCACAAACACACACCTTTCCGTTTCAAAGTTTTCGGGCTGAAAATAATAACTGAGGATTGAAGTTTCTCTGTCTATACCATCAAAAAGCGTATATTTTCGGACAACGGTTATCCTTTTTTTTCTGTTCATAACGATAAGTTTTTTTCTATGGTGTGACTTGAAAGTTTTAATATATGATCTAATACCTGATATCCAGTCACCCTCGACAATTAAAAAGAACACCCACCGAAATGACTGAAATTTGATCGTAAACGCGTAGCGTAAAATTATAAAGGATTAGGCTCACTTATTTTTTCCAACCTTCCACAAGATCACATTATAATCGGAGTTCGCACCGCGCAAATGCCATAGCCAGGAAAAATCTGGTTAGAAAATCACGTACGTCCGATCATCCTCACCAGGTGCGCCATTCCTGACACTACGGACGACTCAGCTAAACGCGCACCCACCCTCAAGATTTGCACAGAGCAGAGAAAACTGTGCCCCCAACTGAAAATGATTTGTTTAAATTTTCCCGCTGAAGAAGGAGCGGGGAAGGGGGGGAAACAACTCTCATGGAATTTTTTTTCTGACCGATGAGAAAATTTACGTCACATTCAATTTATATTAATGAAATCTCTTCTTAAGAACAGCAGAAAACTTTCTCAGGCAAGTCACCATCAATTTTTTCCTAATTTTTTTTTTTTTTTTTTTAATAAAAAAAATATATAACTTCAGGTTAGCGTGTAGAGTAGTATGTTGCTCGCACCAATCAGATCGCCGCATTTGGGTTATGTATCTCGCACCAATCAGATTACCGCATAGGGTGTGTATCTCGCACCAATCAGATTGCCGCATTAGATTGTCCCATCTCAACCCGCCCGGCGAAAAAGAAAATTTTGCATGCTAAGCATGCCTATGTTTTATTTCGTGTCGGACTTCACCGAATTGGAGGGGCTGTTCGTTGGCGAACAGTTTTTAGACAAATGAAACGTGCAACATCAGCTCCAACAAAAAATCATAACCATTAAAATTACAATTTTCTCGATAGCGATGGGTTTAAAAACTCATATTTTCCACGAATCCACTTGCCTAGTTGTTATAAGACAGTTTGTCATCGGACAGTTCAATTAGCCAATCACATTCAAAGTTGTTACTTCTTGGAGCCATTACTTCTGATAGTGATACACAGTGATACACAGCTCTGTTTTGTAGTTGCCGTAACTCACCACTGCGCGCAACCGATAGCTCCCCCAAGCGGTGTCTGTGTAGCAAATAACCGGCAGAATGAGGGAATTTTACACACATTGATCGGCTTTGTAAGAGTCAGGCATGACTGAAAGCAGTCGAGCAAGCTTAGGCGTGTGTTGACCTCAGTGAGCACTTTGTTCAGAGATCTTCACCCATCAATACCGTTACGCAGCAAAACTTGGCAACCCTTTCAATTTTCATGCTGTGCGTTTAGATGTTAAAGTCAGTCGAGCCTGCAAGCTTCTGTTCTCTCCAAATAGAATACATTTGGTCTTGCTCAGGTTTTGTAGTAGCTTGCTGTTGCTCATCCATTGCTCCACCCTGTCACGATTTCCTTAAATCGTAATTTGGATATTATCGGAACCTAAACCAGCAGCGTATATAACTGTGTCATCTACATACATGCTGATTTGAGACTGTAACAAGTACTTAGGGAGATCGCTGATGCACAAAACGAAGAGCAAAGCTTCGGGTAGAAAACCTTGAGGTGCGCCACATTCAAGTGTAAGACTGGATAAGTTGCACCTGTACTTTATTCTTTGACTGCGAGAAGTGAGATGGTTCTCGAACTGGTCATGACTAGGACCCCGGAATCCATAGTGCGTTAATTTGAGGCACTTGGTATTCACGAGGTCAAATGCCTTCTTTTAGTCGATAAAGACAGTTCTTGTCATTATCTGTTTGCCCTTGCACTCTGAGATGTCTAAGATGTAGTTTATGAGATACAAAATAGCAGATTAAGTGTTTCATTTTCAGATTTCATAATTTCTTACGTCTTCCAGCACATCAATATCTGCCGTTGATTAAAACCAACATCATCAACAAATAAAATGAACTGAAGTAAACTAGGCAATTACTGCATGTGATTCATATGTAAGAAACCTCTTCGGCCTTTGCGTCCTACCTTCGGAAAGGCACACAGACTACTGGAGCTGAACTGCCAATGTCGCGTGAGTATGCAAATGTAGAGTCTAATTTCATCATAGTCATGATCAGTGAACTGGTAACTTTCAGTTTATTATCATTCTGTAGTACCTCAACAAACGCCAATTTATCCGTAATGTTTGATAGGTGAGTTATTTGTATCGACTTTGATTGTCACTCTCAGATCATGAGAAAAGTTTTGATGTTAGTTATGTCAATCTCTGTGGCCGCTTGTTCAAAGGTTGGATAACGCTATCCATTGGAAAATCACTATCCAGTGGATAGCGCAATACGTTTTCTTAATAGTTATCCGCTGGATAGTGATTTATCCGTTGGATAGCATCATCCACTCTTCGAACAACTGCGCCCTGACGTGTAGTCCAATCTTCAGAATTCATGAACAATCAAAGCACAGTGAACAGTTCAGTGTTGTACTCTTTGAAGGGGAACGATTTTAGATGAGAGCATCTGCTAGATATAATATCGACAGGAAATTCAGGAACTAATGCAAGTTATTTGGGATACAGAGACTTTTTTAGTATACAGTAGTTGTATTGTTGGTCATTTCATCAGGTTATTCAACGCATCTGTTTCACATGCATAAATTAGACTCTGCATTGGCTTGCAAATTCAGAGATTAATGGAAATTGTTTGGGATACAGAGGTTCTTTGTTTAGTGTAAAGTAGTTTTATCTCTTTTCATTTCATCAGGTTATTCAACGGATCTGTTTCACATGCATAAATTACACTCTGCGTTGGCTTGCAAATTCAGAGATTAACTGAAACACATTTTACGTAGTCGAGAAAGGCAGGTTTCGAGGTGAGGATTGCAGCTGCACAAAATATCTGCGATTCCTTCGAACCGCTCCAGGTGTGGATATGTGGATATGTTTATTAAGACCTCTTGCAGTAAAAATAACTGAATTACAAGTCTGCCCAGCAAACAATAATAATCCAATAACACAAAATGAATAGCTAAGAAACAATTGATTGTATTAGCAAGCATATAATGGCAAAATAATGGCGAAACTAATCATGTGCAAAGCATAAAGCGTATTTTTTTGAGGTAAAGTTCTTAAACCTGTTGGTCGAAGTGCCTCGGATATTTGAATTTCTTTCTCTAGGTCTTAACGCGTAATTATACTGAGTATCTACTACGCCACCATCGATCATTATGGGGAAATAATGGAATGTTTCTTCTATACCTACTGACAAAGATACAGACCAGATTGACTGGCCTTCAAGTCCCTTCTTTTAAAACCGAAAGAGTGCGATATACATTCCAGAACTTTGATCAAGATAATCGGCTTTGCTGAAGCATATTCTAGTAAGTAACTTGTTGTTTATTTGTACATGGTCGATTAACCCAAGTAATTCATAAGGATGGACATTTCACCTCTTTATATGATTAGTTGGTTACGCAATCGACAGCTCCTGTAAGGTGCTGTATTGTTGGAGCTTTGGGTACCGAGGCTGCGAAATGAGCTCCTGGGAGGGAGTGATGGAGGTTTGTTTCTCTTAAAGCTACAAGGGTAATTACTGTTCAAAATGATTAGTTATAGAGCCATTGTGCATGAGGCGTATTTGTATTTGACATTAAAAATATTACAACAGATTGAAAAGGAGCCAAAATGTCATCGACTAAGCTAAATTTTCGGAAGAATTTAACCTATGATTGACTTCCGAATCGATGTGAAGCTTTGCTACGCTAAGATATAGCCAGAGGAAACATTTATAACCACATGGCTCGTTTTGCTGGATGATTGATTTTCTTAATATGTTTGGGAGCGACTCCGTTACAGAAATGAAAGATTCCATATTTGCTGTGAAAAAACAAATTACCATTTGAATTACGATAACGATAGGCTTACCTTGTGAGTTCTTATATACATATATTATTTTCAAGGTTTTTTTTCGTTCCCCATAGACATTTCAATAAGAAAAAATGGTCGCTTCTTTTGGTTTGATACCTTCTATTGTCCATGTTAAGTTATTCGTGTTTTTATGTAACGCAATAAGGAGCTTCCATTACGCAAGGTAACGTCAGTAACAGTTGGACACAGAAGGACCGCCTCTCTTCCACTTGCCGATCTGGTTAAATCTTTGGTTTTATCGAGAATTTTGCAGATATTTTTTGTCGTTAAGAAAATTTAATGCACTCGAGACTTAAAATACAGCTAAACCTATTCTCGTTCCACTTGTGCCTCCATAGTTATTTACCTCTTGCGTGCCTGTTTTTTTCAAAGCGCGCTGGACAAAGAGATCTTCAAGGTAAGATAACTAAACTAGTGATCACTTTAAGAATTTCTGAAAGTATTTAATAAATGTGGTGAGGCACCCATAACAATTTGGTGACAACAGTTTTATAGAAGACGGTTGAGGACATCTTTTATAAAACAAAAACTTGACAATCCTTTGTGTTCCACGCAAATTTTATAACGATTCGTTTTTTCTTTTCGCAGGAGGAATAAGCATAGGAACGGCCGCCATGGAAGATATTTCTAGTACAAATCCTCTAGGAAAGGCGGGTTTTTTCTCTCTGATAACTTTCTCTTGGCTGAATGATATTCTCAAGCTCGGTAGTAAACAACCCTTAGACGAAAGCTTTTTATTCCGGGTGGATACTTCGAATCGAACAGAAAGACTAGTTACTGAATTGGAACGAGAATGGGTCGCAGAGAAAAGAGCAACTGCACACCAACGAACAAAGCCTCGCTTGTGGAGGGCCATGATGAGAACGATTTCCCGCCGAGATTATATCATTATGGCATTACTAAGGTTATGTTACTCACTGACATTGCATGCGCTACCTCTGTTGATATGGTACTTCTTGAGAAGTATTTCTACAGGCACAGGTATCAGTTACAAGACATCTTTGCCCTTTGTCATTGGAATTTTTCTGGTCGCCATGATGAGAACTGTCGTGCAATCCAAAGCCATATTTAAGGCGCAAGTATTGGCAATAAGACTGAAAGTTTCCGTGGTTGGACTCATTTATAAGAAGGTGGGCAAAAAAGATATAGTGATTTTGATAGTTGTGGCTGATAACCGCGATTAATTTTTTTCAGTAATATCGGCATTTTTGTTTTCCATGAAATCTTTGTTGCACGGAGGATTCACAACAACTTTTATGCACTTAGTATTACAGATGGCAGCATTTTCTTTGTCACAACGTCTGATATTGACTATTATAATAGAGAGCTTTAGCATCGACCAGGGCGGTGGAGTAATGTTGGTCTTTCGGAGCGAAAAAACGTTATGCAAAAGCTCGGGTCAAAGAAAGCGAAGAAAATTTCGTTGTGGCATGGCATCGTGTGGAAATATTCGAACTCCGCTTCCTCTCTTTTGCAAACGCGATTGGACCGACGATGAAGAGTTCTTTTCGCTCTAAGAGCCGTTTTCCGGGCCCCTCAGTTTAAAATTGAACGGTTCTGAGACTAGAACTTTCGGGTATATGATAACCTTATGGTGAAAGGTCCACTGAAGACATTTGTTCCTCTGAAATCACAGAAAAGTTGAATTTTTGAGGTAATTTTATGACAACTTTAAAAAAAAAGCAATATAATGTACAAGGACAGGCTGATGGCACATTTATAGCTATGATACTCATGCATACTTTAATCGTGGTGTCGAATTCCCCAGAAAATACCTAAAATCAATTATTCATTTATAAGGTGATAAAATATGGGGTTATTGTTCATCATTGATTGTCGGCGTAAAAGATTTGAGTGTCATCAGCGTAAGTGGACAGAGTGCACTTCTTGATGACATATGAAAGATCATTCATGAAGATGTTGAATAATAAAGGGCCGAGGATGGATCCTTGTGGTACACCATTGCATATAGGTTGCCAATTGGAGAGTGTATCCCCCAGTCTCACCCTTTGGAATCGATTTGATAAATAATCTTTTATCAGGGAGGTTGTTACTTCATCTGCTCCATATTCTTTTAATTTCAAAACAATCAGTTCATGAGGTAAGGTGTCGAAAGCCTTGGACAAGTCCATGGAGACCAGACCGATCAATTTATTGTTATCAATTTCTTTTTTCCATTGTTCGGTTAGACTAAGAAGTGCTGAGTCGCAGCCGTGATATTTCCTATAAGCAAACACATATTTGTGATAAATTTCTTCAAAATACGGGCTTATTCGACAATGAAAAATTTTTTCGAAAACCTTCGATAAAGCTGGCAGAATCGTTATCGGCCGATAGTTAGTTTTTAATAGGCTGCAGTCTTTTTTGAGAATTGGAGTGACCTCGCCAAGTTTCCACTGTTGTGGTATCTTAATTGAAGTTAAAACATGATTAATCACTGTACTAAGAGGGAAGTATAAGACATCCATCGATTCTTTAACTGCTAGTGGAGGGATCCCATCACATCCAGAAGCCTTGTTTGGAGCAAGTTTCCTCATTACCTCGGAAACTTCTGTTGGATTAGTGTTGCTTAGCGACACATTCGGCCTGCTTATTAAGTTATTTGATATGTGCGATAAATCTACTGGATAGCCGTTTTGATTTTGTTCTTTGGTACTTTGAGTACAGCTTGTGAAGAAATTATTTAATGTCTCGGTCACCTCTTGAGGATTCCTGATGATTTTGTCACCCTCTTTTAATGTTATTCCGCTATTGTCTACATTCTTTCGGGAATTAACATAAGGCTTGATGGCACGCCAAAACTTCTTTTGATCCGCATATTTTTCCGAACACAGCTTCTCAAAATGTCTACGTATAGATTTTCTTCTCGTGCTAACTACTTTGTTGCGCACTATACGGTAGCTCTCCCAATCACACTGATTACGTGATCTATTAAATTTTTTCTTAAGCCGTTTTCGTTCCACCATTTCTCTCCGAATTTCAGGAGTGATAAACTTCGATTCTACTGAAGATCGTCGTTTGAAAGATCGCATTGGTGCGTGGTCTTCTAACACCTGATTATATAACGTCTCCCAGCACCAGTAAACATCGTCCATATCATCAAAAACGTATGCAGCATGAAAAGGAACTCGACTGAGATCTTTCTGAAAATCATCTCGGTTAAAGGTCTTGAATATCCGTTTCTTAACGACTTCGGCGTTAGCATGTAACATTTTAGTTTTTAGAACCGTGTAAACTAGCAGATGATCACTGATTCCTGTTTCGATAGCGCCAGACGATTTCATAAACATGGGCACATTTGAAAGAATGACGTCCAGGCAAGAAGCTCTAGTTGTTGAAATTCTTGTCGGTTCTTTAATTAATGTGTCGAGGTCATAGATATCGAAAATATCCAAAAGGCATTTGCCCTGGTTATTATTCATAAACGGATGAATTATGTCACAATTTAGATCACCAAGACAAATCACGTTTACGCAGAGAGATATCGCTTGATCCAGGACTGTAGTCAATTCAGTTCTGAAAGTAGCATTGTTAACAGAAGGAGGCTTGTAGGCACTGACTAAAGCAAAGCGTCTTTGTCCGATGTGTAGATCGAATAAGAGTGATTCCACTGATGTTGTAATGCCTTTCTTACATGTTGCGGCGATGTTATCGCGAATAAAGACGGCAAGACCGTCACCACCTTTCGTCCTGTCACGGCGAAATAACTTGTACCCGTTAACATAAAATTGAGAGTTAGGAAAGGATCGATCGATCTTAGTTTCCTGTATGGATAGAATGTCGAAGGCTCTGTTCGTTAGCCACTCCTTGATCTCCTCAAATTTGCTTGGTAAACTGTTTACATTTAGGTTTGCTATAATGCATTCTTTGCGATTATCGTTTCTAATTAACTTCATGTCCGAAGGTTGTGAACTAAGGTCCAGCTCAGTGTCGCTCGCGCTTTCATGCGTGGAGCTATTCAAGGTGGAAAAGAATGAATCGCTAAACTTCGGCAAGGCACAGAAAGAGCATATCCAGTCGACAGATGGATTATTAAGACAGTACTGAAAGGTCCAGTTCGACATATTCAGACATCTTGCATGCGACCAGGTGTTGCACTCAGAACATAAAATGGCGTCTTGATTGATTCTTACGGATTTAGAACATTCACCACAAGGATATTTCGTAGGCTTCCTTCTCGGACCAGGGTTAGGTGAAACATCTCCAGAAATCAACAATCTTTGCGCTTGAAATGTACCTACACCAGTAGCAGTGTATAATAATCTTCCTCCATTAAAACGCCTCCATGCGAGCTTGAAAGGTAGTTTGTAGTAATACGCACTTGACGTTGTTAAGTGGAGTGAAATAACCAGTCGCGTACAGCGTTCGGGATGCATAAAACTGCAGTTTGATGACTCACGAAATTCTCGTAGAAGTACGACAAGGAATAAAAGACACAATAATGTGCCGCCCATACGGACGTGTCTGAATGCCATGATGGCCTGGTTACGTTACGGGAATTTCGATTCCACTGATGTTGTTGGGATGAAGTCTTTTTGGATAGCCTCTTTGACTCTACGTGTGGATCACAATCAATGAACTTAACCTCGCCCCAAATAGGAATATGCCCCGTTTCGTTAGCGTGCTCCGAAACCGCAGGGGTCTGAGTGCGAGCAAACCGTATGTCTCTGTCATGTTCTTTTATCCTTTTTCGCTTTGATCTCCCTGTTCACCGATATACACTTTGCCGCAGTCGCATGGGATCTTGTAAACGACACCGTTTTGTTTTGTTGGTTCTAAGGCACCTTTAGCTAGGTCGCACTAAGTGAGACCTAAGCGGTATGTCAGATTTGAAAACGGTCCTTATGTTGTAGGCAGCGGCGAAGAATCTCTGATACACCCCTTATGTAAGGTGTAAACCAAGAAAATAAAACGGTTTTCGTTTAAAATGCAAATCCATGCAAAGCTTGGATACCCGAAACGAATAAAGTTCATCTCCATTTACAAAGTGTTAGAATACAAGGTTTGAATTTCTATAAGGAATGAAATCCGTGAAAGTAAACTAAATTTAAAATCCTGTAAACTTCCGGTTTTTGCAACTTACCACAGGTGAAAATTACTCGCCTTCTCGTTTGAATGCGTTAGCACTAAAAATTTTGTCCACAACGACTATACAACGACAGCTCGTTAAAAAAGCACATGTGCCGTAACTTGACAGTGTCACGAAAGGACTTCCAGCCGTCCTCGTCGTCTCTTTCGTCACCGATGCTAAAGCTCTTTACTAAAAACGCATTGTAATACAAGTGTATGCTCTGCCACAAGTTAGTGTGTATGAAATTATGACCTCATTACGACTTCAACACGGACAAAGTGTGTAATTCATTAAGAATTCCCGTTTTAATCGACACATGTGCAATGGGGCGCTAGAATTACCGAGGGACACCGGACACTACTTGGTACCCTGGCAGGCAGTGTTTGAGATTCCTACGACCGACATCATCTCTTAGACTTGTCTTTCTTGTACTCTACAGTCAAGTACGGTCCCCGCCATGTCGAATAATCTTGCGTAGCGTCCTTGTAGCTTTCTCGTGTTTCCCTTCTTTTATTTTTCTCCTTTCCTTCTTTTCCTTCATGATTGGTTTGCAAATTAGGAGATACGCCAAAAGGCATCCAACATACAAAATTCATTTCTGCGCCATAGAGAGGGACAAGGGTCTTTTCGGTTGTGAACCACGAGTTGCTGCATTACGTTCACAGATAGTTTATTCGAACTGGCGGCGTCAATTGTCGAGTTTTTTTCAGCACGCTCAAAGAGAAATCTCGAAACGGTTGGGTTACTGTTTGAAACCTCAAACATGTAAATAGTACATTTATAGATATACTTTTCAATCGCAAAGATAAAGATAACATCCTTTTAAGAGGATACTTCCCCTGCACAGAAATGATTCTGTGTACGTGAAGAAAAGGCACTTTTACCGTTTCTTAAATTAACAATATCTTTATTGTTCCCCTTTTTCTTTGTCAGATTCTAAACAGTCAGAGATGCACCTTAGAAGACTCGCTTTCGGAGAACACTATCAACCTTGTTTCCAACGATGCTCAAACTATTGAGGAGCTGGGTGATGTCTTGTATTCATTTTCATTCGCCTTTGTAGACCTCATTGCCTCTTTGGCTCTTGTATGGTACTTAGTGGCCTGGCAAGCGTTGTTAGGAATTTCCTTTTTTCTTGTCGTCGTTGCTTACGGATCCTTCATAGCTCGTGAAACTGGGAAAATACGCCTCCGGGCTGCTGCAGTAACCGACGAGAGGCTGAAGATAATGAATGAGATCATCTCTGGTATCCGCATAGTAAAAATGTACGCTTGGGAATGGAACTTTAGGGATCTGGTTGCACAAATAAGAAGGTTAGAGGATTGTTGTGTTTTCCAGAAAATATCATAATTTTACCAACAGATCGACTTTAACTCTTCAACCCCTAAGGAATCATGAATCACATATATTATTTTCTCAAATCTGAAATTTTCGACCGTCCCCTCAGTCCAATTGGTACGTGCGTATATGTAAAGATTACAAGATTTCATAGTGATAGCCCTTGATTAATCAATCGATGAAATTTAAATTTACATCTTTCTCTGCACATGCGTTTTGTGTGAAAACGTAATTTTAGACTTTCATCCACCGATTAATCATGGAGATGGGCCCTCCATACCAGGAAAAAACTATCAGAGTGTTAAATAACACCACATGCTCGAATTACATTCCTTCAAAATGTTTTCCACAGGAAAGAGATCTCTCTGATTCGTATACGAGGATTCTTCATCTCCAGTATCTACGCACTGTTCTTCACCAACTCCACGATTGCGGGTTTTATTTCAGTCGTAACGCTGCTCCTTACAGGGAATCTGCTGACCTCATTTATGGCTTTTACATTGCTTTTGGTGTTGAGTAACACTAAAATGGTGGTGACAATATTCCTTGTTTATGCATTGCGCTACATTGCCGACGCAAGGACGACTTGTTGCAGAATGCAGAGGTTACTAGAAAAGAATTCCTTGTCAAAGATGCAAATAGATCGCGGCGATACAATATTGCCCTTTACAGACCAAAGAAAGCGATCGAATTTTGTCAGAATTGATAGTTTTAAAAATGGAAAACCGGTGTTAGTTGGTGCTCGAAAGCTGGAACCGCTAATCGACAACCATCCACCGAAGGTTACGCTCGACAAAGTTTCGTGTGCTTGGATTAAAACGTCGGAGATTCCTGCGCTACAAAACGTTTCGTTAGATGTTGCTGATGGGCAGCTTGTGGGTTTAACAGGCCCAGTTGGAAGCGGAAAAACAACTTTACTACTTAGTATTCTGGGAGAACTTCCCGTATGTTCTGGTCGAATTTCTTGTATCGGAAAAATGGCTTTCGTATCCCAAATTCCTTGGGTCTATTCAGGCACAGTGCGAGAAAATATTGTGTTTGGCAGACAGTTTGTCGCCGAAAAATACAATAAAGTTATCATGGTTTGTGACCTTGAGAAAGATATTAAATGTTTTCCTAAAGGCGATCTAACTGAAATTGGTCAACGCGGAGTCATCTTGAGCGGTGGTCAGCGTGCTCGAGTAAGTCTAGCACGCGCGATATACACTGATGCTGACATTTACTTATTGGACGACCCACTCAGTGCAGTGGATGCCAAAGTCGGCAAAAATCTATTCGAGAGGTGTATCAAGGAGTTTCTGGGCGGAAGAATACGCATTCTGGCTACTCATCAGCTGCAGTTTCTAAAAAAGACTGACAGCGTTGTGGTGCTTGAGAATGGTTCCGTTGTAGGTCAAGGGACATATAGTCAAGTACTTCAACACAACATGGGCTTTCGCTTTTTTCAGCGTGAAGCGAAAGGAGCCCCCAGTTTGGAGAAAGATGATCTTGAAATGGCTACAGTTGTGTGCAAAGACACTCACAAATCCATGAGCGTCCCTCAAATAGATGGTGAAAGAGTGGATCTCACAGATGATGCGGAGGACAGAATGATTGGAAGTGTGAAGTGGTTGTTGTACTGGAAATATTTCAGGACTGTACTACCAACTATCATGATAGCAAGCCTTTCCGTTTTCTTGACTTTTGTACTAGGTAAGTGACAATCGCTTGGAGTGATTTTTTTTCATGACCCATGCCGCTAAACTGTCTGGAAATTTTAATAACTATGCGGGGACCCTCGCCAGCTTGGATCATCCTATGTATTGTCTAAAATTTTCACGAATAAAAAATGATCAGTCTTGGTCGAAATAATCTGTACTCGTTAATCGCGTGATAGCTTTGAAATGGAGTGTTAATCCATCGCCTATAAGTACGAGTTCATCAAGCCATTCTAAATTGCAAGAAACTATGAAAAAATCTGAACATTTGCCTCATCATGACTACAGAGAACATCATGAAACTCGTCTTCTTCAGCAAATAAAGTTAGCTGTGGCTATACTTTTAGGTGATTATTACCGACCGTATAGCCTTAACACCATTAATGACAGTTTTTTAAATTTTTCAAGGCACTTATAAATACTATTGAATTTTTTGTCTCTCCTCAGTATTGTGGATAGCACCCTTCTGGTGGGTCTCAAGAATGACAGAAATGCCATTTGAAAAGCAAAAGAATTTCATCACTCTTTCGGTGTACGGATCAATTGCTATTGCTTCCTTGCTTTTTACAATCGTATCCTCGTTCTGTTTCTATGTCACTGCTTTGAGAGCATCAGAAAACCTTCATGACCAGATGACAAACGCTGTTCTTAAAGCACCAGTTTTATTCTTTGATACTAATCCAGTTGGTCGCATCTTGAACCGTTTCTCCAAAGATGTCGGTTGCATGGATGACCTGCTTCCAGGAAAGTTTCTCTTTGCCATTCAATTATGTCTTCACTTTCTTGGTGCTACCATTCTTTCAGCGGTATCCAATGTTTGGCTCTTCATTACTTGCACTCCATTAACAGTACTTTTTATCTACCTGACTAAATATTATTTGAAATCCGCTCGAGAGCTCAGGCGACTTGAAGCTATAACCTGCAGTCCGGTGTATTCCCTTATTGCTGATACAATGGCTGGATTAGAGGTGATAAGATCATCTGGGATGGAAGATAATTTTCTGCAAAAGTTTTATCGGTGAGTGCCCTATGAAAATACAATGTCACTGTTACAAATACTAAATTTCCTGAATTATACCGTCCCCAAGTCTATAGAACTAACATTAAACAATTCACAATTTTATATCAAGGAAAAAAATTGTGGAAGTGTACTTCATTTGATAATTGAACCTAACAATGTAGGATACTTCACCGGTTAATTACATCCTATTTAATCAATTTGCAAAATACCCAATGAATTTTATAGCAAGGTTATTCATAATAATTAGTAATATTAAGTAATTAAATGTTCTTAGTACGTTACAGTTTTTAAATTACGTTCTACATCCTAGTTTAACTTCAACTCTAATTTGTAGCTTGGAAGGTTTATAGGTGAGGGAGTCTCACATCGGACTGTATGGTGGATCCCATTACTTTAAACAATTATCATAGACATGGAAAGGGAAAATGTTAGCAGTTGTAAGCCATTTATTTTGGACGGAATATTTCGTTGAGATATTGAATAGCAGAGAGGATAACAATCAAAATGATGGAAACTGCAAGCAATTAGGGTTTTTGAAAACAGCTGAGCCGCAATCAATCTTTTCAACCTTTTGTACAGACCCCATTTCTGATGGGCAGGAGCTGTTTAAAACATAATTTCTACCTCATCAATTTCATAGGTATTACATATCTTTAACTTAAGGCTAAAGCTATACTTTGGTACACTTAGCATATTCTTTAGTTAGTACGTACGTTACGATTGGTAAATTTAGCGGGCCGTATTTCACTGTACACCCCGCCTGATTGCAAAGTTAGTTTTACTTTAAACTCTCCCCCTATTAGAATTCAGAGATATATTAAATATCTAAACGAACCTTGTTTGTTGGTTTGTTTTATAAGTTACAGATCTCGTTATTTCTGCTCGTATTTATGTTCTACGCTTGGGTCATAAAACCGAGCAGAAAAAAGCTCTGTCGGTAAGTTGCAGTACGGACCTCGAACTCGGATAGTAAGAGATATTTGATGAAAATTGTTTGTGTTACTAAGTTTCTGTTTTTTGGCTGAAGATGGTACTCAGTCTTATTTATATATTTTTATAAATTCATTTATACTATTATTATTTTTCTCTTTTTGGAGGGGGAGCGAACAGAGTTTGAAATTTATTTTTGTTGTTGAAAGATTTCAATGGTAACGTTAAAATGCTCTCTTTTTCATTTTTCTTAAAGCTAAGATCATGACATCAATTTCGAATGGATCGATTGGCTCAATGTAATACAATGGACTTAATTGGGACACAGGTCTCTAACTAAGAAGAACTCATCAATGTATTGGTCTTTTTTTAAAGATATCAAGACAAGAACACGTCAGCCCTGTTTTTGCTGAAGGCCTCAACGCGATGGCTCGCTTTCCGAGGAGATTGTTTGTGTAATTTTCTTGTAACTTCTGTGTCGGCTGGAGCTTTGTTTGCAACACAAAACCCAGGTACATATTCCTACGGTGTAACTGAATCTCCATTCCTTTCGCTTGTGTGATCACTTTACCAATTAAAATTCTTCGCCTGGCGAGCCCTTTCCTGTAGGAGCCTATTCCTGCCTCTCAGAAAGTTTCCTTTCTCTCTGCGCTGTTAATAAATCCTATTTACTTATTAAAATGTTCATTTGAAAAGCAATTTGAATTACGCTTTTAGTACATCATCAAAGAGCATAACCTTCTCTTCATATTCCTTTTCACCGACTTTTGTAGAAGTATGATCAAAGATAATTAGTGAACCGCTCTTGTTTTCAGCTTTGGCGGGAATGTCCCTGACTTTTGCAGCCGACACATTGGAAGCAGCCCAGTACGGTATCCAGGTAGCCTCAGAGACAGAAAACTACATGACATCAGTGGAAAGGGTGTTTACCTACACTCAAATCGAATCTGAACCTGGGTACAACTTAGACAGCCTACCTCCGGAGTCGTGGCCAACAAAAGGCACTTTAACATTGCGCAACTTATCTTTATCATACTTGAAGGGAGCACCACCAACTTTGAACAGAATAAATTTATGTATCACTGATAAGGAAAAAGTTGGTGTGGCGGGTCGTACCGGAGCTGGAAAATCATCATTAGTGGCGGCTTTGTTCAGAACACCAGAACCAGAAGGCGAGGTGAGAACATGCAGAGTGTTACCGTTAGGCAAACTTTGAGATATCGTTCCTTTATCTCCTTCCTGTTACGCGAAATGTAAGTTTTCTTAAGAAATCGTTAGCGAGTTTTAATGACATAAATGATTATGATGATAAAAAAGATAAAATAACGTATTATTTCTTAGAGGACAACTGTTTTGCTCTTCATTAGCTTCCGTTTTACATGCACGCCTTAGAAATATCATTATTCGACATCATTTTGATCCACTTCCTCATTTCATTTGAATAGATTATCATAGATGGCATAGATATCACGCATCTCAATATACAGGCAGCTCGCAGATCTATGGCTGTCATTATTCAGGATCCTGTCCTCTTTAGCGGCAGCCTTAGGAAGAACTTAGATCCCTTTTCCTTATACAAAGATCATGATCTGTGGAGAGCTTTGGAAGATGTACAGTTAAGTTGCCTGGTACAACAATTGCCTGAAAAGCTGGAGTACAAGTTGAAAGAGTCTGGGAGCAACTTCAGTGTCGGCGAGCGCCAGTTGGTCTGTTTAGCGCGTGCTCTGTTACAGAAAAGTAAGATCATCATCCTGGATGAAGCCACAGCTAATGTCGACTTCAAGACAGACAGACTGATTCAAGACGTTATTCGCAACAGATTTAAAGACTCCACAGTAATAACCATCGCCCATCGCTTGAACACCATCATAGATTATGATAAAATGGTGGTTATGGATGAGGGACGAGTCTTGGAGTTTGACAGACCTGAAGTGCTACTACAAAATGAGGATGGAATCTTTGCTCGTCTTGTGCATACCCAAAATGTAACGGCGGCACATTGAGCTTGGCTTTAATCGACGATGGAATCACACTCACATTTGCATTACAACATATCATATTGGTACCAGTCTTCCATTCCGCCTTCGTATATTTTTAATTCGTGTTGGACGAGGATAGTTTTGCAGTTTTCCTTGTAAGGAATAATTCCCATTTGAAAGGAATTCGTCAGTTAAATTCTATGAGAAAGGAGAACGCTCCTTCATCTCATCGCAGCAATTTCAGCTTCTCCCTTAGTTTAAAGATAGCTCGTCTAATTTTCAACGTTTTTACATGTTTTTTTTTTTTTTTACACTTTGAGAACCTCTTAGAAGAATCGTTTTCTCAGATGAGTTTGTAACATCTCATAATAGGTATGAATATGGGGCTATTCGTTTATTTTATTGGCATAAGTAGAATGATGCTATACTGTAGTACTGAGGGATATCGACAAACAATTAACCGTTTTGAATTTTTTTTATTAGTTCATGATAGCAGGTAAAATTAATTTATTATCTTACAAGGATATTGAAATACCCCGTTTCAACAAACGGGACTTAAGGGTACTTAACTTCGAGGTCCTGCCGTCTTGTAAAACATGTAGAGTATGGTGTGGTACTGAGATAAAGATGAACCTTTAGTAACAGAAAGCATGATCTACTTTGTTTATTTACTCAATAAAATTTTTCACTAACACACACCTTTCCGTTTCAAAGTTTTCGGGCTGAAAATAATAAACGAGGATTGAAGTTTCTCTGTCTGTACCACCAAAAAGTGTATATTTTTGGACAACGGTTATCATCTTTTTCTGTTCATAACGATGAGTTTTTTCCTATGGTGTGACTTGAAAGTTTCAAAATATGATCTAATGCCTAATATCCAGTCAACCCTCGACGATTAAAAAGAACACCCACCGAAATGACTGAAAATTGATTTCAAACGCGTAGCGTAAAATTGTAAAGGCGAGGCTCACTTATTTTTTCCAACCTTCCACAAGATCACATTATAATCGAAGCTCGCACCGTGCGAATGCCATAGCCAGGAAAATCTGGTTAGGAAATCAAGTACGTCCGATTATCCTCACTAGGTGCGCTATTCTTACGCCGCGGATAACTCAGCCAAACGCGCACCCACCCTCAAGATTTGCACAGAGCGGAGAAGACTGTGCCCCCAAAAGTGATTTGTTTAAATGTTCCCGCCGAAGAAGGAGCGGGGAAGGGGAGGGGGAACAACTCTCATGGAATTTTCTTTTTCCGACCAATGCGAAAATTTTACGTCACATTCAATTTAAATTAATGAACTCTCCTCCTAGGAACGGCAGAAAACTTTCTCAGGGAAGTCACCATCAATTTTTTAGTTGTTCTTTTTTTTTTTAATGAAAAAATATAACTCCAGGTTAGCGTGTAGAGTAGTATGTTGCTCGCACCAATCAGATCACCACATTTGGGTCATGTATATCGCACCAATCAGATTACCGCATAAGGGTATGTATCTCGCAACAATCAGATTGTCGCATTAGATTGTCCCATCTCAAACCGCCCAGCCAAAAAGAAATTCTTGCACGCTACGCATGCCTATGATTTATTTCGTGTCGGACTTCACTCAAAAGGAGGGGCTGTTCGTAGACGAACAGTTTTTAAACAAATGAAACGTGCACCATCAGCTCCAACAAAAATATCATAACCATTAAAATTACAATTTTCTCGATAGCGATTGGTTTAAAAACTCCTATTTTCCACGAATTCACTTGCCAAGTTGTTATCAGACAGTTTATTATTGAACAGTTCAATAAGCCAATCACATTTAAAGTTGTAATTTAAATCAACCAATCACTTTCAAAGTTATAGTTTAATTCAACCAATCACAACCTGGGTTTTAATCATCATAGGAACAGAAACATTTACGCCTCCTTTGTCAGTCTTTTAATGCAAATTTTCTCTTTTTTTCATGACTTGACTAATCTTCTTTCCTCGGAAATTGTAAATTTTATGATTAATTGGTAATGACACCGAGTGGAGTCCAATTCGGTTTGTAACCATTCCAGGGATAAAAAAAAGTCAGAACATTACTTATTGTACCAATTAATTTACTGCTGTAAATTCCCAGTTCATTCCACAATGATATTAACTCAATTTGAGAGAACTAAACCAGTCTTCCTTCTCAAACTTCACAGTTCCAAGTTTTGCTTCCGCTTTGATCGTTTTTACCCCTTCCTCCTTCTTGTCTTTTTTGTTAAGTTCTCCCGTCATGACGGTAAAGTTCCCTTCTGCACGTTCTTTGTCAATGACAACGTCAATGTTTGAATCGACGTGAATATGTTTTGACCTCACCAAGAACTCTGAAGAAAACGATTCCTGCAAACACTTGACGGTAATGTCTCCTGAATTTAAGAGCAAAAATCTACATTTGGGACAAAATTGTTGACACTAACCTTTTCAACTCCTTGTTACTTCATTTGTATCTCTTTTGTCATTCTTTAAATAACTGATTCTCCCCCTGTCCCCCCAAAACATTGTCACACTGTGATTCACTTGATCTTTTAGCTACCAACAAGCAACATTGAATGGAGGAGAGGGGGTTTTATCAATGATTCATAGTGTGGTGCAAAAAGTAGTGTTCTTCAACTCCTACAATTAACTGTTCAAACACAATTTGCAAAGTAATTTTGATCCTGATTGTATCTTCAGCTTAAGAACTCTTTGATTAATTGTGAGTGTACAACTAGTACTAAAACCAGACAATCATATTTAATGCCAAGACTTTTTATATTTTTTTTTTGGCCAAATTTGGTTGGGTACTCAATGTATGAAAAGTTAATTTAAGATTTTTAAATTTGACATTTAATACACCATGTCTCTCTACATTCATAGCTCATCCCACTCTTTACTCAATAAGGGTTTTGTGATGGGGATAGTTGCTTGATAATCACATAGGAATGTGTAGAACAACAAAGTTTGTAAGACTGGTATGAGCATTAAAAATAATTTTCAACAACATAATTTGGAGGGTCTACCTCCATGTATAATTAACTATGTTCATTCAGAACGATCAACTTATTTGTTTAGTACAACTGGCACTCAAAAATACACAATGATTCAGCTTCAACATGCTTTACCTTCATTTGTGTTTAGCACTACATCCTCATGTTGAGATAAGTTTACATCTATGCTGCCTCTTCCTGTAAAAGCTTCCAATTGACCAGAAGTTGAACCAATTGATATGTTTCCATCCTCAGCACGAATCTCAGTAAAACCTGCAAGGAAGGATCTGATTGGAAAAAACCTGAGGGCACATTTGACAAGACATGGAATGTCTATGCATGAGGATTTACCTCTCTCCTACAGGGATGCTTTGATTTAAGGTGGCTCAAAATACACCAATTCTTTGATTAATCAATGCTGCCACACATTTTAATCTGTTTCCATAAGAGTGATATTAAAAACACATTTATCACCATGTTGCCAAATGAACTGAGGTGATCATTGCAACATTACAGCCTACAACTCAGAAACTAGTGTAGTAACCCCTATTAATTTGGAACCAGTGTTCCTCAACATATTTGTGTTCATTCCTTCCCTTCTTCCAACCTCATCCCCTCACAAGGGCTTTACATTGTAAGAACTCACCATGCACATCTCCTAATTTAATACAACCACTTTTAGATGCAAATTTGGCCTTAAGGAGATAGGTAGCTCCAACATCAACATCTCCATGCTCTGTTTTTAAATTAAATTCCTTCCCTTGTAACTTTTTCACAGATATCTTCCCTTTCTTCTTAGTTTCTAAAAATCCATGTTCAAACAGCAACTGAGACTGACATATGATGTCACCATAGTTTGATGAAGCTCTCAAGCTTGATCCCTTCAGATTCTTCAAGCAGCATGCACCTTGATTAGTCACCATTTCAAAGGGTCCACCTTCTAAGTCTTTGATATCAATGCTGGCATCACCCCTCACATTAATATCAACACCACATGCCGCAGGAACTTGAAAGTGCAGGGTGATGTTCTTTGTAGGGTACTGGTATTGTTGTTGTTCTGAGCATGTTACCTTCAAAAGGAAATCATGAAATTTAATCATTGGGTCCATTTGATATCCCAATTTGGAAAAATATCAAAAAACAGTTCGTACAAGTACTTATTGACCGAATGGGAGGGCTGAACAAGAAAATATCTGGCTTGATGTCATAAAAGAGGGCCACTTAGTTTGCTGTTTGGCCTGAGCAAACTCAGTCAATAATCACTTCATTATATGAACTCTACATATTGAGAATTTTGTTTCAACCTAAGTAGGACGTGTTGCACAGGCGCACGTTTGATGGGATAGGATTGGAAAAGCTACCTGCAAGTAAATAGCCTAATGTTGAATAGTGCAACCAAGTGTGCTACATTACAAATGCCTCGCATGAAATGGGAAAATTTATTCGCATTGTATTATTCCTCTTTTAAAACACTTTTCTTAACCTTTTTTACCTCCAAATAGTCCTTGGAATTGGAGCTGACGGGTCTCACGTTGAAATTAATATCCTTCATAAATGAATTCTTTAAATCTGGTGCAAGATCGCCCTCATCGTCTGTTTCTAAGTAAACATTTCCTTTCACGGACTGACCATCAGTATCTACGTTCTCTATATATTCCATAGGATTCACTGGCTGTATTTTTACAGTGTACGGGCTCTGTACAACAATGAAAGGGGTATCTTTCGAGGAGGCGTCCATCTTCCATGCGAATACATCTTGAGTTTTGCCGCGAATTTGCCGACGATTCAAACAATTTGTCGCTCTGGTTACATATTTAAGCAGCTTTTCGACCCTAAACATCTCGAAAGCCTTTAATAATCCTTCAAATAAAATTATGCAACCCTCTACCTTCGTCGAGGAGATTTGAGTAAACCTGCCATATTGGATTTTGAGCCAATTCGGCGGTACCTTAGTTCAGCGCACACACACAGATTTAGTCTTCAGGCTCTGCGCGGTTACGTTTATTTCCAAGATGGCGACTACATTTGATCAAGAACTACGAAAGGTAAATGCATCTATATTCTCATTTTTGACCATAACCCTATAAGTAACATTTTAGGAAAATAGGTGGATTCAAAAGTTCCACAAATCCTTAAAATTATCGTTTATGGTGGGGGGCAAATGTTATTATTCCTTAAGTCTCTCGGTTTCTTCTCTCATAAGAGAAAACTTCATATTGAGCATTCATTCCCTATTAACGGTATTTCAATTGATCTGTAGGCCTTCCAAGAACTCCAAGAAAAAATGATTGAGACCACGCAACGTGTCAAGGTGGCAGAAGGTCAAATTTTGCAACTTCGAAGGAACATGGCTCATTCCAAATTAACGGACCAAGAATTAGCTTCATTACCCTCTCATACACCCACTTATGAAGCAGTAGGAAGAATGTAAGTTTTATCGTGGCTGTTTTCATGATGTTAGGATTTTAAACAAAATCAAAAAGATTTACTGTATTTGTATTACTTCTCACTGCACGTAGCAGTGTTAAAAAAAGCTGTTGTCTCCATCTTCATGCGCACATATATGGAAATTGTGAAGACAGGGAATTCTTTCCATTTTAGCATAATTTTAACACTTAAACAGCATTTTGAGCACCATAATAGGTGGTTCTGAATACAATGACCAATAAGTTGTCAAACTCAATGTTTAGTTTCTTAGGGGCTCTTAACATCTTCCTCTGTTATAAACAGAGATTGGGTGCTGTATTTGGCCTTCGTTTTGTCACCCCCATCAGAAAGGGTATGAATGCCTCATCACTTTCAGATGTCACTGTGAATCTCCTTTCTCTCTGGTAACCTCATGGGTTTCCAAATTTAATTTATTGACAACTTTTGACAGGTTTGTTCTCCAGCCCGTATCAGATATCAGAAAGGACCTTGCTCAGAAACTCCAAAGCAATGAAGAGAAGATCAAAAGCATTGAGGTAAAGTACATCTTCGCTGGCATACTTTTTAGTGTCTTCTCAATATGAACTCCTTTCACTCCCAGGAGCAACCAACAAGGAATTTCTCATTACAATATGTATACATTTGTTGAGCAGGAAGGTAATAAGGAAATCAAAAAGGAGACTTTAATTGATTTAACATCAGAATTAAAATCAAAAGAAACATATGGGGTACAGTAGAAAGAATTTGTATGTAGATCTCTGGAGTGAAAGGGTGAAGTTGCACATGTTTGGTGCAAAAATGTAAAATATTTTTATAGTAAAGAACAGAATTTAATATGGTGGACTTGTCAGTTAAAAGTTTATTACTAACTAAGTATCACATGTGGGTTGAATCTTTTGTCAGTTCTCCTTGTTCCATGTTCTTTAATTATATTCTCCACAAAATCTCAGTTCAATGTGGGAACTGTGGACAAAAAAACACTGCTAGAAATAATATTCATTAACTCTTGACACTCTATCTTCAATAATGATTTTCTCCACACTGTTCTCCATACATTTCCAAAGGTGCTGACCAGGAGAATTTGTTTGATAATCAAAAGCTTCTTAGGTTACTCTGTGATTATCTCCTCTATTCTCATGACCTTCATTTGTGATTCAGGAGTGGTTTTGTATGGAGATATTAGATGCTAGTTACTCTTATGGGTTGAGGGGTTAAGGGATAGCATTTAATAAACATGAAGAAACTTGAGGCAGGGAGGAGGCATGTATTCCCAGTTGGCATCAGCAAGTTGTTAAATTTGCAATATTATCTATTTGGATCTTGGCCTTTACACCCTGTACTTAATAATGAAAATTCTCTTGTGGTTCTTACTCTGTACAAGAACAGTTGCACTTGCATGACACTGCTGTGATTTACAAATTTCTGATGGGTCTGGCACCCAGCTATTTAAGTTCAAAGCTCACAGCGCACTCAGAAATCCACGAGCACTACACTAGAAATAGAGATCAAGTTAGCCTTCCCAAATGTCACGCAGTGACTGCTCAGCATTCATTCTTCTACAGAGCAGTAGAATCATGGAACAGTCTAACTGGTCAGACAAGAGACTCTCCATCTATTCCATTTTTCAAGAAGAAAGCTGAAGTTGAAATTAGTTGCACTTAGTGTTTAGATAGTCAATAATACATCTGCTTGTTTGCAAAATTGCAAAACACTATCACTGATGTTAATATATTTTTATATATATTTTTTATATTTTTTACTATTCTTACCTAGTAAATTGATTCTGAAAAACCCTAATGGGACTGATCAATAAAATGTATTCCATACTGCATCTGTATACTAACCTGTAGTTTTTCCCTATTTCTCTACAGGCTAATAAAGAATATCTTCAAAGAAGTGTCAAAGAACATGAAGATAATATTAGAGAAATGCTTGCTAGCAGACCAAAATAGCCTTGCTAACATCCTGATATTTAATTTTTTATCTCAGACTTACCTTACCTTGAGCTTGAGTCAAGAGGGGTGCCTGGGTTTTTTGTCCCTTGCCCTGCCAACTTTTCTTTCTTCTGCGATTTTTTTTTGTCCAAAATAAGGGGGGGGCCCCTAGGACCCCATGGCCCCTCCCCTAGATCTGCCACTGCCTTAGATTATCTTGCATTACCATTTTTGAGGAAGATATCAGAGTGGAGCAGTGGATGGTAATACAAGTGGTTGGAGGCAGAAAGTTTCTTGGGTTGTATAAAATTACATTTACCAATTTTAGGCTGATGATGATGATGATAAAGGCTGGCTGTTGCTATTAATGGTCTTTGTTACTAGAAAAAGGATAGTGCTCCTCAAGTTATGGAAAATTGTCATTCTGCACATGGTGTGTTTTGATTATATTTTGTGTATCTTATATGTATCTCTAAGTCTTTTCCTTTTTATACCCTTGCTTACCTGTCAATGTAATTTCAAAACATGATTTTTGCTAGTTGTCAGTTTTGTTTTACTGACGTTCAGTGTTAAAGAAGAAGAATTGAAGTAATTGGGCCATATCTTCATGTTAGTAGTAAATAGAAATATAAGATTCATAGCATATGTATCTCTAAGTCTTTTCCTTTTTTACCCTTGCTTACCTGGTTTGGGGAGAAAGATCTAAACTACCTTAATCCCATTACCCCCTCACATCAATGACTACAGTTTCTGTACTGCTCCTTATACACTTCCTATGGTACTCACAAGGAAAATTTATGTACAATCGCAAGCTTCTTTAGTTTGCATTAATTCTTCTATTCCTAAAGACCTTAATGTTTGATTCAGAAGAAGTGATCCTGTGGGGAAAATTAGATCCCAGTAAATGTTTTCATCAAGTGAAGGACTGACAGTTTCTTTCGTTACAAAATTGGAATCTGACCACTGAATTTATTACAGTTAGCTTAGGGGGCTGAAGTGATAAAATTGGATTACTTTTTCATGAGCAAAATAAGGTTTGAGCTAATATCACTATGAATCCCTCTCAATGGAATGGGAGTGGAACTGCTTTAAGACCAAATGGTGCAAAAGGAATTGTTTTCTCCCCACCCACTTCCCCCAGAGCCCTCCCCCCTCCCCCCTCCTTGCGCACTCCTCTTCTCGACCCTAAGACCTCTGCAGGCAGAGAGAAGGGTGGTAATCTGAGTGAAAAGGTCTCAATTGTACTAGAAACTAAACTATGCTAGCCCCCTTTGAAGTTCCCATGCTCGCAATTTACGTTCAATTCATTTCATTTATTAGAGTTCGCAAAACATTTTAGACTTAACTGCACCCTGTGTCCATTTTCCGCAGGAAAAACGACCTATATTTTTTTGTTGCATAATTTTGTTGTACAAATTGTTCCATTTAAATAAGAGGACTAAAAAAAAATTCGAGGGGAAAAAAAGATATGGCTAAAACCGTGCTCAAAGCCCGTCACTCGATGATGTAAATTATAACCTCGAAATTAAAACTCAGGGGGAACGTTTTGAGTCGATTTCGTTTAAAATTGCGTAATTTTTTTTACAAATTATATATTGTTCCATACGCTCGTGACTTTCTACCTATTAAGGTTTTTTTTTCGTGATTGACAAATCGGACTCCCGCTTCGTGGTCGTCCGATTTTGTTAATCACTCGTATGATTACAGACCGAATTGGACGACACGAAGTCCTGTTAATCAATCAGTCCAATTAATCAAAACAATGACAAAATTTGAGAAAGAAACTAGACATCGGTTATACGTTTTCATGGAAAAATCCATTAGTTAACTCAGCGAAATGCGAGGCAATAGCGTGCGCACATGACGCGATCTGTCCACTTAGATAAGCATGAGGTGTTAACTGTCCCTTTAACTGGCCTATTACACTTTCCAAGCATGACTTTACAACTTTACAAGCATGACGCGTACACTGTCCTATTAGTGCTCAAATCGGGCTGGTGATAACCAATCATGTTCGAGAATTTTGTTATAGTTTTGATTAGTGCCAGAACAGGCATGAGTGGGGTAAGTTTTGCTCATCATATTTCTTAAACAAGCACGGTGACCTATCTTTTAAATTGTATTTTTTCGAAACAGACATTGGTAGGGGTCATTTAGGAAAAGTTTTTAAAAAAATTTCGGTAACTTTTTTTTTTTCCGAGGAATCACCTTAAAAAAATATAAAAATACAATGAGAAAAAATGATAATATAGAAAAATCCGGCAAAATGAGCCTTCTCTTATAAACCCGCGATGGACCGCGTTCCTCTCCCCTCCCCTGACAAATACTACCAGTGGATGCTGAGTAACCGAGCCGTTAAGAAAGTGTCTTCAAGTAACTGCAGTGGAAACTCAAGTTCAAATATTTGTTTTGGAACATCTTGTATTTTGGAATACGGTGTAATCTTGTGTGATCTTCAGAACAAATCACAGAAAGCTGGGAAAAAGCACAGATTTGATGTCATGGAGAAATCAATCTTTTGTTAACTTTTCTCTCGATCGAATTCAAACATCTGTACACAATTCACTGCTACCAAGTTTATCTCGCTTCGATCTTCTGGCAATTTTTTTTTTACGATTTAGTGGCTTTCAAAGCTTACATTCATCAAGGAAAGCACAGTTTGAGTAATGTATACTTCTGTCGGGTCGAAGGAAACTAACTTTGGTGAGTATCAACAATCATAGTGTCACTTGCTAAACATCTTCTTAGTAACACCGAAGAAACTCGCAAATGCGGTCAGTGTTTTTACCACTGGACATTAGTTGTTAATGATATGACAGTAAAGCAAAGCGGTGATCTTTTTCATTTCCTTCTCAAACCTTTTGAACTGTTTCGAGAATTGTGTGGTCTACTTTCCGTAAAATGTATGAATTTGCTTACTCTTTACCGAATATGTTTTCGTTCAATCGTGTAAACGAAATTATGTCATTTAATCGATCGGCGCCAATGGGCAAATATAGAAGCTTTAATTGGGCAGATTTCATATCTGTGTTTGTGATCACTGAAGCAAGGAATGTTCCATGTTTTTGAAATTTCAATACAAAAAATGGAAATTTAAATGCCAGTGATATTTTTCGTGCGTTGATTTCCTCTGAGATTTAGCTTAAAATTCTACGTAGAGTACGTTTATTTTTTTACCCCCTTTACTTATAATCAGTGGTGTTAACATGGTCGAGGAGAAAACGTAGTCCAGCTTTTAACAATATACACAATATACACAATACTCCTGAAAATGTTCGCTGCTGTTTGTGACAAAGTAGAGAAAAAGCAAACAGTAGGAAAAAGAAGGTATTGACTGGTCTAGCTGTTTGTCTGTATGGGAAAAAACTGTGCCCTTGGTCTTGAGTTCAGCCCTCGGCCAAGCTCAATGATCCCCTCTCAGTAAATAACGCAGGTTTAGTGGATTCAGCTGTTTGAGGAATAATAAGTTTACTCCTGTATGTTCTAACTAGTCCTATCCATTATTCAAAAAAGCCAGAACAGTCGTTTACAAAGCCATGTACCAGGTTTTCTTTAACCCTTTTACTTCCCTGATTGAGTGAAACAGAATTTATCAGCATAATGCCAACACAACATCAAGTTGACAAGAATAAACTGTTAATAGGGGATTTTTAATTAATCCAATACTATTATATATATATATAATCTTTATTTAAGCACGAAACAATTCATCAGCAATTACATTAACTAAAACTATTTAAAAATTAAAACACTAACTAATAACTAAAAGCTGTTTTCCGTGAATGCCGTGCGTTATAGAGTGGCATTGATCTTGCGTTTAAATAGTAAATTCACCAAAGGAACACCACCACAATTGTTTAGCAGACAATAAGGAGAATTGATAATAAGATCTTGGGAATGAAAGGGTTGAGGAAAGTGTCAGCAGTAGAGAATATTATGCCGTTGCTTTACTTTATTCTTTATTTTTATAACGAAAATCCTGGTGAAGAAAAAAGGTACTCTGAGAATGTCTTTTTGGCTTAGTAACACAATGCAATGACATGACAAGGGTCGATTTTCAAATCCCTCAGTTTAGAGCCTAGGACACAAATTTCTCTGCCACCATGATTCCTACTACTGAATGCATGCATACAACCCTTCAACACCCAGATATTATTGACATGTACCTTCTCCTTAAACATCCATACATTGTTCAGCAAACAGGAAATGAGAATACTCAAACTTATCAGGTAGAAGGTGCTATCTTGATCTCACACCAATTCTCGTTACTAATTTATGATGAAATTTGTAGCAGCTTGAGAGCAGAATTACGATTTGAGAGTGTAAGGGTTGATAATATTCACTAAAATTTGTTTTTTTCTCCCAGAAACAGAACAAAGTCCCCAACCAGAGGAGAAAGTAGTGATTCCTCCTTACAGGAGTCCAGAATGTCACAACAAATCTTTCCAAGTAATGAACACCCTGCGTGAACAAAACCAGCTGTGTGATGTTTTGTTGAAAGCGGCAGGAAGTGAGATTCCAGCACACAGGGTTGTCCTCGCATCATCTAGTCCTTATTTTTTTGCAATGTTCACTGGGGAGCTGTCAGAAAGTCGACAAACTGTGGTAACCATGCGTGAAATTGATAGCCGTGCGCTTGAACTTTTAGTGCAATATGTGTACACAGCTGAGATCGAAGTCACAGAGGATAATGTTCAGGTAATGAATTCAATGGCTTTAATGCTTTTTTTAACCACTGTGTAAGCTGTGACTCATAGGTACTCACAGTAGGTGCATGTACCTTTGCTCTGACAAAGGGGAAATGCTCGAAATGTCAGCCCTGAAACTCTTTGGCCAATTATACTTACCCTGTTATACTCTCCCAAAAATGCAGCACCATGGTTTCTTTTATTAGAGACTTACTCCTTTACTCATAGATGTGTCTTCAATTGTATAATAAGCTGCATCACACTTGAATTTTAATTGTTTAACTACTTATGATCTGTTGGAGCACAGAATAATATTTTACTCTTTTTATCATGTAAAATAAATCTATTGAACTAAGGACTGACACAAAGATGATGTTACCATGAAAAACATTTTTCTCTTTTTGTTTAGTAAAATAAATCTATGGAAGTACAGATGCAAAGATGATGTCACCTTGAACAATGTTTTGCTTTTCATTGTCATGTGAAATAAATCTATCAGCTGACAGAGGCACAGATTATGTCACCATGAACAACATTTTGCTTTTCAATTCATGTGAAATAAATCTATCAGCTGACAGAGACACAGATGATGTCACCTTGAACAACATTTTGCCTTTCGTTGTCATGTAAAATAAATCTATCGGCTGACAGAGACACAGATGATGTCACCATGAACAACATTTTGCTTTTTGTTGTCATATAAAAATAAATCTATCATTGGATAACTTGCAGTACTTTCATCTAAAATTTTGTAGCAACTTCTATTTTAATTCTCCAGGAATATATATTTTTTTGCATTATATGGATAATAAATGTCCATTTTTTTGTGTTTCTGACATAGGTAAACCTCATCAACATTCCTTTCTCACCTTAGCAAAGGGATACATTGTTGTATGTTGGTGACATAGAATACCTCTGCCTAAAGTGGTGTTTACAAAGAGGACAGGCATCCTGTATCATAATCTTTTTTGGAAACATTGTGTAGAAAATGCACTTAAAAATTGTGTGTACAAGTTTTGTAATTTTTTTTTTCATGTTTTTTTTAGGTTTTGCTTCCTGCCGCTAATCTTCTTCAACTAACAGATGTCCGTGATGCATGCTGTGAATTTCTGAAAGCTCAACTCCACTCCACAAACTGTTTAGGAATCAGAGCTTTTGCTGACATGCATTCCTGCAGTGATTTAATGATTGCTGCCCACTCATTTGCAGAGAAACATTTTAGTGAGGTTGTTCAGGCTGACGAATTTCTTGCTCTGCCAACCATTCAAGTAGAAGAACTTGTCTGCAGTGACCAGCTAACAGTTCCCTCCGAGGAGAAGGTATCATACCCCCCAAAAAACTTTAATTTAATTCCTCAACCATTGACACCATAACAACAGTATGCATGTTCTCCTTAAACTGTTCTCTGTGCATATCTTGTGGTACATTGTATGAACGAGGGAAATTTGTTTAACAATCAAGAGCTTCTTTAGTTGGTGATCATTTCCTTTATCCTCATGATCTTAATGTTTGATTCAGAGGTGATTAGATAAAAATGAATAAGATACTATTCCCTCTTTGGAGTTAAAGGGTAAAGGTCATACACACATGCAAATGAATCCCTTAACTGCCAGACTGCTCCCTGGTTTCTGCAGAAGGTGACAAGGAGAATTACTAATCCTTTTGAATGAGAGATTATTTCATTGCATGGTCCCTCTCCTCCCCTCTGCTCTCTGCCTCTCCCTCATTACAAACAGTATTTGAAGTCTCCCTGACTGTGTGAAGACACCCATTTGTACTCCTGGGTGAGAAGAGACCCCTTTACCCTTTGACCCCAAAGAGTGACATGCATCTAATTTCTCCTCACAATGTTACCCCTGGATCACACATTAAGGTCACAAGAATAAAGGAAAGAAGTTCAACTGAAGAAGCTCTTGATAGTTTGACAAATCCCCCTTGTCAGCGCCTTGTATGGTGAACAGTATAGAGAATATACATAATGATGCTATGTATGGCTAAAAGTGTCCAGAGTGCAGTACATGCACCACAGGAAATGTATAGAGAACAATATGGAGACCTTGAAAACTGAAAACTGATGTTAGGTCGTAAAGGGGTTAAGCATTTAAGTTAGTTAAGTATTTCTTGTAGTCAAAATTGATACCTTGAATAATCATCACAATTTTTTTTTTTTTAACATACATGTTTTATATACATATACATGTCCCCCAATAGCTCATATAGCTGTAGTGTATTGATACTTGAATAAAATAAAGTTCATTGGTATTATAATTAATATAGCTTGTCATTGCATAAGAAACAAAACAAAAAACAAAACCAAAATAAACGAAAAAAAAAAGATAAACTTCACACGAACTTATCAGTCTTATGGAGAAAGTGGAAAATTATGTATCACTTTGGTCCTTACAGTTGTTTCAGAGCATGATGGCTTAAACGTATGTGTTTGTGTTGTACTGTAGGTATTCGAAGCTGTGGTTACTTGGGTGAATTACGACCCTGAACATAGACAGGAGTGCCTGGCACAACTCATGGAGCACGTGCGACTCCCTCTGCTGTCACGTGAATACCTCGTGAGTCGCGTGGAGACGGAAACACTGGTCAAAAACAATAACATGTGCAAAGATTTTCTTATCGAAGCTATGAAATATCACCTGCTCAGTAATGAACAGCGGTCATCTGTACAGTCACCGAGAACTCGTCCCAGGACACCGATTGGATTGCCTAAAGTGATGTACGTCGTCGGAGGCCAGGCGCCCAAGGCTATACGAAGGTAAGAAAGTGAGCAGGAGTCCGTTTTATGCCGATTTAGTATATCGAGAATTTCTTATTTTTTCACATGTGTACAAGGAGTATTATTTACTGTTATGCAAGTGGAACTCTAGTTATTTAACGCTTTTTTTCCATTTTCAACAAACATAATTATAAGCATACAAACAAAGCACTTTTTATTGAATCAAGCATGTTTAGGGCTTAGTCTTGACATGTGAACTGAATTTATCCTCGCTTCCCCGTAAGCTGTCGGTTCCTTTTTTTTTTCAATTTTGTCGAACATAATAGTTCCGTAACATGGAAAAACAAAGCGGCTCAAGTTGACAATACTTGTTTTGTTTTACTGTCAGTGTGGAATGTTACGATTTCAAAGGAGAGAACTGGTACGCTGTGGCAGAGATGAACTCTCGTCGTTGCCGCGCTGGAGTAGCCGTGCTAGACGGGCTCGTTTATGCAGTTGGCGGCTTCAACGGTTCACTGCGCGTTCGCACAGTCGACTGCTACGATCCTGGGAAAGACCAATGGCGTCCTGTGGCTTCCATGGAGGCGCGGCGCAGTACACTTGGTGCGGCAGTAATGAATGGACTGTTGTACGCCATAGGAGGATTTGACGGTACAACGGGACTCAACACTTGCGAAGTGTATGACCCCAAGATAAACGAATGGCGATCTATTTGTCCGATGAGCACCCGAAGAAGCAGCGTCGGCGTAGGCGTCCTCAATGGTCTGCTTTACGCCGTCGGCGGGTACGACGGCGCGTCGAGACATTGCTTGAGCTCAGTTGAGTGTTACAATCCAAACTCAAACGAATGGGGTCTAATGGCCGAAATGAGCACGCGGAGGAGTGGAGCGGGAGTGGGTGTGGCCGATGGGCTCTTGTACGCCATTGGCGGACACGACGGGCCGCACGTGCGGAAAAGCGTGGAATGTTTTAATCCGGATCAGAACCAATGGCGATCGGTAAGCGACATGAGCATGTGTCGTAGGAACGCTGGTGTGGCCTCAGTTAATGGCTTGCTTTTTGTTGTCGGAGGCGACGACGGCTCCAGTAATCTGTTTTCTGTTGAAGTTTACAACCCCCGGACAGACCAGTGGGGCTTACTGTCAACCTTCATGACGATAGGCCGCAGTTATGCGGGAGTCGCTGTGATTGATAGGCCTAATACCTAAGGCAGTATGAGACTCCGAGTGTTTTAGATTTAAAATGTTTGTTTTAATTCATTCCCGGGAAAGTTGCGCTAGCTGAGTGAGTCCTGTCGTGAACAAGGATGAGGTTGTTGTTCTTTGCGTTCCTGGATGTAGGGTGGTGCATATTTCGGAGAGCCATTGGTTAAGGGCCGTTTGTTAGTTTCGAAGAAAAAAAGAGATTTTATCGTATGATATTTAATAAGAAAGAACAAGAAAGTGAGCTAGGACGAGATCATGCACACTTTTGGCCGTTGTGTTTGGCAATTTTATAAATTTTATTTAACTGAGCTGTCTTACTGAATACTGTAATGTAAAATACTAAAGAAAAAATAGGGCGTAATCATGCATACTTTTGGCCGTTGTGTTTGGCAATTTTATAAATTTTATTTAACTGAACTGTCTCACTGAATACTGTAATGTAAAATACTAAAGAAAAAATAAAACGATAATATTTCGCAAAGGCGTAGTTACATAAGGGGTAAGAGGGTAAGCTTTATTTTACCAGGGTGGCCCAATCAGCCTTAAGGCTGGTATCCAGAGGGGCCCTGGATTAAAAAGTGCAATAATTAAAAAATACAATAAATAATAATTTAAAATACGGGATGTGATAATTTTAAAATACAAAAATTTAAAAATCGTGAACATTTATAAAAAATCTAAAGGGGGAAAGGGACTCCGCGTTCTGAATGTAACGAGGCAACAAATTAAAAAGGGCTGAGCCCGAATATCTAAAAGTAAATTTCCCAAGGCTTAGCTTCGGTTGGGCAGGTGCAAATCGGTTCTTCTGCGAGTGTCATGGCCATATACATTGTAGTTTCTAATAAAATAGTTATATCAGTAATGAAGTACTAGCTTACTTAAGCATTTATAAACTAAAACACATTTGTGTCTTTTTCGTTTCATTTCTTACTCAGCCCACCCTAGAACACTTAAAGTGTCTTTAGAGGAGTCACGCCTTAAATCGATGTGGGAAGCACGATTTTGTAACTGTTGAAGGGTTTTACTTAAGGTGACTAACAGTTCACCCCATGTAGTGTCGGTATAACACAGGATTGGCTCAATAAGGGTATTATAGACACACCTCGCTGCGTTCAGAGTAAGGCAAGACCTTATCCGTGCTAAAAGTCCCAAACGCTTATTGACTTCATTCCAAATAGAGCCGGTATGCTATTTCCAGTGAAGCCGTTCATTGAACATAACCCCAAGAGAATTGAACTTCGTCACCCTCTCTCTGTCCTTGCCTTGGATCTGCAGCACAAAGTCTGATGTAGTTTGCAACAGTTGCCTTGTTCCAAAGAGTAGGCCTCTCGTTTTGCTTTTAATGATTTAATATTAGTCTGCTACTTATCGACCACTGCTCGACTCATTTGAGGTCTTGTAGATTTTCTCTGATGATGTTAATATCGGGCCCAGTTTGATAGATCACTGTGTTATCGGCATACATACTTATCGCCGAGTGCAGCAAACATTGAGATAGGTCATTTATGTATATCACAATTAGCAATGGTCCCAGTAAGGAACCTCGAGGAACGCCGAAGTGCGAGTTTTAAGTTGATTATCAGCTGTGTGACATGAGTGTCTTTAAATTGAATTGTTTTCACGTGATCATCCGCTTTTGAGTAGGTTTCCTTTCGACTTCTCTAGCAATGGAATTGTTTTTGGAAAGTAGAACTTTTTAAGAGAGCGCATGAAATATGTATGAAAGGATTTCAAATTAAACCAACCGAAATCTGATATTGATGAAATTTTAAGTAAGTTCGTCATGTATTATTCACTCGCATACAAAGTTTACTGGACAGAAAATTGTCCTCTTATTCAGTCAACCAGACCGTTTTATTCTCCATATCCACATGTACCCTACGTTTGATAATCCAATGATTTGTGTACCCTCGAGCCTTCCGTGTCAGAACGGGATATCTCGATTACAACGTAAACTTTAAACTTAATTTCACCAGCAGTCTCCACGATAGAATTAAATTAAAAAAGGTAAAGTGGTTGTTAGATGCTCTCCTGACTTCAAAATGATAACTAATTACATATGCCAATAAAATGTACGAATGGCTCCAAATTGGTAGCTATAAGGAGACACTATAGAGTCCAACTGAGGAAATAATCCGTATAAGAGGTGGTTGTACTGTCAAGCTTTAAAACTTGAGTTTCTTTTTTTCTATATTAAAAAATAAAACAACACCAACAAAACACTATGTTAGCGAAGAGAGTAGTATGTTGCTCGCACCAATCAGATCGCCGCATTTTGGTATGTATCTCGCACAAGTCTGATTGCCACATAAGGGATTCATCATGTAAACTACGGTGTTATACAAGGACTTCCAGCCCTGAGAGAAACCGTAACAACACACCTGAAAAAATATCGTATTTTTTCACGTGTGTTTGATATCGCCAATCAGCTGCTGACACGTCACTCGCCTTTGGCGCCACTCGGGCAGGTTGATGAATGAACGGCAAAACTTTCATGATTCACAGCGCAAGTCAGTTTGTCGGAACTTTCTCACTCGTGAGCTATCGAGTTAAACACTCGAATAGAAATTCCATATCTACGCGCGCCCATGTATTCTTCTCTATGTATCTTGCGCCAATCATATCACAGCTTTCTTGTAAATGATGTCATGGAAGCAAGTGGCTGTGCACAAAGAATGACATAAACCATAAATTTTGGGCTAATTTTGGTAAGTGTAATGGTTTGTGGCCTTAACGAGAGCCTCGTCGATTAAGGTCGAGATTTATCGGGAAATGTAAGGTTCACATTTAACCGTATTGTCTCATTTTTTAAGTTAAAACGTGTTTTTCCCCGCTCCTTTACTCACAACTAACACGCCAAACAACTTACATTCCATCACGCACCGATGCATTTTATTTTTGCCAAGAAGTATTTAGACAATAGACCACAAAATAACTGTGGAATTCAAATAAATTGGTTTTTTTCCTTCTCTTAAAGTGAAGTAATGCGATATTTTGGTCCGTTTGAAAGCTACAGTCTCCCGTCTCAACCCGCTTAGGCAAAAACAATATGAAGAATGCGTACACCACTTTAAGAGAACAGATTCAAAACTATAAACTTGACCCGTCAATATCAGCATACACGCCTTCGATATTCTCAACCTTTGATAAAATTACTGATGTAATCATGAGGGATAATGTTATCCTAACTAAAGTCGATTTTAACTTACGAAAATATTTAGCCAGCAAACGTCATGCTGCTCGTAAATTTAACATCCCCATCCCCCACGCAATAACTTTTCGCGACCTATGTTTGCAGTTTTAATGATACCCATCACTGAAGGGGAATATGGGGATACCCAATTCATTTAGTAGATTTAATACCAAAAGAAGATATATTTACGCATAATCCGACAAAAAATTTTAGCAGGTAGGAAGGCTGGAGGGAGAGGAAAGTGACTCACAGAGTTAAATTCTCAAGCTGATAGACGTAATCCTGATCACGTTGTACCAATAGATTAGAAAATCAAAGTCAGTTGAAGTAAGCTTAAAGAGAGAAGAGAAGAACAAAATGGTATACCATTACACATTTACAATAGCACCATGACCCTTTTTAACTGTGCTCTCTAAGGGAAATGAATTTATTATTAAATAGATAAGAAACTCCTTTACAGAAACAATTGTAATAATTTCCTGAAAGAATAAACTATTTAAAGTTTAAATTTGGTGGTAGAGGATCTATCAAGTTGCTCTCTCGGTTAATTGTACCTCCCATTCAGGAGCATGTGTTTGAATAAGTTCTTGATTCTTGGAATGTAATTGTTCAACTGTTTTGTCTTTCTCAGTAACTAGTCTTTACATTTCTTCAAACAACGTTTTGATTTCCATGTCTAAATTGTCGTGTTTCCTTTTCCAGTCCTCAATTTCACCCCTTAGGAAGGAAATTTCCTTTTCAACAACAGATATTGTCTGCCCTTCAAAGATATGAAATTTATTTGACGTACTTTTCAGGGCTTCTCTTTTTCTGCCCTTTGGTGTCTTTGTGTATTCACCTTTGACATCTCCAGCTAGTTTGCGAAGAGATTGATGGATCTTTTTCCTGACTGCTGGGTCACATTACAACGAAAAAGTTTTTAGTGAGCTTAAAGTTCCCAGTAGATAAGCTATCTAGTCGTGGCTGGCCTCTCGTTCTTTACGCTGTTTATTCACAGGCAGAAAGACGTCGACAAATTCTTCTAACTTTCGAGATAACAATCAAGTTACGGCACATAAGCTTGTTTTTATTAAAAATACTCCAGAAATCAAACTGTAGGGCGAAATAATCTTAAAAGTGTTCTTTCATATGTGCCTAGGACAATTCTTACTGTTTACACCGAAAAAAAAACAGCAAGCACTGCTCCAGTGATCTTTTCACAAAACTAGTCAACTTAAATCCGAAGGGAAAAACAATGGCGGGTAAACAAATCAGGCGCGGCTACTTAGTTTGAGACGAGTTTACCGCTTCCTGTACAGCGTTGCAGTCACAATAGTTGCACATTCTATTTAATTGTACCTCCCATTAGCTCATCAAAGCTGGAAGCGATGATTGCGTTCTTCAAAGAGAACTTTGCCGAAAATGAATTTCTATTATGTTCAAGGTAAACTAATTAATTTCAAATTTATAAGATATTTTGTCATCTGATATCCGGTACCTGCCTCTAAATATTCCATGGTATGATAAACTTAAAAAAACAAAACAAAACAAATGGTGTAAAATTTATGTAATTAAAACTGTCAGTTTGCCAGGATTTTTTTTAAACCAAAACATTGTCTTCTTGAACGTGACCAATCTTTCTTTATTTCAATTAATGACGTGTTTCAGCCTTTAAAAACAGTGAAAAAAAAAATAGACTTATCCCCCGGCTTGGGACTCAAAAATCGTTTCTAGAACAGTGCTAGGTTTAGTATTGAGCTTAATTTACCTACTTTATGTACACGAACAGTGGGTTTGTTTGTGTTGAGTACGAAGACAAGTTAAGCCAATTGTTTTTTGAATATCAGAAAGTATACTCACGAAAAATTAAATCAAAACTTAAAACCTTTGAGACCAATAAAGGGAGAAAATTTTCGGGTTTACGGAAAAACAACTCAACAAATAAGTGCTGTCTGATTCAACATGCATTTGTGATCAGCTGAGATTTATTCAAAACTCAAACTCAATGCAAAGTCTTGGATAAATATACAAAAAAAAAAGGTCACTGAATGTCATTTTAAGACTGAATGTTGACATATTGTCTTTTGGGTTAAAATAATTTTCCATGTAACTCGCAAATTTTTTCCACACGTCGACATTCCCTCCCCCCCTTCGAACAATGCGTCGTTACCCTCTTCCAAATTGCTTACATTAGGAATGCAGTAGATTTAAAACAGTAAGAAAATGTTTGACTGTTTTCGTCGCCAATCCGGCAAACTTTCACTTAATCAAGGACATCATCTTTGAGTAAGTTTGAATATAAAAGAGGCCTTACTACTAATAACATTTCGCAAGATCTTCGTCTGTTCACGAAGATCAACTGGAAATTTCCATTCCAATTCGTTGCAACTGTGACCTCTGCAACGACAACTGCAACCTCTCACCCTACAGGGGAGAGGATTTGTTAATAAGTACATTATCATAATCGTTTTTCCAATTTCCAATTTCAACAAAGTTTACTCAAACCCATACTCAGTGACCGAAATTTGACCCCATCATGACATTCTTTCTCTCTTTCTCTCTCTCCCTCTTAAATGTTTCAGTGTACTTTAGAAACAATAAGACTGTAAACAAAACTTCGAGATTTTTCTCGTTTTCTTTAATTATGCATGGACATTTGTTTTGGGGGGGAAACACTTTTCGTTTCGTCGAGTTCTGAAGAAAGAAGTCAGAATGGCAGAATTTGGCAAAAAGATTTTTCCTTGCTTTAATTATGTCGTTTTCGTACTCAACGGGGACCTCTGCGAAGGTATGAGTTGTTACCTCAGGTAAGCAGTTCTGTGTAACACGAGTCGCGGCTTAGCAGGTTTTATTTAGTTTAGGATAAAAGAGACAGAATTGACCAAAGACATAAGTAAGGGTGAGATCAAGCTATAATGACCTGAGGTAAAAAGTTTCAATGTTGATTAGATGGTACGACAGCAAAGAAGTAAGAAATTTTCATTTCTTTGCAGGTTAAAATAATTAAGTCGAACTGATATGAAAGGAATCGCATTTTCGTTTTAGTTTCAACAAGCGGCGCCAGCGACTGGCAGGCATGCAAGGATTCACACTGAAATAACAGAACAACCTTCGTTTTTCATAAAATTGTAATTTACAATCCTTGAACTTGAAAACAATCCGAAGATTCATCGAAAATATCACTGACTGCGAAGCGCTCGGAGTTTACAAATGTTCAAAAGCTTTTTCTGTTATGGCGTGAGATTGAGGACAAAATCGATCATTACGTTTCGTATCGTGTGTTTTTCCTGTGTGAAGCAACAAAAGATGCCGGCGACTGACGAAATTACGTGTTATCACGAAAATCAAATAACACCTAAACAAGCAATTTTAGCTACCGATTTTCAGTGAATTTTTAAAGAACAATTTTCTTTTAAGTTTCAAGACAGTTTGAAGATTCAAAATAAATATTATGTACTAAAATGCGAAAGTTATACACCACAAAATTAATAAATAGGCCTGAAATGAAATTCTATCTTGTTCTTGATTACACGTTGCCTAGCACGTGACTAAAATATACCCAGGCGGAGATCCAAAATGACGGTGGCAGTCTTGGCTTAGTTATATCACTCAAAACTCGTTCCCGTTTGTCTCATTTGATAAAGAGGGAATCGTTAATGTTTTCATTAAGACAGTATTGCCTTGGTTTTCTAATATTTACAATGATATACAGTAAATTTCACTTTTCACCCACATTTACTTCCAACCTTTTCTTTTGAACCAGAAACAAAAATGGTATACGTTTAAAACACATGACATCATCTACCCTTGTCAAATGTAATAGCATGATCATTTCAATTGTAATGCCTTCTTATCCCAACGTTACTTTGTTTCTTTGCTGCGAACACTGAACTACTGCTCGTACTCTAGATATGACAATCAACCACAAAATTCTCTAAACCAGATAACATTAAACATAATCCAAAAAATCATGAGTCAATACACGAGTTTGCTCACAGAGCACTTTGATTCATTAACAAACACATATCATGGATTTTTGAAATTGAAATATTTCGGGAATATAAAACATTAAGAAAAGCTGTACTTTCGCATTTAATTGAATTGAGATAGTCACATTTATATTATTAACATAATCCTTCGCAAAATGAGTCACGCGAGCGTTTCTTTGTCTTATCATTGACAGACGCATTTGAAATTGAAATATTTCAGGAAGATGAAACATTAAGAAAAGCTTTACATTGAGCGTGGAAAAAACCGTTCGTCAAAGAAACTACTACAATGCTGTAATATAACATTCACGAAAAAAGTCGTTGTTCATTTTGGCTTAAGTTTATCGTACATTTGATCATTTTTGAAACTCAAACGCCACTTCTATGATTAAACCTCCTACATTGTAAAGTTCAAATTCTGGGGGAGCTCTCTAGATTGCACTTGTTCTCAAAAACCTGCAAATTTTGATTTACCAAAATATCTATAGATTTCTACCTCCTTTGGATAAAAAGTCTTTAAAAACGGTACAAATTCATCGTAAATTTGCTTTATACGCCAATTGGGGTAATAAATCACATGTATCGATTAAATAAATTAAGGAATGAAAATATCATTTGTTCCATGAGAAAATTTTTTTTCCGTTGACTTTTCAGGGAGGGGGGAAAGTGCGATCGTCTCTTCCCCAGGCTTGTAATTCATGTTTGATGCGTGCTTTTTCTTTTTTATTATTGCCGAGCAAACTATAACGGAATAGAGTGTAAGGAAGATGGTTAAGGGTCGTCGAAAAAGCTCGCTTTCTAAGGGAACCGAGTTTTTGTGTGAAAAAGTAAAGTTTCATGGGGTCAGTCTCCCTCGAGCCATTCGAAATTTGGTAAGTTCACCTCTTTAGAAAATAGAAAGGTAAACAAGCCATACGAGATTTTTCGCGAATCCAAAACAATGGGAAGACTGTACTTTCTTATTGAAGATTCTTCAATTTTCCCTGTAGAGAAAATGTTTTTCTTTTAAACGTACACGGCTAATTTAAAGGAATAAAATTCCTTCCTTCTCGTCAAAAACATTTTTTAGTTTCATCTGTCACCTCACCTGGATCACTTATTACTGCCGAATGTTTTTCTTTACTTGGACTTTAAAAAAATAAAATTCCCTTTAGAAATAGGACCGTTAACCCTCTCACTGATCTGAAAGTAAATTACTTTAACTGATAACCGCATAGATCTTTTTTGATGACAAAGATTGTGATCAAAGCATTATCGATTGATGATTTTTTTCTTCAATTTTTATTCGATCCACAGCCAGGTAGAGAGGTTAAGAGAAGTTATCAAACTGAATAAATAATTGATCTTGAGACCGAAAGGAAAACAGCTAGGGGAGGGGAGGGAGAGTAATGGTTGATCTGGTTTGTGCGTGCGTTTTGTAGAGTTGAGACTGTTTGAAAATTTTTCCTGTCTCATTAAAATTTTGGCGATAACCCAGCAACAAAACGCCTTTTTCCACAAGCAGAGAATTGCTAAAAAAGAGATTTGATTTTCTTTTTATGCCCCCCTGCGCAACCCTCCACCCTCGACGAAAACCTTTTTGGTGTGTTTTGTATGAAACAATAGGAACGCAAACATCATCTGCGAGATTTTTCGCGTTTTTGAAACAAAGGAACTGTTCCATTCATAATGATGTTGTTGGCTAAGACCGATGTCATTCTCCCAAGCTATCGTGAGAAAGTGGACTTCAAACAGACCAGAATGGCTCTTTCTTTCGCAAAGATTTTTGTGCTTGCTCTGGCGATTTCTTTCTCATATTGTGAAAAAAGTTCAACAAAGGTATGCATTACTTCGTAGTATGTAGAGCCGCTTAACCAATTATTCTGGTAATTTTTCCATTGTTCAATTCAAATTGGAAACCTTTATAAAAAGTGGAAAACGAGGAGTGGACGTTTAGTCCTTAAATCATCTTGCAGATCTTTCACTTTGTAAAATGAAACTTGGAAAATTTTTATTTGACTAACCTTTTTTATGTTCCCGATCACTTCATTTTAGATTTTTTTGACGTAACCGTTGAAATATTATTCGATTCGATCCACAAAGAGAATTTGAACAACTTATTCGATGTCTTATGAAAAGCGTTGTCGCCCAAAATAGCCGCAAAAAAACCTGTATGCCTCCAGAAAGTTCATCAAAATGAAGAATGCGTTATTTAGACGAGGATTGCTTTTTCCCTTCAATTCTCGGTTTAGTTACTTTTTCATGTTTTGTATTCCGTATTTGAATGATTCGTAATTTTGGCTTACAAGTAACATGCGGTGACGAATGAACTCAGAATGGCAATCCAAAATTGTTTCCTCCAACTAATGACGCACGCAAAAATATGTACACGTGGACATTAGAACCGAGCGGGGGAGGTGTGACAATGAACAAATTGGCAGTAAGGCTCAATCCAGCGGGCTCGGGGGGTTGAGGAAGTAACGTAGTATTTCTCGTCTTGATGTGATACATATAACGTGACAAGAGTATGATGTGAGAGTGAGACATATAACGTGACAAGAGTATATGAGATGCAATGTGGTGTGACATGCCGTGACAGGATACTCTGCGACAATAATCAGAGGTTGATAATTTCGCATCGACCAATTCTTCGTCTTGAAACCAAAACGGTATGAAAGAATTGTTTCACAATGCTTCGCATGAACAAGGCGTGAGTCTTTTTCATGTTCAACTTTTGTTATTAGTTATTTCTCTCCTTTGTCTTTATGGTGAACTTTCCTTACATAATCTTTGATTCATTCATTTCGAAATCTTCCATTTCATCAAACCATCATTTAATTAACCATTAACCTAAATAAGAAACGTGACCAAAATTTTATTTTCTTCTGCGAACTTTACACTCATTGGATCAAATTTCACTCAGAATTAAAGTTGCAACTGTGTCGCTTCTTTTAACTATTGGCAAATCTTTTCATTTTACCAAGATCATTAAAAATCATAAACACTGGGCAAACTTGTTGGTTTACTTTCGAATAGTTTGCTTGTTTCTATTTTTGATTGATGATTGTTTACTCTGTACTGTGGTAGAAGCATAGGAACTGGGCTACGAGCACTTTTTTCAATATTTTTGACTCCTTAAAATTAAGTAATAAATTGGATTTTGAAAAATGAGCCCATTTATTGAATTTTGAGAAACTAACTTACTTATTGAATTTTGAAAAGTAAGTTTGGCAAGAAAAAATATATTCATAGATCATTTCATGAAATGTTTTCATTAAAAATTTTGCCATCGTTTCTTTTCATAAAAACTTTTCATTAAATGTTTTTCCTTTTAGTTTTCTGTTCATTTCTGTGATCATAGAAGTTTATTCTCTAAAGATTATATATAAATTATGAATCAGCAACAATTCTTTCAAAAGACTGTGCTCTGTAACAATAAAATATGATTGAAAAGTCATTGGAATTCATAATGTTCATTTGCATAACTTCTGATTTCATCTAATATAAAACATTTTATCTTCAAACCATGGTAATCTATTTCATAGCTGTTCTCATTTTGAAATATTTGGTTTTTTTTAGATCATAATTACCTTTTATCCTATTTAACTTCACTCATTAATTTTTTTTTCACGTTTCCTGTTATGTTGCTATAACTATTATTGTTAGTATCATTGTTTTTGTTAAATATCTATGTCGAGATATTTTAATATTCCCATTCTATATAAATATGTTATGTAACCTATATATATATTCATAAAAAATCTTTTTAACATTTTCCTCTTTATTCAAAAATAGAAATTCACAAAGTTTCAAAACATCGAATAAAAATGAATCAATCAGATCTTTAGCACCTAGAATCAAATGGTTTTTAAAACCATCGAAGGAAAAAAAAAAGAAAAAAAGAATGAAGATATTGTTAATTATAATTTGTACGGCAATATGGAGCCTTTATCATCAAAACCCAATTTCAAAACTGGTGATCTGAAAGTGCTGGTTTGTTTTAGGGGTGACATTTGTATTCTTTCTCCAACTTATGGCGTCCCCGAGTAGACTGGACAGCAGAGCCCTTCACAGTTTCGTATTTCTCGACATTTAACAGCTAATTAGCTGGCTAATATAAATCGAAACCTTCAGACTTGTCTTCATTTTAATGACTAAAATCTACGTCTTTCACCTCGCAGGTATATTCTACGGATGAAAAACACGAACAAGGAAAGCTGTCTCTCCAGAAGAGAAGTGTTTATTCAAACCCTTTGATGGGTAAGAAGCAAGCAAGGATAAAACAGATTTAGGTCACTCGACATAAATTACACGCGCAATTGTCTAACCTCACCCTTTTCGTGGGTTTAGAATCTTCAGATTAGTTTCTCATGGCTCTTTGCCAAGACATCTTGCTAGAATGCATTGTTCATTTGAGATACAGAGCATAAGAGCATTGCTTAGCCAAAAAATTTTGAAGCAACTTACTTTTTATGCTGATTAAGTCGCTAAAATGCACAAAAGCGTGCAGGTGCACATGTAGTGTTGTATATCATTTCTCTGTTAAAAGCAAAGCAATCCTTTTCATTTACATTGTTTATTGTCTTTCTCTGGTTCTTTGCTTTTTGTTTTTGTTTTCAGTTTACCGCTGTTCTCTTCCTCTTGGTTTGGAAAACGGTCATGTACCAGACGCCGCATTTTCTGCTTCTTCAAGTGCAAACAGCAAACATGGTCCAGCACGTTCCAGATTGAACATACAGTCAAACAGTAAAGGGTACGGAGCCTGGTCAGCGGGTGCTAATAATGGCAAACAGTGGCTTCAGATAGACTTCGGGGAACTGGTGCGAGTGACCAAGGTGGCAACGCAGGGGCGTCAAGACTCAGGCCAGTGGGTAACGAAGTACACTCTGTCCTATGGTGTAGATGGGATGCACTGGGCCGAGTATAAAGAAAAGAGTGTCACATGGGTAAGTTAAAATCTCGTTAAAAATAGTTCACGTAGATTTACCGGTTGATACGACAGAAGTTTTGGCTGCTTTTTCTCATGGTTGAGCAGCCCAAAGAACTGCCAGGGTTTTGCTTTAAAAAAAATTTAAAAAAGGATGGGTTCTAAGTAGTTTTAGTTAAACGTTGTTACGAGTGCATCTAGCCTTTACTTTGATCCACTGATCAAATTTATCGCACATTATACAGACGCTTTGTGATTCTAGTTGCATCCTCTCCAAGCTAGAAATTTTCGTCGAAATGTAAAATCTGTCAATCGATAAAATAACTCCTGTACCAATATGAAACGTGATTAAAGTATGGGTCAATGAATCAAAATAATTAGAGTTTGACCGTCTGAAACTGTTTACATTTTACAGACATAAGATACAGAGTATACCCACAGCCAAAGTAATAGAAATGATTTTTTTCTCATACTTTATTTCCGCGAAAGGGCTGAGTGAAAGTTTGAGAATCTTTTGGATTTCCCAGGTATTTCTAGCTAACAAGGACAGAAATACAGTTGTGGAGCATCTTCTTCTCTCGCCATTTGATGCTCGCCTTATCCGATTTCACCCAAAGGCCTACCGTGGATACACATCTATGCGAGCAGAGGTTTATGGCTGTAGGAAGGGTGGGTGTTGAAAATTTTTAAAACTTGTGGGTTCTCGTTTCAGACGTTTTAGTTGGCCTAAAAAAACTACAGATGTACTCCTTATTGTCTTGTTGTTACAAATTGAGTTACGAGAGAGTATTAAAACCAGCAACAAGTCTTATGATTCATGGCATCCTTGCAACGTTTTGCGACATGTCGCGGGGACAAAATATCCCCCAAATTGGTGTTGCACAATTATAAAAGTATCAGTTCACACGAAGGGACATGCCGCTACAACACATTACTGGGACACGTACACGCATCATTTTTATGTGTGTGAAATGTTGTGAGTTTGTCACTGCTACATGTTCCCGCTACACGTCCCTGCAACATGTTGCCTGAGCGTGTACTACACAAGTTTTGTCGCTGCAAGATGTTCCTGCAACTTGACCCCTTGTGTTTTCCCACCTTAAGACTTCATTCGCAAACTTTCGATCTCGTCCCCTAACGAAGAGTAGCAATATGGCGGTCCAAACGTCACGATCAATACACGATTTATTAGCCTGACATTTGCATCGTGAGACAAACGATAAAAAGTTCGTTGAAGTTTAAGATGATTTAAGATTAAATGTTAATGCTGCAGGAGTCGGTTTGATTTAGTTCCGCTTCCCTTTTTATCCAATGTTATATCAGGAGCGTTTCGGTGAGTTGGTTTTAGAAACTTGCATTTACATTTTTTTAATTTTTATAAAATTTTAGACTATGTATTTTACCCAGTCGTTCAACATTGGAATAATACTAATAATAATTATAGTATTAATGAATATGATACAACTTTATTTGAAGGGGTGGTAGTATTTCAACTGAGGATCAAGTGGCCCTTTCAAATAGTTATTACTTATTCATTACTGATGTTTTATTGTATTTTTATAACAGGCAAGCAACAAACGCCTTATTTATTAATATTCTTAGTTCACAGCTGCTCCGTACCACTGGGTGTGGAGGATGAACGGATTCCTGACAGTGCATTTACTGCGTCAGGTAGCTATGACAATCGTCACAGGCCCTCACTTGCGAGACTGAACCTCTTATCGGATGGCAAGCACGTGGGAGCCTGGTGCCCCAAGCTAAAGAGCCGCAACCAATGGCTTCAAATAGACTTGGGAGAAATTACCGCAGTGACCAAAGTGGCAACTCAAGGCCGATATAACAGTGAAGACAGAACTAGAACATACACTCTTTCATACAGTGTGGACGGACTACATTGGACGAGTTACAAACAACGTGCTGTGGAGAAAGTAAGCTCGACTGACTTAGCAAGAGATGGAACGCCTCTAATTATTACTATTATTGAAATACGAGGGCTTTGCGAATCAATATTAACTTTATTTGTGTTAATTGAAGTGCGAGACATTCACCAACCAAATCAGTGATGAGGAAAGAGCAATAATTTGTGGAACGTCATTGCAACCAATGTAGCCGAAAACGACATTACAGGGCTATGAGTTGTTTAATGCAGTCGAAAACGGCTAATAAGTCAATTGTGTACTTACCATAAACATGACATATTTTTTAACTCGAGTGAGTTCAATGTTATTTTCTTGTTACCTCAGGTGTTCGCAGGAAATACGGACAGAAACACTGCCATCATACACTCCCTAAAACCTCACATCGAGGCTCGCTGCATCCGGTTTCATCCAAGGGCACACAATCATAACGTACCTTGCCTAAGAGTTGAGTTGTATGGGTGTCGTAAAGGTGAGTTCAGTGGATATGCCAAAACAACACATTTGATTAAATTGGTCATATTCCGGCTACAATTCGATTCGTCTTGGTCTAAAGAGTCATCTACTTTGTCAACTGCTGACACTTTTCAAATAAGGGCTTCTCGACACCTGAGTTTTAAGGAATGTTGTGTGTGGCTTAGTGATCGACTTAAATGGAAGCAAAGCAATGAAACTTTAATGAATTTGGCTTAACGCAAAACTTCGTCGCCTAATGATCACCTTGTTCCGATCAGCTTGGTCAGCTTTGGTCAGCTACGCGTGCAAAGTGCACATACCAAGGCTTGAGTGGATTGAGCTACCAAAGGATCTATTGCGACTTCTGGAAATTACTTCTCTCCGTTCCTGCGGCAAATCAGTTTATTGCATAACTATTTCTTTAGTTTTTGTTAACTTTCTTCAAATGGTTTAGTACACTTGCTTCTTATAGTGTTATTCGCTTTTCACAGTTAAGAACTGTTTTATGGCTGTGGGAGTGGAAGACGGAAGAATTCCTGATGAAGCATTTACAGCTTCATCTTCAGCCAGTGGTAGATACCTTCCAAACAGAGGTAGACTTAACTTACCACCAAGTGGAGGGAAGTATTGTTGGGCAGCTGGACAGAATAATGCTAATCAGTGGCTACAGGTATGTGAAAAGTCATGATACTCTACAAAAATTTTCATGAATTGATAGATATAAAATAAATAACATGAACTGTGGAAGTTAAATGATGAGGTACTGAAATCATACAGACGATGAAAGTTGAGCTTGAGCTTGGTTTTCAACCCGAGTCTGAGCTGAAAAGCAGTTGACTTTGGTAGCTGATCAACGTAGGCTCACTGAGCCTACGTTGATCAGCGATGGAGATGAAATAAAATTTCATGTAAAAGAACGTCACCATGTTAATAACATAAATAGGAGAAGCAACATACGAAGTTTCTTTCTCCTAATTCTCACATTGAGCTGTCACTGGTTTTTCTTTTTCGCTTGCATCATTTCTCTCCATCCACATTAGAAAAGGTTTCTAGTAATTACAGGTATTATAGAGGGTAATTAAAAAACGCACAAGACAAAAAGAAGAAAATACAATACAAAATAAAGTAGGATTAAGAAGTGCAATTAATGAAGCTCATAGGTTTATTATGAATAATAATCGCACAAAGCAAAAAAACAACAACAACAACAATAACAACACATATGGACACACACAACGCACGCATATAATTTATGATGAATAAAATCAAGTAAGATGGTTAATACTGAGCAAAATAATATTTATACAGTGCGTTTTCAAAAAATTTTGGAAGAAAGTTTAAGAATGTGAAGAGGGAAGTCGTTCCAATAGAATTTCCCAGTGGGGCTAAACTTCCTTATGTCCGCTCTAAAGAAAGTGAACAGTCCATAATTTCTTAGAAATCAGAGTTCTCTCTCGTGATTTCCTTTATAATAACATACATGCAAAAAATTCAGCATGCTCATTGGCTGAGAACACGTCAATTAATTCCAAACTGTGCAGAAAGTTGTAATTAAATTAATTGACAGTTAAGTTGCTTCTGCCGACCGATATATACCTGACAGAGAAAGAATACAAACGCTCAGTTATTCTCGAAATGCAGGGAATAAATTTATCAAAGACTCTAAATTGCACTCGCAGTACGGGTTTGGGAAATTTGGTTAGCCTTTAAAAAATTTACTTGTGCTGATTTATCCTAAATTGCACTCGAAATCATGCAATTACATGTACAAATTGCTTTCAGAACGATATAGAGTTACACACATCAGTTACATAAGAGTTGAATTAAAAAAAAAACATACCAGCGTACCTGTACCATGCTTCGTGGTATTTTAACATGGGATTCGCATGGCGTAGACTTTAATACTACTCGATACACGATATCGGCTCAGATTTTCGGAGTCAGTGATAAAGAGGCGTTTTTGATGGAAATGCTTCTGCATCTTTTAGGTAAATCTTGGACGTCTGTTCAACGTACGAGGCGTGGCCACTCAGGGTCGACACGATTCCAATCAGTGGGTGACAAGCTTCTCATTGTCTTACACTGCAGATGACTTTATGTGGGTTTTTATCAAGGAAAACAGCCAAGTGAAGGTAATCAGAAAACTCAGATAATTAGGTCTTCTAATTTGGTCTTGTATCTCCTTTTTAATTTTACCCTAATATTCAATTAACCCTTCCACGTCAAGTTGTGTTAACATTGGCTTCCGTTGGACCCTCATATTTAGAAATTTAGATTATGTGCTTAATTATGTGTCACTGCTTGATTTTGTTCACACTTAGACTTTTTTGCTTAATTCTTACACTAAATTATTATTATCATTATTATCGTTATCATTATTGATATTTTTTTTGTACAATATATTTTCGTTAAAAAGTAAATCTTCAACATCACAACATCTCTTAAATAGCTCAAAATATAGCCACTCGTCAAGCTAAATTTGACGATGCATACAATTAAAACATGTATTGAACTCTTAAAAGATACCTGCTACATTGTATGTATTCTTAGCGGGAAGAAAAAGAAACCCAAAGATACACATCGGGAAAAATTGCCCGTCGGGAAGTAGACCAATGATACCTCGTAGTTAAAATCGACAGAGACTTCGTGGCAATAATGCAACTGCACGCCTCATGCTATGTGTGCACGGCCATGCGAGGTGTTTGTTTATTATTAAGCGGAAGGTCTACATAAGGAAAACCTTACCCGAGGTTACGATTATAGCCTGAGGACTTCAGAACTAAAGCACGATTTTAGCCCGACTTAGACCAGTAAATAATGTGTTCGTTTTTTTCCTGCAGTTAACTGGATTATAAACCAGTTTTGTTTTCATAATCGTGTCATGAACTTAGATCGAGTGCCGCCTGCTTGGAATGACTACGTTATCAAACTTATCACCTTTATTTGTAGACATTCCTGGCAAACAGCGACAGGACAACAGTTGTCAAACATGTCTTCAGCCCGCATATCAGAGTGTTTGCCAGAAGCGTTCGTTTCCATCCGAAAGGTTGGCAAAGCCACATCTCCATGCGAGTGGAGATTTATGGTTGCAAAGAAGGTAAGTAAGTGATTTTAGGCATCATTTTATTTCATTGACAAATCAATTTCCTGCCTCGAAAATGATCAGGTGCTAGAGAAAAGTTCCCTTTCTGAGTGTTGTGGTAGTTTTTATAAGCTGTTATGGCACGCAAGGGATAATTTGTTTGCGTTAAAATTAACGCAGAAAGATTTTCGATTTCATCGACTACCAACAAATCATGAATAAATTAACTAAAAAAATTGTTCACGATGCGACCTTTTCTCGTGTGGTAACAAAAGTGAGATCCAAAATAAGAGATGTTCGGACGGGGAAGCCCATGTTCATCTCCTGTCAGCTATTTTGCGACTTTTACAATCAGTTGTAAAGAAATAAATTAGACATAGATCTAGGAGAGAAATTAAAGTGAAATGAATCTGCGTGCGAGGATCACTTCTTCACTCGTTCTTTTTGTGACTTTGGTGGGTTAGAAGAGTAATTAGTAGGGCTTAACAACAGCCTAGAATTTCGCAGCATTATACTTAAATACTCTGATCATTACTGTATAAATCATTAAGTAATTTGAATAAACTTATTTTGTTCTTTTAAAGCCTGAAAAGGAAATTCGAAAACGGATCTTACCATAGTATGCATGACTACATAATGCAGAATTCTATAGATTTTTTTGCACTACTATGGAAGTTTGATCCGATGATATAGGGTCAATATGCCAAACAACTCCTGCAAGGTTTGAGCCCGGATTCAAATAAAGGAAAGATTAAGAAACTCTTATAATGCAAACGATAGCTTTGACATATTGGAGGTAGAGATCAAGTGTGGTGTATGCCTCTCCTAGATTTATATTGCTATTCAAATACTTGCCTAATTTTGCTGAGAGTATTGCCTTCAAGGTAAATCGTTTGAGTAAAAGAAAGCATGCATTTGTTTTAGCTTTCGCCGTTTGGATTAGCTCGACGATTTCATAAAATCATAAAATCCTGCATTTGATGTGTTGGAATGTTTTTAAAATACTGATTGATATGATTAAATAGATCGCAGTTGCTTCCTTCCTCTTGGTATGGAGAGTGGCCATCTTCTCGACAAAGCAATATCGGCATCGACGTATTATGACTCTAGACACATCCCGCAGTTCTCGAGACTTAATAAGATCCCCAGTTCAGGCAAGGCGGGGGCCTGGTGCACACGTACAAACAATGGTAACGAATGGCTGCAGGTCAACTTTGAGCGGGAGACATCTGTTACAAAAGTGGCTACTCAGGGGAGGTATGACGGCGATCACAGGTTGACGAGCTACAGTTTGTCGTATAGTGTGGACGGCTCTCACTAGGCGTGGTACAGACTTTCGGATGGAGATATCAAGGTAAGAGAAATTGGTTTAACGGACAAAGTTTATATGCAGTAATTGTAAGTCTATGAAAATTATCGAGGACTGTAATCCATTGTGAACATGGCAGCCTTAAAAACCAAATCCGTGTTTGCGCCGAGAGAAAGTTATAGAAAACCGAAAATAAGTAAAACGGTTTCTTTTGTTTGCCTGTTTGTTTGTAAGAAAGACGGGAACTGATATTTACTAGTTTATATGTTATCATACATGACAGGTGTTTGGTGGTAACATCGACCGCAACACTCCAGTTTATCATCCCCTTCATTTGCCGATTCAAGCCAAATATCTTCGATTCCACCCCAAGACATGGTATGGTCACATCTGTACCAGAGCAGAGGTCTATGGCTGCCAAGAAGGTAATTTTGACTGTAAAAAAATCATTAAGCTAAGACTTTTTTTACTGTAAAATGGAAGAAATCAGACTGATATCGAAATACGAAAGATCTATTGTATCGAGCAAAGATATGTTTTCAGACCTGTCTTTAAATCTTCCGTAGAACATATTAAATGATTTTCATTGACTTTTAAATATGTGTCTCACAACATGGATCTTCTCCATCTAATTTGCAATCAGCAGGTAACTTGTCAATAGCAGTAAATGAACTCAATTACTCCTTGCACCTGATTAACAGTTCTCCCTCCCACCAACTATACCTTTCCTCTTTCTGTGGAAAAAGTAAAAGCATTTCGTGTTCCATTAAAAGAACACCCTAAAGCTGAGTTTGTGTTTTTCCATCACCATCTAAAGCAATAGCGTCTTTATCGGATTTAACGCCGTCTTCGATAAAACGCCGCGTCGAGTAATAAGAATGCGGAGTTTACTCTAGGACTAAGAGTTAAATCAATGTACTTGATAATTTAAAACATAAGAAATGTGTGTCAAAAATCTGGGCATTGAAAACGGAAACTAGTTTCTGATGTGCAAAATATGTACAAAGGATTTATAGTTTTTGCTGACATATTGTTAAGAAAAAAAAACCGCTGCCATGAATAAATTCTTGTCTTGAATAGACCCAGCGTTGGGTAAGCTGAACATGTAACAACTACCTTAACAAGCATTTGAAATTAAGAAACGAAGCAACAGGGCAAACAGTCAATTCCTTTTTTTTTTTTTTTAAGGATCACATTGTTCCCTTTCTCTCGGACTCGAAGATGGCCGAGTTTCAGCCAGTGCTATGTCTGCCTCGACTATTTACAGCAGTTCCTGCGCTGCTAGTTTGGGCCGTTTGAATCTTGCGGCTGGTTCAGGTAAAGTGGGATCCTGGTGTGCTAAAAGGAATGACGTCAATCAATGGTTACAAATTGATCTTGGCAGTCCCACGACCGTCACTAAAGTAGCCACCCAAGGAAGGCAGGATGCATCTCAATGGGTAACGAGCTACTCACTATCTTACAGCTTGACCGGCTCTTACTGGGTTCAGTACACTGTGCGAGGGAAAAAGAAGGTAACTTCCTTTTTACTCAGTGACAGTGAATTGTTACATGTAGCTTTTTGGAATAACCACTGGTCTATTACAGATTTCCCAGGGCTTATACCTCACGTAAAGGTGGCTTTAGGTAATATATTGGTATCAGTGTTCCTGTGAGAAAGACACTTCTGGTATTCCGGTATCTTCGAGCTTGCAAGTTTTAAAATGTAGCAAAGAGGTTCTTCTTCAAATTCTTAATCATCATTTGTAGAGTAGGCTTTGTTTTCAGCCTTCTCCTCTCAAATCAATCAGAGTTCCTAGTAAAGACGAATGGTAATACTTTGAGAATAAATGAAAGAGTTCTCTTTCAGATAGATACTGCTCTCACGACTGGTATGAAAGCAACCGAAATTTTACCACTCAGAATGGTTACTATCTTCTTGACACGTGACTTGATGATGCATATTTTTTTCCTGTAATAAACACAATTATTGTAGGTTAGTTTTCAGTGGCCTCTTACATGAATATGGTACTTTGAATTGAAATTCTTAATTTTCTTCAGGTTTTTCGGGGAAATTTCGATCGTAATACCATTGTTATCCACCAGACCTTCCCACCAATCCATGCCCGGTTCGTCCGCATTCATCCTTTAACTTGGCAAAGCCACATCAGCATGCGTACTGAGTTGTACGGTTGTCCTATCAGGGTAAGGGGAACATAATTTACTTTGTTATTACTGTGATATATAAAGCAAAACAGACAAGAAATGCTTGTAGCGTTTTAATCTACCAAGATTTTGCCCTATATTAGATTTCTATGCAGGCTTGATGGGAGTCTGATGAGTGTAGACAGGCAAACAGCACCGAGAAAGAGCGGTAAAGAAAGTCTGCTTATTACCAAATTCATGTGTCGGTTGCAAACTTAATCAGTAGACCTAAGGTTTAAGCAACACATTTTCCAAGATACCTCGATTTCGCAGCGATATCCCGATGGGAAACGATATACCGCCCAGTGCGTACGAATGAAAAACAATAATAATGCTAGAACGTAACAATGATACTACTCGCGATTTTCGCAATAATCGTCGATTATCTATCGTTCGCATTATTTTTACATAATACCAAGGCATAATTCAAGAATGATACACCATTACAATTTCCAGAACTTTTCTTATGAGTTATGTTAGTTCAAGATATCATAAACATTAAATATATTAACAATGAAAATTCCTTTTTAAGGGCATCTAAGGGGAAGAAAGCTCAACGAGGAAAGTCGCCGAAAGAGTATCGACTCGGCCAGTAAAAACCCATGAAGGAGATGTAAAGGTTATTTTTGTCAGAGAATAAAGAGCTTTTCAAAACCAAGATCTATCCCCAGGGCATGTCTATATAGTCTATATCTCTATATAATCACTGTATCCTCAAATCGTTATTAATACGCGTCTTTTTATAATATGATGTGGCTACTGCCATAAAAGCAACTCTAATTCCGATTTCAAAATAAGTGATTTGTTTGGATCGTATCTTAACCTTTAAAATAAATCGCGCGCTTTTTTGAAGAAACTTATTGTCTTAAGAAACTCCACACATAAAAAATCTAAATGGAAGTGTATGGAAGGACACACATGCCTGAAGATGTGAAATATTTTATTCAATTGAAATGTGTTTTTCGAAACCACAAACTTAACAAACTCTAAAAACTTGGAAGAGAAGTGACAGATCATAATTGTTGACTATCCCTTGGGAGGGCGGAATTACGAGAGAGTTCCCTTGTCCTCTTTGTGCGAAAAATATGTACGCTACTCTCACTTTCATTCTACTTGGAAATTTCTCTCTGTACTATCGGTTTTAAGACCCTACCGACGTAGTCCTGATTGCAGGAGTCCGCAGTTTAATTGTTTATATCGCTGAAAAGGGGAGTGGAGGCACCAAATCTATTTGAAGGATGGAGGTGGGTGATTCAACGAACTGAATTTCTCTGATGAACAGTTGAACTTAATCTTCTGTTTACTTCCACTTCTCAACTTTAAGTAAATCGTGGTAGTGGGCTTAGCTTCATCTCGCTTTTAATGCCAGAAGACGTTGTCTCGAAATCTCAATCTGTGTAGGAAATTTGCGCTTCCTATACATTATACGTCCTATCATCGTCTTCAGTTATAGCCCGTCAAGTCCTTGTCAAGTAAACGGCTGTGAATATATGAAAGTCATATATTTGAACTGCGGATAAAGACGTGAATATGAAGTACTTTCCAATGATCGTTTAATGAATTTTCTCAGTTGTGTTGGTCTCGGATTTCTATGAAAAAAAAATTGGTTTAAGTCTCACGAATAGCAAGTCTCTGGTTCCATTGAATTAGGGAGCTATTTCACTTTCTCAAGGTTCTTATTTCACTTCATCGTCAAAACTTGTTTAAATCGTAAGGGGCTTTAGTTGAAAGGCAAATAAAGGTGGAATTCGTATTTTCATTGAACTCTTATGGCGCTAGTGTCAAGTCAACGATATGAACCAAACACAAGTCTCTGAATAAATGTTTTTTTTTATATATATATTTGCCGCTCCCTTATTCCATGAATTTACTTTCCTTTTTAACATACGTGTTCTGTTGCTGAGTCAGGTTCACGTCTTTTACTTATATTAGAGGAATATTTCGCGACTTGAGAGAGATTTCTTCTTGAGTCAGCCGTCAAGATCCATCCCATCGCAGTTCAAGCTTCTAGCTGCCTCACAAATACTCCGTGCTGTCACTTGAACCTACAGGAACAAACAGAAATAAGGCCGCTCTCTAAGTACAGTTATGTTTCACTTATTGAAAAAGTCAGTTATCTCTTAGTTCCTCAAAGTTCCGTCCATGAAACTAAATAAAAGCCACGATAACGTCTATAATAAGGTCAGCTTGAGAGAGCGAGAAGTTCATTTATGTTTTAAAGATGCTCTAGGGGTTGGTTTGCCTATTTTACGATATGGTCAACTATGACAGTGAACACAGTCATCCCCTTCCCTCCCCCTCCCCTCCCTAAAAAAAACCTTCAAATTTTGTGTGTAAAATTGATTTCTTTTCGTCCCCCGTCGTACCCATCCTCCAAATGTTACAGCTCGGGATGATCATTTCGGTGCCTTTAACATAATGGAGAGGATTTAAAAGTTTCCCACACTTCTAAAGACAAATCTGTATGGTATATTTCATAACATTCGTTCAGACTTTTATCCACTAAAATTTTTTGTTGACGGTGGAGTACTTACTTTTCTTTGGACCGCTCGTTTTCCTTTACCAGGTGGAAATATCCCTATTCCTTCACAATCCTGAATAAGAGCGGAAAAGAACAACAAAGCGGCGATGAGCATGAAAGCTTGGATCTTCATTTTAAAAATACTGCTGGGGATTGGGGAAGAGAGGTTGTGGTTCTGTAGTCTTTAGTCGCTACTCGGTCCAGAAGGAAATCTTCTAGTGATCTGCAAGGGACACGAGGGGCTTTAAAAGCGCTCCCAGCAAGTATCTCATCTTAACCAAAACAAGGAAAGGCCATTATCCTCTTAAGAACTTGAGAACTTAATTTTTGGCTCTCAAGTAACACAAGAGATGTGTTCCACACGCGTTTTACCATAACAATACAAACATATGCCTAAAAAAGCAAGTACGTGGCTGCCTGTTTTGTGACAGGCTCTAGACTTGTGAAAACCCAACCACATGTGTACTGAGTGTCGTGATAGATGTTGTCAAGTTACATTCGACAAACTTCGACAAAATATGTCAGCTGAATCTGAATGAAGGTAGTATTCATCAGTTCTATTTCTCAGTTTCTTAATTTTGTTTGGCCACCCTATGATAAAATTGAAATCATAGGAAAACTCTTAGTTTTGAAAGGAATTCTGGACTGACTTGCACCCCATTACCTTATGGAGAATTTTTCTTTGAATTTCGGAAATCGCGTGATACGTGGATCTAGTCATTTAATCTTTATCTTCTTTAACGGAGTATTAGCATAAATTGGTTGTTTTACTCGGCCGTTAAATTATAGAACAATCTTGATCTTTTCGTACTCAGTTTTAAATTGAAAGCAATAAAAAAGACTTCTTTTGGTGATTTTGTTTCATGGAAATTTTTATAGTACAGATTCAATATTGATGAGATTCTTAAATATTTACTTAACCTCTGGCGTTGGGGTATTTCTAGCATTATTACAGTGTGCTTTTATTCGATCCTATACTTGTCATGGTTACGAGGAAGACTACTGACTTTTTGACTGTAATCATGCGCTGTTTTAAAAAACATACGTGCATTGACCGTGCTGGCAAACTAAATGTTCAGAATGGGTGCTTATTGGCAATGAATACCGCTGCTCGTTGAATGTTCTTTTAATTTCCTTTGTAACATCAAGTGTGATGCACATAAAATCTTTTATGAACTAATTAGTTAGGTTTAAAGCGGATGAAGGTCAAGAGTTATTGTCTTTCGACCACGCAAACACAAGTGGCACACAAAAAAACTAGGCGACTGTTACGTGGACCCTAGAACGCCCTCATATAAAACCTTTTTGAAAATTATTTTCATTGTGGCAGTACTATACAGAGAAAAGCAACAACTTGCTCTTTTTTTTACAGACATCGGCTGTCAAAGAATCGGTTTTTAAGATGTTGAACCACCTTTCCCTCTAAGAACTTCTTCAAAAAATTATGTTTCTACCTCAACAGAATACAAATGTCGCTAAGAGTAATGTCATGTTCATATCTGGTATTTTGACAAATGTTTAAACTCTTTATACAAGTATGGTACACTCATCTAATGTATAACTCTTGAATCCACCGTTTCCAAAAGGATTTAAAAGTGTTCAAAGAAGAAACATGTTAATTGAAATTGGACTCATCATTAGCCTTGTTACTTTCTGATAATACAATCAATCGATCAGTCAATCAGTGTGTCTACAAGCTGTAAGCTCACTCAAACACAAAAGAGAACCACTTCAAGGATCAAATGAAATAACATGTGACACTTCAATACTAGCAATAAGAGCTTGGCTTTGCCTGAAGATAAAAATCTAAATGGTTCTCTTAACATTACAAGTAGCAAGATTAGATTCCTCTTTTTTATCAGCTTAACAAATGTGATTTCGTTTCTGCTGAGTATTAAGATCTATGAACAAAGTAAGCGAGTGCTTTAGAAATATTCATGGAAAGTTTGCAACTTTTCCCAGATGAAGCAATAAAATGGGAAACTAGTCCATGTGGTGTTGCTGCTAACAATTAATGTTAACTGTCGGGGGCGGTTAGAAAGCCGAGAGTGCTGAACAGTTTTCGTGTTCCATTTAAAAAAAAAAAAAAAACTAAATGACTGAGTGTAAATGGAACCCACGCAAGAATATTCAGAATCATTGTAATTGATCAGGTGATTGTTGAGCTACGTGACTGCCAGCTGGTCGATGGTTATGTCATATCTTCAAAATAATCACCCGAGCCTGGTTATTAGAATCACGAAAAACTAGTCTTAAAAATGATCACCGCGCGAATTCTAATGTTTCTGAAGAATGAAATCCAAGAATTTTGTTGCTCTGACACTGATTACTTGAGTAATCAGCTAACACATTTATTTTTCTCAAGCCTAACAAAAATTGTCAAAAAATTCTCTTTATTTCTTCCCGCGGAAAATTCAACAAGATCCACTCCTCCATATGAATATTTTTGAATTAAGGGCAGCTTTACTCACAAATTTGGCAAATTCCTTTCAAATGTTTAAAAACTAAGAAGTTTTCTTTGAGACAAGAAAAATTTGAATGAGATATATCCAAATTAATACTAAGAAAACTCCAAACATCAGATGAAGTGATTCGAGCAAGCCCATATTCCGAACACATTCGCGTCTTTCGTTCTGGGATTGTAGAGCTCATTGGATATGATCAATTCACATCTTCCCAGCCTAAGGAAAACATCCAATATGGTAAACTTTATGGTTAAAAGACCCATCTTTGTTTCCCATGATATATTATTTATTGTTATCTCAAGTGGCTCTTGTGTTCATTTCTGTCTTAAAGATCACTTCTCTCTCTTTTTTAATGGCACGTGTTGGCCAGCCTACGTTGTGCTATAATTCCTCTCCAACAAGAACAAAAGGATCTTCTGGAATACACAAAGCCATAAAGTAAATACTACAATTGTTTTGGATACATGTGATCGCTATATATGATCGCCACTGTTGATTACACTTGGCCTCCATATGTTACAATTATCTATTGGCGCTTTTACTAGCAAAATTACTGATCACCAAACACTACGATCGCCCGAGTCTTTGATTCAAATCAAGGCGAAATAGCTCCCTCCTTGCTTCAGCAAAAGGCTGGTAAAGTATGATAAAATGTGCAAAAACTAACTGAAGTTCGAAGGGTTTCTTACACTGACAAAAATCGATTTTGAGATTTGCACCATGCGTGTTACCTCGATATTTACAAAAAGTCTCCCTAGATAGTGGCATGAAAAGCTTGCAAAATTTAATTCCTTTTTTGAATTGTCTTCGTTCTGTAACTTTGATTCCAGCAGTTTTCGATTAAATCACGACTTCAATGCAAAGCGTTTTATTCTGACTGAGTCACCAATTGCAAAAAATTATCCACTCCCTGACGTTTTATTTTTCATTTATTTTCAATCTAATTTCATCTTCTTTCACTCGCATCAAATCATTACACGAAACTATTGAAACTAGTAATAATCGAATAATTTAATGCAATCGGTTTCTATTCTAACACTCACTAATAACTCTGTCGTTTTCTGTTTCCCGATGCTCAGTGAAATTTTTCCCCTCACTGGTGTTTCTGAAAGACAATGATAGTTTCGGGCATGATGCTCATTGTTGTCGCGAAATTTATTTGTTGTAGTGGAAAAATATGATACGTAATAACAATGGGTTTTTCCCCAATTAGCGTTTTTTTTTTTATTGGACGAGATTACGTGCGCGATAACAAATATCTTCTTACAAGTTTTGATGTAAAGTATTGCTGTGTTTTTCACACCTTGTTTGTATTTTTACTCGCCTTGCAGGCTCGTCAAACTACGATACAACTTGCAAAGATACTTAGCGACACTGCACAAGCATGACGTCTCATAAGATGCATTCTTTCTGATTCCAAATTCACTCTCACCTATTTTCAACTATAACATAATCTGGCTTCAGGAACATTAACCAGGGTGATAATTAGCCGCTCTCTATTGACTGCTTTGCAAATTCTGGGTGTATTAAGGTGTTGAAAAGACTTTGATTACAAAAAAAGATTGTGCGGAAGTCGTTCAAGAACTTGTAAAAAAAACCGAACAAAGACACTTACGTAATAACTTTTGTTGTTGTCACGTAACGTATGCGAGCTAGTGACACTCTTCGCCGAAATATCTTCTGCCGCAAGTAGTAGTTATTGTAAAGTGTTGTATAAGTCAGCAGGAGAGTGTTTCTTGGCACTCGAGTTCCGTAGCCGTTCCGAAGGATTTCGAGATAAGTTTAGCTTTAGATCCGATCCGAGGGGTCTCAGTAATAGTTTAGTGTTTATTTTTAGGTGTTTCGTCCGACCATCAGGAGTAAACGCCAATGTTGTAAGAGCCATGTGCTTAATAGAGAAAACTCCTCATTCCCTCCCTGGAATTCAAGTTGAAACTCATCCAACTTCTGCTGCTATTGCAGGTCATTACAGGAAACGCAGAGGCACACATTTAAGCTACAGTTTTCTCAGCCTCCCCCTCCCCCACGCACTTCCTGAATGAGTGCCCGGGACTCTCAAATGTACACTGGCTGATAGTCTTATCCATGTAGATTTTGCTGATAGCTGCCTTGACGGAGCCCTTCGTGCTTTCGGGCCCAATCCAGCCCGATGAGAAGGAGAGAGAGTCCAAATCGGGGCGAGGAGGGGGCCGCAGAATGCTTGGTCACATCCGGATACTTTTTAAGGCCACCGGCGGTAAATTTGAACAGCCCTCCGAGAAAAGACAGCGAAACATGAGGAAAATGGCTATAAATCGCCTACTTGAGCGTACCCTTTTTTCTATTTTAAACACAAACTGCCAAAACTACTTGCCAGCATTTGGATTTTGTAGAAGATGCTTCAATAAACAAGTTCACACTAAAATTTGTTTTCTGCGATTTTTACAACTATTATGGAATATGCTTTGAAAAATGTCTATTGGGAGGGAAAATAAGCAGGCAATCAATAACACCGTATTATAACTCACCCCACTCCCCTGGAATTTGTTCTAGGAACGTCAAACGCACTCTGACTGATAACTCTGTTCTGCTTTGGAAAATAAGACTGCCATTTTTCCCCATCACAAAATACATATATATATATATATATATATATATATATATATATATATATAACCTCTGTTATGTC